CAATATCGCGTGCCGTAACGTAACGCGTTTAAATATCGATTACGATTTCCTCACCGGTGACTCTCCTTCTCCCCGTTAATGCCGATTAAACGCCGTGTCGCGCGCGACGACATTACAATTTTAAATTTGATACAACGCTTATATATAACGACGGTAAGATGGGTAGTCACACGGCCGTGCGAAAAATATATACAGCAACTCCGCGACTCTTGGGAAATCATGGCATCCATTACTCACGACGCAGAGTGTCTCGCAAGACAAAAGGAAACATTTCGGGCATCTGTCAACGGCCATATAGTGTGTCTCGTGTATTCTCACCGCGTGATCTTTTTAATTTCGAGATTTCTCTCGCCGACCGGTGAGACTAGTGAAATTTCCACTAGGAAATCCTTCCCTCCCCTCTCCCTCTCTTCCCACGTTATTTCTTATTCAGATTCGAGATATCATCGACGTACGGGATTCTCATAATCTCACCGTGCGAGAATCGCGCGACAGCATCAAACTCAACGGAATTGACGACTTCGCAGTGACACAATGTGCGGTCGTCTTATGCGAGATCGTGTGCACGGTTGACAATGTCAGTGTAAACAACTCTTAGTGGCTATAACACCGCGGCAGAATGCCGGCCCTTCGACCGGTAACCTGCATTCTACGGGGTGTTCTCGTTACGACCCTGTTGGCCGCGCGATAACTTTGAGGTTACTGCCACCGCTTACATTTCACCGTGAACGACACCCGTTCTCGCTCGCTCGGATCGGGGCAGGCAGCTACACCGCCGTCAACTGATTGCGAATGAAACACGCCCGCGCGTGGAATAAAAAAAAAGAAAATGTAGTGCAAATTTACTTTCCCTAGCGCGGTAGCCCCGCGCGCGATAAGGCTGAAATTATTTCTACAAAGTGCTTTCTGTTAATTACCCGCGTATATAGCCCCGGCTAATCTAGATCCTGGCGCCTGGACGAAAATTGCGATAACGCCTAGTGTGAAATAACGTTAACACAGAGCGCTATCACTACGGTAGTGTCGTTGCACTGCTGCGACGCGATTAATATCGAGGAATGAATAAATCGCGACTGGAAGGGAGAATGAAAGGAACTTCGCTGAAAATCGCGCGCTATGACGAATTCTCCTTTACCACGAGCGCGCCTGTTACAAGAATTTCTTCCTGCACAAATATCAGAGTCGAAAATTTCGGATCGATTCCCAACAAATGGTGCCGTACATATTATTTTCCTGCTAGAACGTCGGTGAACAATATCCGGTTGATTAATTACCGGTTTCCGTTGAATGCGGCAAAGTTAAAATTGACTCGACAATCGAGCCGAACTTTTCGGCCGACCGAATAGCTACGTATATCTATCGATTACATTGAGACCGAATATTGCGACTTCTCCAACGTGACCGGACAAAACCTAACAACGCGGCCGACGCGCGATTTCCGTATTTGTCCGAACTCCCCCGGTGTTTGCTCGGCCCCGGGGGCGCTTTCTCACGACGCTTCACGGGCGAAAACGATACGGATATGACGGATGAAGTCTCTAATATCCAAGTAAAGTCAGCGTGCAAACTAACGCGCGCACGGAGTTGGCGGTACGCGGACGGATTACAGGACGGTCGGTCGCGCGAATGCGCGCGAGGTCCGCGTGCGGCGGCGGCATCCCCACGGTCGAACGAGAGAGAGAGAGAGAGAGAACGAGCTTTGGGCGCGTGCGAGCCGGATTTATGACCCCCATTATGACGTTGACGTATCGCCTTCGTGAGGGTCCTAAACCGAACCCAAGGCGAATCTAAGCCCCGTGTATCTAAGCCAACAGCTAGCCACAGGTCACCGCGAGCGCCACACGAGAATACTTCAGACTAATCCTGCGGCTCGCCCGTATCCGATGGCTCCGACGACGAGCTTTCCGTTCTCGTAACGCGTGATTCGTAAAGCGTTTCACGCGTACCTCGTCGTCCTGTCCTTTGATTTTTATTCTCTCACTTTTTCAATATTTTCACGTATTTCTGGTGCTTCCGCGGCAGCTTGAACAATTTCCTCGAGGGAAGAAGTATCGATCGTGCGACGTGCGAGATATGAAGGAAATTTATTTATCGTTGTTTGCGCTACGGAGACGGTATTTCGAGCACGTTCGAGGCACGGTGTCGCCCGATGAGATGAATAATACCTCCCACTTATTATCTCTCGATAATGCCGCGTTAGGCGCTTAGGAAGAGGGATCGCTTTAAACGAAAGAGCAGACGCATCCGAAAGTCAAGAACACCGAATTAACGGGTCCCACCACCGCGTCGCCGTTCACCCCCCTCCATCCCCGCCGAGCTGTCGCAGCGTAACACGAGCGACGTGATCTGGCGCGCCACGAAAATTATTGGCATCTTCCGTTCCATAATGGTTGTCTAGCGCCGCAATAAAGCAATGAGGGAATGGGGCCGGGGGGGAGGGGGGGAAGGGCGCGCAGCAGTCGGGATTTAAAGGGCGTGCGAAGTCGCTTTTACGCGTCGGATGCGAAACCCCGATTCAATTTATATCCTCTGGTCGCGCGTTTCCTGTCTGCGGCGCACACATCTCTCAGGATTGCACCACTTCGTCCACTTCCGCCAGATTCACCCTCGCCCCCTATCCCCCCTCCCTCCACCCCCGTCGTCCTTCCCAACCCGGGCTTTTCTTCTGCTCGTATGAAATACGACGATGATTCCATCGGCAGCGAGAGCGTCGCCGGTGATTTTCGACGAGGAGCGGGAAGAGAGGGTGGGCGAGGACGCAAATAAATCGCGTTGCAAAATGGACCAGGCGGTGTGTATTACGGCGGTGTTCGACGTCACGCATCGGCGAATGTCAAAACACCGTGGTGGAGCCGCTGCTCCACGGTGCATTAAAGGGAAGCGAATTAATGGGCGAACGAGATCGCGGATCGCTATCTTGGACAGCCGTTCCCGGAGGAATCGCGTCATAACAGACGCGGCTGAAAGAAATTCGTGCATTCATGCGTCTCCGAGGTAGGAAGATGAAGCCGGAGTCGCTTATATGAAAGATATTACTTCTGCGTTACGTCGCTCCGTTCTCATAATCGAGCCGAATCGTGCAAATTACGAATAAATTCTGGCGCACATCAGGCAGGTGAGAGTAACGAACGATCGACAAAGGAGGAAACGCGCGAGCGGTGCTACACGAGCGACGTCTTCAAAGTAAACCGTAACTTCGTCGACATCGCGAGTCGATTCTTTCCCGTGCAAGATCGAGTTCTCGAATACGCGGTCAGAGAACCGTGCAGCGTTTCACCTCGCCCTGTATATCTATATATACATATATATAAAGGAGAGAGAGAGAGAGAGAAAGAGAGAAGGCTGTAAGAGTTGAGAGACAAACGGCGGCGGTTATCTACCGAGGTCGAGAAAAACGGGGGAAAAGAGAGGTGGATAAAAAGAAATAGGTAAATTCTGATACAGCGGACATAAAGGAACGACGGCGCAGTGGAGGAAGAGAGAGGAAGGAGGTGGAGGAGGAGGCGGCCGTAAGAGCCCGGAGCCGGAGTAAGAAAGATGGGACGAAAACATCGATTGCAGGGGCTTGTAACACCGCGGTACGAACAGAGGGATCAAGCTGAGCGATAAACCAAGCGGCCTGGAAAATGCCGGATCAACGGTACGATGTTTCAGCAAAAACTGTCTGGAATCGGAACAACCCCGGCTCAAAGAGAGAAGACGAACGTATGTAGGTACGAACGAACCAACGAAGGAAGCAGAGAAGGACGGAGGGAGGGAAGGAGAAACGCTAGCTGCCTAGCCACCAGCTTGCTCTTCAGGGTGGGATCGAGAGCGAGAACCGTGCGGAGTTCTCTTCGTGGTTTCTGCCTATACTGTGTTCTCCCCTCCCTCGCTCGCTCCTTCAGCGAACGCTTACCGTATTACTACGTATATAACGTGTACATATATACCGTGTATGAATTTTGCGTTATGCGCCGCGTTATAACCGTCGCCCCACAATCGCCCGCGCAAGTCCCGACGGATTTACGAGGAAAGTAATACGAATTAAACTAACGTCCACCGCCCGTACATACACGCGCCGTAAAAAAGAGCCCCCGATGAGATCGCGAGCGAGGGTGATTTCCCGTAATAAAATATAATGAAGTTTCACGGACGTATAGCGATTGCATCGGTGCGCGCGTCGTTCTCGAGATAAATTTAACGTTAATTAATTATATTCCACGTGGAGCGATATGCTGTATGTAATGTTGATCAAGTTGCACATTAAACAAATATTAATTTTAGCAATTATTACTGTGAAAAAAAAGAACACTCGTTACCGTAATGCCAGAAAGTAAAGCATTCGAGTGATGTCATGTCGCAAAACTCCCCAAAATAAATTCATCCAAAGATATTCTCTCGAAAAATAATATATAAACAACAATTTCGTGAAATATAGATATACATACACAGAAACGAAAGTGGCCATCTAGAAAAGGAAATGTGAAATTTATCAACGCACGAAATTGAAACGGATAGTTGTCGCGTCGCATCTCTGCAGGTAATTTGGCGACTGACGATTAATCGATTATATCTCGATTTATTAAGATCGTCTCAAGTTCATCTTCAGATGTTCCGTAGCTAATGAAACGAACCATATAGCATTTTAAGATAATCTTAAGACAACCTTAAATATAAGATCTGACTATGAATACCATTCTAAGATAAATTTGATCTAACTTACTGCAGTATGATATTCAATAAATATCAGACTGAATCTCATCTAATTGACTCTAGTATATCGCGTGAATATTATAATAACTTTCCATCAATAGACGCAAGAGTCGACACTGATCTAGTTATATTATTATCTGCCCTTATTTCGCACTTGGTAAAGAAAAGGATAATGGATAATAAACTTGTGTCTCTTACTATAGAGCAACCTACGTAGGATAAATTCGTTCTAACTTACCCTCGCATGATACTCTGTGACCGTAGGTTGCGCTAGAGTCGAGTTGGATCAACCTAGCCTGACTTACTACATGTCACTGCGAGAGGGCAATGATTGCAGTTTCTGAGTGAGAGCACGGCAAGCCAAGGTTGCACGGATCGACATGACGATGCAGGCTAACTCGTCATCGTGGAAAACATCTTTGTTCGCGACTGTCGGGGACGTCATGCGCTAGCCAATCAACCGACCGTTATGTATCCGTTATTTCCGGAAAAGCGAGAGGTTGATTGGCTGCTCGCATCGTGTGGCACGTGCTGTCGCGTCCTCTGTGTGAGAGCCATTACTCGCGCGATACCTGAGACTTCCGGTTCGACGGACTCGTCGATGTTTGTTATGCAGTGCGTCGCACGGGACCGAGCATGAAAACGGCGGAGGGAAAAGTGGTAGTGCTGGGCTCGCAAGGTAAGTGCTGATTGCGGGACGCGACGGTGATACGGGTACAGCTCGTGCCGATTGTCGTTATGCAAAAGATAAAGGAATTCCGTTGAAGCTTCGCAAGACGCGACCGGGGATATTTCGCGCATCCAATTGTACGATTCAGAGATTGGTCATCGTATTCTTGTTCTCGACAAGTCTTACGCTATACAGTTAGAGAGGTTAGCTGTACATTCGAACTCGCGGAGGGAGTCGCTCAATGGAGACGTGCATAAGGAAGACAACGTGCATATTTTGCGCCAAAATATTCGACTCTTGCTTGTAAATGATACTAAAACTTGTTATTTTTTTAAAGCGTCCGAGAAACTGAGGAACGTAAGGGTGAATAACCTGTCAAATTTTCGTAGCAAACACTGCGGACTCAAACAGGCTCAATTTAATCCATTAATCCCTGATTGAACCTATGGAAACGTACAATGCACAGTAACGATCTACGTATTGCTAGAATGTCCATTCGCTCTTTGATTACTATTACTACTACTACGATTATCACCACCACTACCAGTAGAGATCGACTGAATATTGCACATAGGCTCACGTGTGAGTCTGCATTCCACTGCTTATTTACGACCGCTATAAAGTAAGGTGTCGTAATATCTAAGATAGTTACACCACGTGCCTGCGTTGTGTTGACAAAGTTCACTTGGACTCAAGTGAAGAATAGAATTTTGCGAACGTTTCCTCGTGAATTAGAGAAATTAATCTTTGAAAAGCAATATATATATATTTTTTTTTCATTTCAAGTCAGAACGTTCGATCGGAGTCACGTTTATGATTGCATCAGCGCACATCCGCATCACAAATCCCGAAGTCAAAATCCGCGCGTGACACATTTTTTAAATCTCTTTCTCTCATTTCAACGTACTGATAAGAGAGCATGCCTTTCAGGAGAATCCAATCGCATACAATATGACGCATTTCTTCCTTAACACTTATTATTTTGTTGAATAATCACATATCTCGTCATAAACGGTGTTGATAGAACTGCACTTTTCTATAATTTCCTGCTTAGATACCAATACAAAAAAAAAATAACAATTTAGAATCTCATTTATCTTGCAAGGTCAAGGATCATAATTGATAAACTCTCAAAATAAACCGGCTATCGGAAAACATTTCTCCGCAGATAACGTTACTATCAATAACACGATATTAAATCATCAGACCGCGAATCACGATATCATTTTCAGGTGTTGGCAAAACCAGCCTGATCGGACGTTACATGGGAAAGGTGTTCAATCGCCATGAGAATCCCACGATAGGAGCGTGCTTCCTCAACTGCAATCTCAATTTCGAGGACGCCCGGATAAAGCTGCAAGTATGATAAAAAAAATATCGTTTCCGAGTGTTCAAAACCGCGAACGTCTGATGCAACTGCGCGGTACTTTGTGCGACGAATTAACAAGTTTGCGATTCAAGAATCCGTCATTAGTCGTTATCTATTCAATTAACCTCCCAACTTCGCGATATCTTTCACTCCTCATCTCGGCTGTTTTCATTACGTATGTCATTATCATCATATTTATGTTTGAGACGACGCAACTCGATACTTTGTATCCGATTCATCAGCAGATATTTATGCGCGGCAGTTTTGTTTCTGCATTTAATTTCTCATTTGCTTACTAAACTGTTAAAGTAAACGTCCCAGTGATTGAACATACATGTTCCAATATTTAAAATATTATTGATGAAATTTTCTTTATTTAAGATGCTTCTCAATATGCAGAACAATATAATAAATGAAAAGAAATGTTTAGTTAGTTTGTGCTTTTGTTTCACTTATTGATGAGCATCTTAATAAACACATATATATTATTAATGTTTCAATTACTGGGATGTTTACCTTGTTAACTTCTCGTATATTTACTAAACTACTATTAATCCTCCGTTAGTCGCACTTTTCACTCATGAATAGTTGCAATATACTTCACAGATACACTAACTTCCTCATTATTTTCCTCTGCTTCTTGAAACAATTTCTCTTTCGTTAACTATAATAAACCAGGCACTAAAGTACACAAAAAAAAACAGCGAGAAAAGAAACAACTGATTAAAGAACAAATTGACAAATACTAGATGTCTATACTGCGACTAACTGCGGAGGGTTGAAGAGAAATATTAGATGAAAAGCATCGCCCTTCGACGCAGGTATGGGACACCGCCGGCCAGGAGAGATTCCGCTCGATGGCGCCGATGTACTACAGAAACGCGAACGCGGCGATGCTGGTGTTCGACCTGACGGAATACAGCACGTTCTCGGCGATCAAGAGCTGGGTGACGGAATTGCAACGGAACGTGGAGGAAACTATGGTGCTAGTGGTGGTCGGCAATAAATCCGACCTGGTGCAACAACGGCAGGTGGACGACGAGGACGCTCGCGAGTACGCAACGAAGATCGGCGCGACCTACTACGAGACCTCGGTGCTGCACAACGAGGGTATCGAGGCGGTTTTCCTGGCGATCGGTATCGGTCTCCTGAAACTGCAGTCGGGCAATGACATGGAGACCTCCCTGAGAATCGGCGAGTTCTCCAGTAGCTCTTGCATGCGCATCAACGGCATGCCGCCCGCGCCCTCTATCGAGGAGAGCCCGCAGAACATGAGTATCGCGTATGCTATACACGAAAAACCGTTTACCTGCTGTTAGTTTTCCGAAATTTGCGGGAAATTCGCGGGAAAGGGGAAAGAAGGTGAGAAGTGGCGCCTTGCCTGAAAACGCGCCGACGCGTGCACGTGGCACGTTGACCGGCAAAGGAGAGTTTTGTTTTCTTCTTTCTCCCTTTTTCCACGACACGTATCGTCGATAAGCGAACAAATCGTTATCTCGCGTACCATCGTTATCAAAGACACAGGTTGCGTACGTAGATGCGAGACAGACGATGAGCACGACGTCTTCCAAGTTCAACTTGTAGTTTGACTGGTTGGATGCTTGATAGATCTCTACTCTCGCGTTGATTTACCGCTGGCGTTAAGTCGACGATATCAAAATTTTATCACGAGATGGCTAAAGTTAGGATGGAGAAACAGTTACGGAGCTAATTGTTAGCTTGTCTTTTGTTACGTGTAGAGTAAGAATCAAGCAGAGGCGCAAAACGATTTCTAAATTTCACTGCTGTGTTACATTTGCCTGCGCGCGTGCAATTTTATATACGGGGTCACTTAACGCGTTATGTCAGAGTGATCATGTACTTATAACGAGCTTCAAATCACAAAGAACGGCCTTGCGTAACATTGTAAGCTCAATTATTGATCGTACAGTATACAGTTTTCGAAGGCCCTATCGAACTTTCTAATTAAGGTAAATTTCGAATTACCCTAATTAGATTTGATAAAACTCGATCGCCGAAATACGTGATTCTAATGTGCACGCAACTCGTCTCGGCAAGAGATGAAACAAATAGAAAGTTATACTCATAAATTACAGCTAATTATTATGTTTGATATTGTGTTTACTATGTGTTATTATGTATTTATTGCGAAACAGTATTCTCCGCATCGGTACGTAAATTATTTATAAACGGAATATAGAGTAGACGTTGCCTTTTTTTTTCTTTCACAAAGACTGTTCGCACTTAAGTCCCAACATTTTCTTTTCTACGCGGCGAATTGTATTCTTTTTCATTGTACTTCTAAGGGTGTCTCCGGCACCTCGTCGTTTTTATTCTCTTAACGCGTTGTTATTGTGATACGCACGCTTCACGCGCTTCGTCGATCACGAATATACTAGACAGAATTTTATATATACGTAATCAACGAAATAACAAATATATTTGTAATAAAAGGAACACCGACGCTGTATTTTTTTTTCTTTCCGTATCTGTGAAAACGATCTCTCATCTCTTCCTTCGCAGCATGTTTCGACGAGGCGCATACTTTTGGTACGCGAAATACCCATCCGCGAATCCTCTCTGTGTCGTATTTCGTTGAAGATATATTACCATGCAACCGGCATCTGTTGTTCGACGTCCAAAAAGGCTGCGCCTCCTCGGGAAATCTGTTTGCTCGCTGCGCCACGACAGAGAGCGATAATCACACAATGAGTCATTCTCACTCCAAGCCGGGGTCTCGCGGAGCGTGACGTCCCAGCTTTGTCTACGTGTAACTCATCCCATTTTCATTATGTAAGCATGCATTTACTATGTATCTAGGCCTATTAGGGCTCCGCGGCGTCTTCGAAACCGACGTATACCGGAGAGATTCGCGTTCGACTCAGGGTCGCCTCGTACGTGCGTGCGTACGAGGGAGTCAAAGAACCCGAAACCGGGCTTCTCACCGGTAGAATTGGAAATATAATTGGAATCTCGCTGCTAAGAAACGGGGAATCCGTCGAGTCTAGAAATCGAATGGGCAGCCTATGAGCGACGCGCGGCTCAAGGAATCTGACGAGAAATTTGACGAGAGAACAGTCGAGACTGACGAAGAGAAGCCACCGTGTCACGTTGCTGCTCGTATGTAGCGACCACCGAACAGAAAATCCGTTCGATCACAGTTACCCGACGCCTTGTTCGCAGCAGCGCTAAGCTAAATCCGGATCTGACGTCAGAGCCGAAGAAGATTCGGAGCCACGAATACCATTATAATACCATTATCGAGCCGAGTGAGCAACCAGTAATTAGTCTTCTGCCTTCTGAGACGCGTAGCCGAAGTGTAACCTTGAAACAGGCCCGTGATCGCGCCAAGACGTAATTATCCGCGGCTCTCGCGTGAGTAAAAGCGCGCCCCCGGCGATTAGTCGAAAGCAAAGCGCGGCACCGTTTTCTAATTGCGGTGGGATCGATTAGCATGCCGCGAGAGCGTGATGGAGGCCGGTTTTAGCGCCGTTTAAAGACAATAGGCCGGTATCCGAGATTGACCAACTGCAAATCTAACACCGCCGCCAGCCGTTTTAACTGCTCAATCGCCTTTACGCAAACGAAACGACGCCCTTTTCGCGCGACACGCCCGCCACGCGAGAAAATTGTCTCCCCGACACGCGCGAGACCACTCGAGAGAGCTTCGAGGAAGCAGCTTCTCGTCTGGCCGAACCGTTGCGACAGATAGGTGCAGCAGTTTCACTTTCTTCTCGTTAACGATAACAACGCGACGTAAAAAGGTCGCGCTCATGATATAATCGGAATTTTCTGGTAAATAAACGACAACGAGCGCACTCACTTCCCGGAAGAACGAAACTGATAGGCGCGATAAAGTTCAAAAAATAAAAATGACGTAAAAGCGACTTTGAGATAAACTTATTTTTGGGATGAGAAATTCTGCGTGTCAATTTTGATTCTTAGTGATTCGAACCTCCTTCTTTATGCAATCCGGTCAAATGATACAATCTGTTTAATGAGAATGTGACCGATATAACTTTCAATTGTTAAACTATTTATTATAAAAAAGTGAAAAAAAAATACATACATACTACACAATCAATGCTACAACGCTCTTATATTAATAAGTCGTCCAATCACCGCCATCGTCAATTATTGCCCGACATTTTCGAAGCATATTTTCTACTAATTTTACAGTATACTCTCAAGATAAAAATCGCCAAATTGAACGAATCTTTCAATTTCATCGTGTACACTTTTTTCACGTAGTTTCATGTTCATTAATGCCCAGACACTTTCAATTGGACTTGCGTCTGGTGATTGTGATGGCTAGTCTAGTTTCTCGACGTAATTTTCTTCTTTCCATTGAGGGCAAAGACGACTCCAACGTTTTGGGTCGTTGTCCTCTCGAAAGATCCAGTCTCGACCTTTACTTCGAAACTTTTCGGCAAATGATATTAACGCTCACTGGTAAATCTTCCCGACTTCTTGGCACTCAAATTCTCTGTAGGGTAGACCGAGACGATTTGTATCACAGGGAGAATCGGGTCGATATAAACTTTGAGACAGTTGCAATTAATTTTTGTTTCATCGCGCCAGTTACCTCCGTGCGGTTTCCTCGCACTCGTTTGAAACGAGAAATAAACGACAACTGTTTCAAGGCTTATATAGATCCGACTCAATTCAGTCTACTACACTCCGGCATTCGTCGTTAAACACGTCGTAATCGTAGTAAAAGTCAAACAATAACTGAGACTCTCTATACAACGCATCGTAGAGGAAAAGTTCCTTTACCTACTCGTTCGAAAGTAACTCTCTGTAACGGTCTCCCAAACAGAAGTTTGCCCGATCACGCTCTTATTAGACAGACTGCGAGTACTCGTGCAACAGTCATCGGGGAAAAAATTCAACACGGCGACTACAGATTCTAAGAGCGACGAGTACGCGCACGGATCGGAGGAGTAAAGCACCGTGACGAGCCTCCGACTGAATTCTTACGATATCACGAGCGATTTACGCGAGCGAGCGAGCGCGGGAGTACAGACGCGGCTCGATTTCGCAACTCGCGAGCGTGCGCCGATGCGTTAATTAAATACAGCCGCGAGACCGCGAGAGAGCGCAGGAAGAGGAGAGGAGAGATTCGCGTGCGGGAGAGCGCTCATCCTGCGAGGCGGGCACGAGCTCCTTTGAGCGCGCGAGCGTCACATGAGGCCGAGTAGGAGAGGAAAAAACCGGACGAAGGAGCAGAAGAGGAAGAAAAGAGTAACGGCGGGCGAGCACGGGAGGAAGAGCCCAGAAGAGACCAGCATAACGCACCGGGTCTCTGTCTGCCTGTATAAGACAATGATACAGTTACACGATACTCTCAGTAGTGAACCAATCGTAAGAGGCGCGACGCTTCTTCTGCTTCTTCCTCCTCGCCGCGAATGCGCGAAAGTATAATGAACCGCGGCAGGAACGACGCCAATTAGGCGCGGCCGGTTAATTAAAGGAGCTAGCGCTCGTTAGATCTCGCCGGAAGGAGCCGCCCGAAGACAGATCGCCGCCGATCGACGCGATGCTCACTCCGCCGCGGCGTATCGATCGAGTCGGTGATCGCCGTCGTGATTCACAATAGTGAGGAGTTGCGGATCCCCTCACTCTTTCACTCGTACAGTGATCAATCTATCCTGAGCTCTCTCAATAATCCTCATTTCAACGATTATTATCGACGAGGCGACGGGATTTTTACAGTTTCTTTCTCGCCGCTGGAAGTACGACTTTTAACGTCGCCGGGAAATCGTTGACAATTACCCTCGCAATTACAGCGATCGCTAAACGCGCGCGCGTTAACGTATCTTCCACCGAACGGATACCTTTTCAGGGACGTCTCGTGTGAATGAACCGTGATTCATAGATCGCGCACAGAATGGAATGCCAGATAACGGCTAGAGAGTAATAACTAAAGCGCGTTTGCATTAACGCCGACGGGGGTGGAGAGTGCGAATGAAAAGTAATTGAGACAGGAATACACGTCGCATCGCGTTTCATCATAGAGAATAAGTCGGACGATTATCGCGAGTGGGACTTTTGCTCGAAGCTATGTGAGAAAGCAGACAAAAAAGTGCGCGCCACGTGAAGTGACGTGCGAAGTGTTTCCGCAGCGCGAAGAATCTGTCAACCGGCGATGGAGCGTCAACGAGTGTTGCTCGTTTTTGTCATCTACTTCCTGCGATCCTGTCGAGTGTCGCACTCGGTCGGCCTGACGTTTGACAATCAGCTGGTGATCGTCGCGAATGGTAAGTGACGATGATCGATTGCCGAAATGCCGGGCGCCGTATTTGACAATCTGGTAATAATAACAAAGCAATCAACTACACGCAGACTGCTATACGAGAGTGGCCATCGGGTCCAAATTGTCCGACACGGACGTCTTCTCCAGCGTCACGGTAGCTAGTATTTCCGAATGCGAGGACGAGTGTTCCAAAAGGAGGAATTCCTGCAACGCGTTCGCTTTCGGGTACGCAAAGTTGCGAAAAGGGTAGACAGAAGTCTAACTACAAATGCGAAAAAAGACAGAAAAATACCCGAAAAATAAATAATGGAAAAATAAGATCAAAGAAATAAGCAATAAATGAAATATATAAAATATCCTAATATCTGTGGGAACATCTAAATATTTTGAGAAACCTTAAAAACAATTGGAAAAATAACTAAAAAAATTCTCCCTCCACGATTTGCGGTATTCTTTCTTCGAAATCATTCAAAAATTGTGCTTTAAATGTATTTTACATATCGTTAAAAACCAAAGTAGGTATTCAGGTGTTCTCCTTATACTGGGACATAAATATGCCGAGACCTACTATCTTCGTTTACGGTTAGTGGCTGATTAATCTCCAGAATATCATTACTATATTGGCATATAGGATCGGCATCAAAGGTAACGGGACATGTGCGCTGAGCACAAAAATGCCGAAATTCGAAGAACTGGAATCCCATATCGATTACGATGTCTACTTGAGAAGTCAACGCTCACCGGATTGCGAACCAGATCGGCTCTACAAAATGGGAAGCGGCGGTATCGGTCAGGAAAGAAGAAACGAAACGAGACCGACCACGCGATTCGGTAGCGGCCTTTTAGGCCCGACAATGCCAAGTGTCCAGTCATCTTCCAGGTATGATCGTCCGATCATTAACTTCAGACGGAGAACAATCCCGCAATTAGCATTTCCATTGTTTACCTGTCTCAACCGTGAGATTGATACTTCTAATGGAAGTTCGTACAACGTACGCATCCTCACTAATGGATGCGTCACCTTGTATATAATATCGTTAATATATAAAATATGATTTTTTAATAAATGAATAATTCGAACAAGTCACGACGTAAGTATCGTATCTGAACTATAGACTGTCTCGATTCTCCTATTCGTTTTATCAAATATAAGCTAATAAATATAATAATGTACATATGAGCCTTTCAGAAACTAAACTGCTCAACTCCACTTTCCGTAAATTTCTGAATTTTCGAGCACATGACTAACGTAATGCTTAACCCGCCAAAATTAAGAAATTTGCAAAGTGCGGGATTAGTCAGTCTGGCTTCTGAAAGACTCATGTGTGATCTCGCACGATTTTTTGCATGCGATATCACGCCCGAAGGATCATGGGAATGCCTAACGTCGCCAATAATCCCCCGTATCAGCAAGGATACACGTCATCTTTCGACGACGAGCGCCGGATCGGCGACATTCTTCGGAACAAAGGTCCGCTTACCGGGAACAATCCTTTCGGAACCAAGACCGAGAAGATCGACAACTACAACGATCTATACCCGAACCGGAAGTTCGCGTTCGATCATAGGATCAACTACGACCCGAATGGCGGTCGCTCGGATTTCAGTGGGCCGTTCTTCCAAAATCCTTTCGCGGACGTGAATCGGCTGAACCTCGCGTCTCAATTCGACAGTGATCTTCACTCGTACAAGACCCTCACGGTCCACAACGGGCCCTTCGAAGTTTTCTCAGGACGTATCTTAATCCACGATGCAGCCGGGAAGTACAAATCGCCGACGGACTTCGGATTCTGGAACGATCCGATCAAGAATCGAAACACGCTCGCGAATCATCGCCTCAACCAACATCGAGACCACAGACTGCCCGACAACGCGTACAAGAGTCACGGGATTATCACGAAGCCGAAGCAGAACGAATTAGTCACGGGGAATCGCGATATCGAGAAAGTCCCCGCCGCCCGTCCGAGCATCGACGGCTCTTATGGTTTCGGGAGCAACGGCGCGAAGACCTCGTACGAAGGATTCAAGGCTACCCCCGCCGTGATCTGGAGACCAGGATCGTTCGACGCTTTTCCCGGCTTTGGCGCGAAGATCAGCGAAAAGTCGAAATGTAAGTGCCAATTCGATCTCATTTCTCGACGAAAAGATGAACGCGACTTTTCTCTCTCGGGTTGCGCGTGTAACCTCTCTCCTTGCAACTCCAACACCTCCGGGAAGCGGAAACGCGAGTCTCCGTCTTTAACGAGGCGTTACACGAAAGACCGGAGGTACAAATCTTCGGCCAATTGTCGCTCCGCCGCCGCTTCGCGTATTATAACGCGCACGTGAGCCGGTGTGCAACCTCAATTTTTCAACGCGGCAATAATCGCGCGGCTGCGACCGTGTACGTGCTCCTATATTCCCGGCCATTCGATCATCACCTTCTTACGTAAAACGTAACATTGTTCCGTTACATTAATTCCCTCTCATCCTCGCGGATTCTTCGCGCCTCAAAACGCCCGGATCGCACGAGGCTTCAAATTATCGCGCGCGCGTCCGGTTCTTCTCATTATTCCCACGCTACTTCGCGCGCACTTTCGATGAATTAATTATATACCGTGAAGTTAGTAATATTCCATCGCGTCGTACCTACCCGCACACGAAGCCAAAAACGATACTCGAAGGGAAGAAAGCTACAACAGCAAATTCGTTATCCAGCGCGATCGCTAACTCAACTTGCTCGCCGCGGCAAACCGCTGGTCGACGTTTATCGAGCCGCGTTCATCTGCGAATCGACGATTGACAAACGGCAACGGCATTGACACGGATTTTTAACCGTATGCGAATTACCTCGCTGCATCCGTCCACTTCCGGCGTAACGACTCTTATCGCGTACCTCTCTCGCGCATCTTTCTATAAATTCCACGCGATCAAATCATTCGCTGTCCTTCTACAATTTTCAGACTACAAAGCAATAAATAATCAGAGAGAGAGAGAGAGAGAAAGTGCGGGATATATTATTTAAATGATAAAAAAGAAAGAAAAAGCTTGAAATCTTGGGAGGATAGACGAGTTTTTTTCTTACGTGTAATTTATCGTCCGAGCAACGACCTGTTAAAGGAAACTCGATGACTTTAGCGATTGTGCCACCGGAGGACGAGGATGACCGTTGCATAAAGGAGAAAAATAAATGTCGAGACGTTACAGGACGCACGGCTTCCGGCTCGCGTGATCCACGGACATGAGACGCTTTTACTTTCGACAGTTGGTATAGTCCCTCATATTCTTCTGCCTGCGCTTCGATTAATTGCGCGCAACTTGTCCGTCACTTTGATCAGGAATTTTCGCAATCGATTAGGCGCGCGGCTTGCGGCACACATTTGCTGAATCCTTATCCCCGGATTCAATTCTCGCGAACAACCTCGAAGGTAAGATACAAGAACCGCGTGAGGATCACGTAATCGAGCGCTGGTCTCGAATCGCGGAAGTGTAACTTTGCTGAAGTTATAGCGCGACAACGAGAGCTCAGCTGGCTGAAATAATTGAGGTAATTGTGACCCTGACGAATCTTGAAGGACGTGCGACGGCACCTCCCTTCTAAAGCGTGATGTCACTGTTCTTTGTCGCTCCTTGGCACAAAAATTCCTTTTAACGACGGAAAAATGCAAATGGTTCCGGCGGTTGGTTACCCAGAGAACGAATCTTACGGGGAATAAATTCTAATCTCCCGCGTGTATTTCAGTCGAAAAAAAAAAAGTATCTTCCAGAGAGAATTGACGAAAACGCTCATAGGAAGGTGTGAAACGGAAAATCGCTGTGTATTCGTGCGACTGAAATACCAATTAAATCTTACGGATAATAACCCGAGTAAAAATAAATTATCCCATAATGCAAACAGATGCACGATGAAAAAGTCGACGCACATCCCGTAATTACCGAAAACACATCCGCCCGGCTCGTAATCGATTATGCAGAATTGCGTCAAACGACGACGCTTGTCGGGAGAACGAAGCTCTCGCGTGTCCGTGAGCAAGGAAAAATGATAGTAAGTGGAATCATTAATGATCATGTAACGCTCAGACCCCTCCCCCGACGTGTGAGCAGTTCCTCCCACTATTGCCGCGGAAACGTTCACTTTTCTATAAAACGATGCGAACCCGTAATTTCTCCGTTACTTTTTGCGCGATTTTCAAGTTTGCGCCATTTTTCGCGCGAACGTGCCGGAGCGCGCGAACCACGACGGCGGCGGTGTGACTCGTCGGCGCGAACATTCCTTCCTTCCCCGGGGCCACGAAAATGGCCATGCCTCGCCGCGGCTCACGGCGCGTTATCGCGAGAACAAATCGCGGCTCGAATGAAAACTCGAAACGCTGAGGAATCGCCGAGCGAATCCTCGTACGCGCGTTCGCGCGGCGGCGGCCGTTCCTATCGCGCGAGAGCCGGCCGATGCTACAGCCGTGCATCTCGGTAAACCGATTTATCGTCGAACGAAAGAACGCGGGAATCATGTCGGCGAGACCACGGCGGCTGTGGACCCTTGTGTTAGCAGTGATTGTCCAGCGAGCCGCCTCGGACTCGATTATCATATTGGAAGATGAGTGCTCGCGTAAGTCTCGCGTGGGAAAAAGAGGCATGTCGAAAAGTGCAAATTGAAAATTCGTTTTGCAGCGTGCTACAGGAGACTGCTGTCCGGCAAGAAGAGCCTGGAGCTGCACGTCAGACGCGCCATCGAGTGCGAGCGGATCGAGGACTGCCATCGCGCTTGCGATTACGAGAAGCTCTTCGCTTGCGAGGGTTTCAATTACAGGTAAGACTGGTTACTTTCGCGAAAATTCACAGACGTAATTTCTTTCTTGTGACGTTGTGTTTGAAGAAGAAAAAAAAAAAAAAAAAAAAAAAGAAAAATCCGTCGCGTTTCAAGAGTAATTCCGAAACGACATAGTGGAATTTAACTCAAGCCCAAGTTAAGTCTCCAATGGGATTTGCTCGACGAACTCGATTTTTAGTTAAGATTTTTAGTCATTCAAGAGAAAGACAATCCTTTGTACATCCCCCCGACAAGATAACCAAAAACGTAATCTGTGTAACAGTTAACGGTGATTATTCACGCTTGGAGTCGCTCGACGATTTTACGCATTTCTCTACACACGCGCGTATGTGTATCTAGGGTATGTATCATCAAATGCACGCGCGAAATACAATACGTACGTATGCATGACCCACCGCCGTGCGGATTGCATCACGGACAATTTGAACACGCCGCAATCTGTGACACGCTTCTCCGTCGAGAGACGATCACGCACACGTATCGAAAAAGTCGCTACCATTTGTCGATTAACGTACCCTGACAACTACACATACGGATAATAACGCTTGTCGAACTTAAGTTTTATTTACATGCGAGTCTTTGTGCGTTGAATTACGTATTAATTGGTAAAATTATGCACGACTTTGCATACAAAGACGTATCGGGCATGGAACGAGAGGGATGTGCGAGATGACATCGATCCCGTACTCTCGTATGGACCTCCACCGAGACTTCGTGTCGGATCCTCAATGCGACTATTACGAGAAGGACCCGAATTGTGTGGCAAACACGGCAGGAACGCGACCATCCTGGTGGAATCAACCGTCTAGACCTAGCCAGACCTACGGTATACCTTCCGGCGGAAGGCCGGAGGCGAGGTGCGGCAATTAAAAATTTGGCTACCGATAATCGAATCGCTTTTACTTTACATCATGTTAATAATGATAATAATAATTATTTCTAATTAATTATTACTTATTTTTATTATATTATATTTTTTTAAAAATCGATCAATACACAATAAAAGATTTTGTGTCAAAAACGGTCTACTGAAATTTTGTGTTACTTCAACAAGGCAAATATTTTAAAAAGTAATATGTTAACAAAATGAAGATTAAATTTAATATATATTTGAGTACTTTTTAACACATTCCTCATGTTAGAGTTAAAAATTTCAGTGAACTATTTTTAACGCAAAATTGTTTACCATGCACGAGCAATTTTCATTAGAAGTCATTTTCGTTTGAAGCAATCGGCACCGGTAATTAATTTTTGCGGAAGGCGGTTAATTACAACAACGGCAAAAAACGTTCGTTTCACGGAAGCGATTCGGTAATTTAACGAAGTTTACGTTTACGCAACTATTAAAGCGTGAATCTAAATGTGCTTCTCTCTTCCCCTACCCTCCTGCGCCGACTTCGATTCTGATCCGCGCGAAAATTTAATTAACGCAAGACCTTACACGCCCGATCGACGTCCTCTGAACGAAGTGCCGCGACCTTTGGATTACGATCGACGTCCCCTGAAGGAGATCCCGCGGCCTTTGGATTTCGATCGACGCCCCGCGAACGAGATTCCACGACCCTTGGATTATCCTCATCACAGACCCGTAGAGCATGACCGGCGACCGCCCGTGATCTACGGAGAGCCTCATCGCGTGCTCTTCGACGATACGTTTGGTCAAAGGGGTTATCCCGACGAAGGCTCGATACGAAGCGGATACCCAGTGCTAAGACCCGAAGACGGATTTCACCACAGCGGCCGATTTCCACCTAGCCGACCCAGTGATGACGATTTCTACGACCGAAACTTGCCGTGGCCACGGTATCCGAAGTATCCAGACAGAAGAATCGATCACGGACCCACTCATGATATAGGTAACGTTTGTTAATTATTCTCGCGCGTTTAAATGTCCTGCACTAAAAAAAGAAAAAAGAAAATTTTGATGAACAGCAAAATATCAACCGTTTATAAATTAAACCATATATTATAAATCACATATACAAAACGCGGATTCGTGATCGCAATCCTAAATCACTCATGTATCTGCGTTCGTCACATTGGAATGCAGGTACAAACGAGATCGGTCCTTACTTGCCTGAGCATCGGAAAGACCCGAGTCGCGATTGGGATCCTTACGGCACCACTTACGGCGGTTCCTACGGCTACAACACGAATTACGTGGGCAACAAGTTCGACATACCGAAGTATTATCCGAAACAACGGCCTAAACCGCAACGACCCTATGAGAACGAGCAATTCTACGGCGAGTTTTACAATTACGGAGGCGCATTCGGATATGGCGACAATTACATACCAGCCGATCAGGATCCGCTCTATGGCGATGTCGGAAAGACGGACGAGTGCTCGGTCAGAGCCGGCGCGGGATTCAGACTCGGTAGGGGAGTCGTTCGTAAAACATACCTGACACCGAATCTGGACCAATGCGAGAGTCTGTGCGTTAACGAGCAAAACTATATCTGCATGAGCTTTAGTTACAGGTATACCCTAATCATCCTACGAAAAAATCATTCAAATATACAACGTAATTCAATACGATGATAATTTATTAATATTATATATAATAGCATATATAAAATATTATTATATTATTATATATAATATTAATTTAATATAATATTAAATAATATTACTAATATATATAAAATTATAATATCACGATGATATTTCGTACAGGTACAATGTAGCACCTACGGATCCTACAGACAATTGTCTTCTTAGTGACGTCTCATATAAAAATTTAAATTTCTACACGGACCTCGAGCCGGATCGAGACTACGATATTTACGCTATGATCGCCAATTCGAGAACTTGCGGCACGAAGAGAGGACCGAGTCAACATCCTCCGGATGGTATAACGTTTTAAACGAAACGATTTCGCTCTTGGCCTATTTTAATTCGCATGTAATTTGATCAAAAGAGAGAGAGAAAAAGAAAAAAAGTCTTCAAAGTATTTCTTATATCCGTTCCCTAAATGTTAATTGGATGATAAAAAAATAACTTGCAGCGAATGATCTAACTAACGCATATTTTGTCGTCCCGAGCGTTGCACTACTGCCCCGATTACGTTATACGTTCCGCTTTGTGTTTCTGGTAACAACTAAAATCGCGACGGAAAACTATAGAAATGGAAGTAGAGAAGAAGAAAATGAGAGAGCCGACTTCTGTCTTTCTCGATTTTCCTTGATATTATTCACAAAAATCAGGATGAGGATTTTTGTGAAACTTTTCTAGAATGTTTTTGGAGGGTCAGAAGCGGATATGGAATGCCGGACGATGTCGTTAGGAAATCGATAATAGTTGACAGTCTAGGAGAATGTCAGGTAGAGTGCACAGTAGCGCATGATTTTACGTGTAGAAGCTTCGCGTACAAGTAAGTATCGCATGTACAATAAAGCAAAGCATATAGTATAAGACATAATAATGTAGTATTTCAAATATAGCAGTTTCAAATGTTCTCGATAAAATAGCATGTTATCCTGTATATTGTAATGCAGAATATATTCAATATATGCATGTAATACACAATGCAGATTATATAATATAAAATAATATAGGAAAAAAAAATATATATATATATGATACACAACATGTAGTAATAATATGCAAAACTTAAAATAAATTTTTAAATATCATCAGTAAAATAGCATGCCCTCTATATATCTCTCTGTATATTGTGATACGTTTCAGATACGGATTAGATCAAGGACGACAGGACATTCTAACGAATTGCTACTTGAGCGACTGGCAATCGCAGGATATTAATCCTTCTAATATGCCGGATATGGACGGCGCGGAATTATACGAAAGAGGCAGTTTCGGTAGAGGATGTCAACCTTATTCTGTGCCATTTTTTAATACCGGGCGATTCAATGGCAAACAGTTTTCACAAGAAGATGAAAGTACATAAAAGAAATATTAATCTACATATGTACATATTTATCAGAAATATTTAGTATAATTATTGAGACATCAATATCTTTCTGGAAGACCAAAATTTAGTATCATTGTTTCTCATCATCGTAAAACCAAATGCAACTTCATAGGTAACTTTCACTGATAACATTTCTTTCAGTATGCTATTCTGGATATGATAAACCTTGCAAATTGACGCCTTACGCCGTGCTCTTGGCGACGTACGTAAACTCCGAGCAGAATTGCCGGCAAAAATGCTCGAGAATGAGAGAAAGCGACTCTATTCCTTGCATGTCTTACAGCTACAAGTGAGTATACTTTCACGAAGAGAGAAATATGGATATTGTTTCGAACTTTACCAGATTTTAGATGAATGCGATAAAAAAGTATGCACAATTAGGCGAGCTGTGATTTTAAATTGCGTCAATATTACTATTATTATTAGAGATTAAAAAACATGATAAAGTGACGCTTTCACAATTCATTTGAAAATTTCGAATTTATATCAATAATAACGTTTACTTTCTCGAATGTATGTGAATGATATAACGTTCATTCCCTTCGGTCTGCAGGATTACCACTCATGGCACGGAAGAAAATTGTTTACTAAGTGACGTACCAATAAGAGACTTGCGACCGGGTCTCGACTACGTCCACGACGATGATCACGTCCTGTATGCCTGGAAGGACCTCGACCCTCAGTGCGTGGTCACCGGCTACTCCATTGACGACGATCATGCGTTTGGCGGACCAGGTCCACTGAGGCCGTCTCTTCCAGGCCCGTCATATCCTAATTATCACCCAGCAGGTGCCGATTACCCGAGCATGAGACCCGACGACGCTCATCCCGATCCTAGACCTTTCTTCACAATGCCGAAACCGAACGGTCATCATCACGGTGTGAGACCATACGACCCGGATAGGCCCGACCCGATCAAACCGTATCGTCCCGGATACAGCGGTTACGATGACAAATTTGCATATGGTATTCGTCCCGGTGAAATTGGTTACGGACACGAATCTTTTTATCGTAAGCTAATTTCACGATTGTAATCGTTATTTATGCTGCGAGATCTCAAAACCGGTATTACTGACGAGATCGTGAATGAAATTCAATTTATTTTTCTGTTCCGCTTTAGCCGGTGAATATTCAACTTTCCGTTATTACACGGTAAACGGTTATCCATGTAAAAGAGGCACAAAATGCGAGAAGAATAAGATTGCTGGATTTTGGTCCTGCGAGACCGAAGGAAGTGAGTTCGGTAGCTGGGATTATTGCTGTACACCGTCTCAACATTGCGGCTTCTCGCAAGGATATCATTACCCATGGTACATTGTTATAAATAATATCATGATAAAATTTCATTATGGCACGTATAAAAGTGCTAAAGAACACGATCTTTACACTTCAATCTTTCAAATCGCGACGAGCATGTGTTAAACGCGAGGAAAACATTTTTCACTGAATATCAATAACAAAAAACAAACGAACTTTCCTCGCACCGAGCACACAAAAACGAGTCATATCACTGATCGCCCCTGTAAAAATTCAATGGCAACTTAATGACAACACTCACCGAAAATGCCTGTGGCATTCCTCACTCACCATCCAATGAACACCAATTTTGCTGTCTCTATTGTTTTTAGGAGGAGAGAGTGCGGAAGCTTGCAAGTCGCAAAATGCCAAGGACGATAGTGTAAACAATTGCCCGGTGAATACTAACGACCAAACAATAACATAATATCAATGTGTAAGGGCAATAATTTTTTTCTTTTCCCGCATCCCCTGTGCGACCGCACTGAACGGGACTTGTGTTGAGGCGGGATGGTGACAGGTCTAGCGGGAGAGGCAGGACGACTACACTATAGGACTGCGGAATTGATTTGTGCTGTTAAAATAAACTCCCGCAGCATGATCCGATTAATTATCGGTATGCAGTGATTCATCATTAACTTTGCGCCCTTTATAGGGATATTAGCAGTTAGCTAATAGTTATACATATTAGCAAATAGTTAGTAGCTCCTTACAAATGTTATAATTTCCTACTCAACAATGTAAATGCAATATAATGCATGCGTAACAATTACATTGTTGAATGGGAAATTATAACATTTGTAAGGGGCTAATTGTTAATGTGACATGTCACTTCGACTCTACACAAGTCCCCTCCAGTGCGGACGCATAGGAGACACGGTAAAATTACAAATTATTGTCCGTACACATTGATATTATGTTATTGTTAGTTGGTAATATTTACCGTGCAGTTGTTCACTCCATTGTCCTCGGCATTTTGCAGCTTTTTCCCCGATCGTCCACATCTCGTCTTAGGAATAAGAGAAGGTTTCTCACGCAAAATTCAGGCGTTACGCAGGCGTTCCGAAGCAATAATGGCGGGAATGCATCGAAACGTAACTGCCGTATTTTCTGCAAATTCGAGAAAACTTCAATACGAACCCAATACGAACACTCACCACTGTTGACATTTGTCGCATTCCCGACTCGGTCGCCTGGTCCCCCGCAGCTTTTCGCGAGCACCCCCGCACTCTCTCTTCCTGGGGACAAGAGACAACTTTTCATGCAAAATTCGTTACTTTTAGGTGCCACGTCGGTGTTTCGGAAGACCAATGGCGGCCATGCAGCGAGAACTACTTTCCGTACCTTCCAAGTCCACGACCCTCCGTGCATGGCCCGAGCGGCGGCGACGACGATCATCACCATCGACTCGATCCTCACGGTGGTCCCGGTTACTACGGCAGGCACTGGCCGATCACGTACCTGCACCGGGAGCCGCCACCGAATTGCACGGATTCTTTCGCGTCAGCCGACAACAGCGGGAATCGTCGAACGAACGAGACGACACCAGCAACGGCCGAGAAACCGACGAGCATCGCGATGTCAACCGAGACTAGCGACGGCAACAGCACGACCGCGGACACGAGAGCGTACCGACGACGATTACGAACGAGAATGACGCCGGCCAACAACGATACGAGACGCGACCGCCCGATATACTTACGAAAAACCGGCGTCCAACCGTTAACGGCGAACCACGCTCATCGTCCGGGAGTACGTGCCGCGCGAATCGAGCAAGTTTCAAAACCGCCGCGGGCCGTTCCACTCGGCGGGCACACTCCCCACACCGTTACCGCCTCGCCACGCCCGACAGCTGCTGCCGCCGGCGGCGCCGGCGCGCAACTCGAGCGCGTGCGACTCGACGGCGGGATGATCAAAGTGCCTTTAATTGCGCCAAATAATTCACTGCCGACGGGAACTTAAATCGTCTGATATCGATTTCGAATATTCAACGCCGTGATTTCGTCATCATCAGAGGAGCGGTATATCGCAATTGGAAGATAAGAGAGGTTTAATTGTATTAATTAAGAGTCGGTCTAAGCAGAGTGACGACATAATGATTTCTATTTTTGGTCATTTATGATCTTGCGATGTTCTGCGACTAATGATGAACGATTTATAAGACGTCACTTCTCAGACAAGTTAAATATATTATGTTGAAGATGTCTCACAGACGTCCGACGGATATCTTTTTGTAAATTATAGTATTTTTACATCCTAATTGTAAAATCATAGATTAGTAACATGATCTAAACCAGAAAGTATTAACTGTAATTGGATACGTCCGTTTTTTTATATTGAAGGGACGAATTTTATAATATCTTATAACATAATAGAATCCACTAGACGCTGTAAATGTTTAAGCGCCGTGATGATTAATTTGTAAACAAGATTCTCGCAATAAAGTATTAACGCATCATCACTCGTCATCATTTATTCTTTATTAGATATTTAATGCTTTCCCATTCTGAGTGTTTCAAAAATCTGCGCCAATAACACGGCTTAATCATTATCACCATCGAGCCAGTTTCGTATTGTACGATCCTGAGCCATTCAATAACTCGGAGCACTTCAATGATTCCAATGACGTATTATTACGTAGCCCGTGTGGTGCCAACTTGAAAATTCTAAATTTCGTAAGTCTTATATAATATAATTCGCTCTCCTCTCCGTGCTCTCTTCTTACAATATCACAGAACAACAAATTCAAAAGATAACAATAGTTAACATTGCTTAAAATTTCCTCTTGATTCTTTAATTATTTTTTTATGTGAAAAATTCAAATATTTCGGGCCCAGTATCCTTCAAGCATCCAGCACTAGCTAATTCACCATGGTGGGGAGCGACAAAAACCTCCGGAGACCTATGCAGTCAGTTCTGTGTAATCTACGAGATAACGTGGATATTAACGTGACGTTTCTTCCTTTCCTTTTAGACCTTCGTCTAATTGGTTATATTACGCAAGAGCACTTAGTCGCACTGAAAATCGATCAGTTGTACCATCGGCAAGCAAGACAAACTGATGTGCTCACGTCGCCATGTCGACCAAAGAAGGAACCGATATAACAGGTAAATCAATATTACCATTGTTTGTCGAGTAAAATATCATTTAATAAGTATTTCTATTTTTATGTGTCATGTTGAAAGAAAGAAGAGTAAAAATAATCCGATTAAAAAATAGGAATAGGAGTGGAGATAAAATGGATTATAAATGTAGATGGCAGAGAGTCAAAGGTTGTCTCACACACGCGTGTATACAAACAAACTTTTTGACTTTCTATTATAGAAAATCAAATTTGATTACTGATAATAAAGATCACGAAGCTATAATTGCACACGCATAATTGATATAATTATAATTATGTATGAATATAGCTAATGTACAAAATTAATAATTAAAATTGAAAATTTATGGAAGACCGCTTTAGAGTATTCCAAAATTCTCGGGTATCATTTTCTTTCGTTCTTGAATTCGAATGAACTTTTCAATCTGCTCATTTCATTGCGCAGATATGAGAATTAAATACAAAAATAAGAGCGAAATCTTTACGGAAGATCAGCTGGTGAGCAAGGAGCCGATCACGCAGTTCAAAGCATGGTTCGAGGACGCCTGTAATAATTCGCAGATTGAAGAGCCTAACGCGATGATGGTTGGAACGGCGACAAAGTAACATTTGTACTCATATCCCTCTCTAATACATAGTAAAAAATATTTTTAATTTATGTTAAAATTGGTCTCCATTAAAATTTTTGTGTTAAATTTTTAACCATATATTATTAACGTATTAATTTTACATTAATATTTCATATAATATCTATGTTACTTTTCAACATATTCACTTTATGTTAAACTAATACAAAAATTTGAATAGACTATTTGGTATATGTGAAATGTATTAAATTTAACAGAAATTTTTTACTATGTACGAACTAGGAATTATCCGTCAGAATGCCGTTCTTTCTTGAAAAAGAATAAAATCCGCACTCATTATATTAGCGAGCCGCAAAGAGCGATATGCAATGATTTAACGCGACATTCATCGGTGCAAACGTGACGTGTGAATATATTCTTTCCTTTCTTTCCTCAGAGACGGTGCTCCGTCCGTGCGCGCGGTCTTGTTAAAGAAGTTCAGCACCGAAGGTTTCACGTTCTACACGAATTATGAAAGCAGGAAAGGCCGCGAAATAGTAAATTTCATATATATATCTTGACAAATTCGCACAGAGAAAAGAAGAAAATAATGTTAATCGATTTGTTTTCAGGCTGAAAATCCACGCGTCGCACTCACTTTCTACTGGGAGACTCTTCGACGAAGCGTACAGTATATTCGATACTTAATTAAAATTTTTTTTTTTCGATTGCTCTCTAGACGTGTAACTTTCTTTTCGTAACTTTCTTTTCCTTAATAATCATCATCCTAATCTTTATTTTAAGTTTCTCGATGTCTAATTATTTTTCACGCAAATACACGTACAGATACGTATCGAAGGAATCGCGGAGAAAACATCGGCGGAAGACTCGGATCGTTATTTTCAAAGCCGGCCGTATGGGAGTCAGATCGCCGCCGCTGTCAGCAAACAAAGCAGAGTGATAGCTGGCAGAGATGCTTTCATTGAGAAAGAGAGGGAAGTTCTCGAGCGTTCTTCTTACGTTGAAAGACCGGATCACTGGTAAGTAGTATTGTAATTGATCTCTTAAATGCGTTCTACAATGCGTCAGACACTCCGTTGCCAACTGCGAAGAATAACAATGAACTGTTAGTTACAAAAGTGCTATTTTTAGTTACAATGAGATGTTGTTATCGCCAGTTGTTATCGCCAAGAAATTCAATTTAAACGACTCTGCTTTAGCAACCGCGATTTTCTATTGCAACCGAAAATAGAACCTTCTAACCAGTAGTTGACATCCTTTGCGACTGACGACGAGGCATTGTAGAATGTCTTTAAATCTTAATCAAGGATTAATTGTTAAATCAGAATATAAATGCCGTCTACACTCTACTCTTCTTCTTCTTTCAAACGTGAAGCTCCAAGTAAAATTGTGAACTTCTTTTTTTGCTGTATTTGTTCTCAACTTACGATTAGATAAAATATGTAATTTTCAGGGGTGGTTATCTCGTCGTGCCGCATACCGTGGAATTCTGGCAAGGTCAGAGCGATCGTCTTCACGACAGAATACGTTTCAGGCGTCCGAAAGAGAACGAGGAGATCGACAATATTCTCGTACATGGAGGGGAGGACGGATGGGTTTACGAAAGACTGCAACCATAAAAAAAAGTTACGTATTATCGTCAAAAAAGAATAATAAGAAGAATAATGAATGAGGAGAATGAAAAAGATAAACAAATGTGTTGCCCTCGCAATTAATTACTGCAACATTCCAAATAAATACCTGTTCCACGAAGACAATAATATATATTAGAAAAATAATGTAGTTGTATAACGTCAAGGCAAAAATCTTGTCTTGTATAACAAGGAGTTGCAGACTCTTTAATGTGTCCTCCTTGTAAGTTTCAGTATTTCACGATTCACACCTGAAACGTACGCATAATTGTTATTACGTTGAACAAATGAGTAAAAAATATATCTGTGATCATCATTAATCACCATCTTGATTTCTCCAGACCATCTTTACGTCAAAGTATCCTTCCTTCAGTACAAAACTCTCGAACTGCCTCATTCCACCACCCACGCCGAAATAATAAGTCTTCCCGGCGACGAATCTAAATAGGGACTTAGTCTTTATAGCTACTTGTACAAGAATAAAAAACTTGTGCAAGATACTGTGTACTCACACAACGCCCTTGATCTTCAACCTCTTCTTAAAAACCTCGTGCAGCTTGCTGTAATTGTCCGGATTGTAAATCGTCTCGCTTGTAAAAATGTAATCGCACCTTCTACCTTCGTCATCGTCAAATAACGTTGCGAAAGACCCCCAATCTCCGGCATAAAACTCACATCTAGCTAATACGCTCGCACGATCGTCGAAGTTCAACAGCACGTTCGGTATAGTCAAGGATCTTAGAACTTCGGCATTCTAAGGGAAAAAAAATTATTTCGTTACTCGCGCGCGCATGACTCGTCTTTCGACACGATGCTTGTAAATTATACACGAACATAATCTTGAAAGTGGACCGTGGAATTCTTGAGAAGAGCAGTAATGCCAATTAATCCCGCACCGCATCCTAAATCCATGACGAGCTTATCCTTCAGCTCAATATCCTCCTTCAGTATATACTGGCCCAAGTCGAAGGTGCACTCCCATACTTTCAAACCACCTGAATTGCATAATTAATTCTTAATTTAAATTTAAATTATATTTTACTTAATTTAAAACTTAAATGAAATTTTAATTTCGAACATTCGGACGAATAGCTTCAAACCTTTGGCATATTGTGCATACACAAAATTAATTTTTTATAAATTTTACTCGAACAAAAAATTTGGTTTAACACTGTTTCGGAATATTTAATATAGACAATTAAAACATAACAAGAGAAACAAAATCCAATTGAATTCTCATTGAAGGAAAAATAAACTTTGGATTTTCAAATACAATTTTAAATTTATTACCTTCGTATTTAGCTGGAATAAGATCGGAATGTTGTAACTCCGCCTCGAAGATATCCTGCTGGTTTTGCTCCCACTTACTAATAAAATCTTCCATTATTTTATCGAAGCGAATTAATTTCAGATTGTAACCAGGCAACATTTTCGTCTCTGTACAACAATCGGCTTCATATTTCTCTCCAATTTGTTCAGACGTTATTTGAAGTTTTGATGCAAGGATCCACGCTAAATCCTCTTTCTTTTCACCTTTGTCCTCTAAAATTATTTAAACAACTGAAATTCGTCGAGTGTACAAATACTTCGTGAAGAGAGAGTCGTTCGAATTTTCGCGGGGTGGCAAATCAATAAAGTACTCTAACCTCAAATTACTACGGGGGGATCTCTTGAGAGACTTCTGATAAAATAATCGACATACCTTCGTCAGGATTGACTGCATTTCTTGCAAATCCGAATTTAAACATTTTTTCGCAGAATTTTAGAAGATGTCCCAAAATCGAGAGCTTACACTTTCAGTAGAATTAAAATATCAACCATGATTAGACATCATAAAACACAACGTTTCATTGCATCCGCAACGGTAAGTCAGGAATCTACTGAAATACCGACGAATCTGTGACCTGCTTGCACATAGTACGTCGTGACATCTGGTATAAAATATAAGAAGTTCTAACACCAGTATAAATTCAAAGCATTTGAACTAAAGAACATACTGGAATAAGCACCACCTTTGTTTTTGGCAGATAACCTCATGCCGAGAGAGAAAATATTTAAGTAGTATTTCTATCTTTGTTTGTTTGTGTCCATTTTTGTCTTACTTTAGCCTATATAGATAACTATATAGCATGTTAATAAGACAGAGAGCGAAATATTATTTAGACGTGGCCTTTGTCGTTTTATCCTCTTTTACAGGTCATGCTCATTCCAGTTTGTTAATGAATTTAATGATCGAAAGGGACAGAAATACCTTATAGATATTTTAATTTTAAATGCAAGAATTTAAAATTGTTACTGCAAGAAATAAAATGTTTTGCAGAATGTATCGATACAGTTATCATCAGCGTTAAATACATCAAGCTCGCACTTAATATCACTCTCACATATTAATATTCTTCATTTCTAGATGATACTATCGAAGAAACTGTCATGCCGTTATTTTTACTTTGTTCATTTTCATATTATATAACATACATAATTTTTATTTATTACATAACATTATATAATACAAATTATCTAGTAACCACAATCTCTCTCTCTCTCTCTCTCTTTTTCTTTCCCCTTTTTTCTCCGCATCACGGTGTGACTTGCAAGACTCGCTTAGCTCATCGCACATCACATCGAGAAACGTTAACATCTTTTCACACGAATAGTATTGCAATTCGTGTAATTAGTATCGTAATGTCCCTCCACGATTTTTCGCGCAATTAGCCGGTGGCCATTGCACATTTCGCAGTTTCTTAAGAACGCAATCGCACATCCCTTCTTCATTATTTTGATAGCACTGTCATCGTTCACGTCTGCGTCAACCGCTTGTGATTTTATCGCGAGCTCTTTCAGGAAACCGCGAGTTCTACTCTTATTTTTCGCGTTTAACGCGAACCAAGCTGCATCACCTCGTTTCCGGGATTATTATCATCGGAAACAAATGCGCGTTCCGTGAATTCGGCTACGAATCTAGCGTTAACTGCGTTAAATAAAAAAAAAAAGAATCTCCTCCTATTGTCGAGGACGAATTAACGACGCAGAAAGCGGAATCGTTCTCCTTCTGAAACGACTCGCCGCACCGTGACGCTCAAGTTACGTTAAATAACAAATGGACGCAGGAAGTAATTAGTCGACAGCTGTCGACGGGTAAACAAAAATCATCGTGAAATCACCGGCGAACGGACGATTCGTCCGCTCATTATGTTGACGCTTATTATTCTTCCTGATGGATTCGCACGCCGCTGTAGGCCGCATAATGCGTATTTTGTTTGCCGTAACTATCGAAGAAGCCGTCATACCGGGCTAAAATGTGAAAAACTATTCGAGTACTGCTCATCCTTTCGATGATGATTTCACTTTTCCATTATTAGGTTCGGAATGGTCTTAAGCACATTCTTGTGAAACAAGTTTCTTGTAAAACAAGATGACGAATGAAACAAAGAATTCTAAATAAATATACTCGCGCGGAAGCCGATTCTTGAACAACGCATATTTCGTGAAGTTCACTAAAATTTCCAGAGTTCAGCCGGTTGACGATTAACGACACATTTTCTTAGACCGAGATGATCTCGAGACGCAGTTTGAAAGATAAACATATTATTCACAAGAGATATTCCAGATATCGCAGGTATCGCGAGATCAATCGTGAGCTATCGCGGCGTACCTTATCGAGCTGTTCGATTTCTTATCATGCATTCCGCGCCCTTCCACGTTTCGTGCTCCCGATGGAAGAACAGCAGTAGGAGTTTACATATTTCGGACGACAATGTGCAAGGAAGAGTCACCGTACTTCTCCTCCCCCTCTTCGTCGTCGTTGTCGCCATTGCCACCGTCATTTGAACCGCCGCATAGAAGAGGGGACAGGGTTAAGGGACCAAACGGGTTGTTCGAACGCCGCGGCTTCTGCGAGGGACTTCCCGGCCGCGTTCGGTTTTTCGTTTAAAAGCGGACGCGGTAACACGATGTCCGTTCAGTTTCACATTTAACACGCGCTGTGTATACAGTGTCAATCATCATGAGATCGTCTTCTTATCTCGTCGTGCCCGCATCGAGCCTCCTGGTGCTCCTCTTCGGCGTCTTCCTCGGGCGCGCGGTCCTCGCCTCGCCCGTCAAACATCCTAATTGCATCGGTGCCGCCGGTAAGTCACTTCGATGATTTTCTGTAATTTTGTGCTGAGAAAGAGGAAAAAAATGGTCAAAATTAATGAGTCGAGGGAGACTTTACGACTTGGTGACGTCACATAGGAAATGCGTGGGTCACGTTTACGAGGGATTTATCACATAGACGAGGTGTTTAGAAGTGCGACTTTTTTATCTGTTACTTGGAGTAATTAATGTTATTTTAAAGAACAGGTTTTTCTCATAACGAACCGACTTGTTTTTTTATATCGTATTTACGACGCTTTTTTCTGATTGCTTTTGAATATGTAATTCGGATTCCCAGCCGAAAGAAATGTTGTTCGTGCACATTATCCTTATTTCAATTCGATCCGATCGTATTTCTTACTGGTAATCATTTATAGCCGTTCTATTTCTCAAACACACGTACACACACACATGCACACACACGGGTGATAATAATTCAACGACATGTATAAAAATACCGTTCATAAAATACCTTAAAATACGACAAAGATCCGCGCCAAATTTCAGCGTGTTCACTCAGATATCGGCGAGTTCAAAACGTTACGCGATCATTCAAACGCTCATTAACATCCACTTAACTGTCGTGAGTCATCTACATGCAAATTAAATTATTCGTCACAGTGAAGTCCGGTTAGAATTATCGTATATGTATATATAATAAGTGAGCGACGTCACGGTCAAGTAACTTTTATCAGATTTAAATTCACCGTGTCATAACATCGGTGACGTACAATGTTCTGATCGCGTCACGATATCAATTTCATAATATACCGCGACCACGACACACACATACACACACGCACTCGTCTGAGTAACAAACAAATAATAAAATAAAACATATAATAATCGTAGAGTTTATCATTTAATTCGCGCGAATACGTAATCGCCGGGGCTGAGTTTCGGAAACCTGTTTACACGGCTGTAAATCTGTCGTTAAAAACCGTATATCCTCCGTGCGAAAAGAATCCGGGATTTTTCTCAGATCTCTATTCAGACATTTGTCCGATAAAAATCTCAGCTGGTTAAAAATCATCTCGAATATTTACTGAGATATAGACTATCAAATCGACGATAGATAAGTTCATATTCACGATGGAAACCCCGAACGGAATCGGGAAGAAATAAAGAAAATCGCGTTCGAGATAAAATCTTACAAGCTTAATAACACGCTCCTCGTCAACACGAGTTTAACGATCCTTCTTGGCTAACCGGTAGTTTTCCTACGAAAGTTTCCATCCTCAGGACGATATCGTTGCATCAGTCGGCCCGAAATTATCGTACGAGTGTCGGCGAATCGCCATCGCCATACTGATACGTTCGCAATTACGCAACTAATTGTTGAAAATGTGTTTGCCGGCTCGTTAGCTGACTCATATAGCTCGAATAAAATATTATAAGTCGGCATTTAAGAGCGCACTCCTAACACTCGTCGTTTGTAATTTATGTTAGTCAAATTTCTCGATCTCGCCGACGATGGTGTGAAAGATGCCAGCGACGACTTTCACCGAGGATCAACAATCGTTGTTACGAGCGATAATTAACGCGATTATAAGTTCTTCAAGAACCAAGCGACAATCTCGTAAAGCGCTTTCGCTTTCACACACTGAGAGAGAAACGCATATTATTCGAGACTATAATTGCATAATAAAATATTTATAACTACACAGAAAGAAATGTTAGATTCAGATAAATAATTACTTCAATATTACTTAGCGAATTTTCACTTGGATTAAGTAAATTTTACACGGATCAAATAAGTATATTTTACTTGGATAATTTATTTAGAAAATATTTTATTTGCTAAATATTACTTGATTCAAGTAAAAATTTGCTGAGGAGTGTAGGAACAATTATTTATTTGAACATAGCACTCGTTTCTGTGTGGAAAATCCATCTTTGTAGTAAATACGTTAGCAATAAAATGCATACAGGTATTACGTTAAACTCTTGAAATTTTCATCGACTTTACGATTTATTGTTCAAGAAGTTTGCGCGATATGCAGACGTTATCGGCTTTCGCGAGGATATGTATATTTATTCAGAATGTTTTGTTACACTCATCACCCCAAAGCTTTTACAAGAATATGCGTAAGATTCTTACTTTCCTATTAAAACGACAACAAGAAACGTGATTGACGCCAAAAATGAGATACCATTTTAATATCTTTCATCTTAACGAGATCAGTCACTTTTTTCTCTCTCGTTCTGAGCGACGGACGGATTTCTTGACTGTACAGAGTGCCCGAGGATCGTCAGTCGGGAAGAATGGAAGGCCAGGAAACGTCTAGGCTTCGAGCTACTGCCAGTGACACCGACGCCGTACGTGGTGATCCATCATGGCGGCATACGTAGATACTGCAAGGATCAGGAGTCGTGCTCCGCGATCGTTCGGTCTTACCAAAATTTCCACATGGATGACCGGGGCTGGTATGACATTGGCTACAATTTCCTCGTCGGCGAGGACGGGAACGTCTACACGGGTCGCGGCTGGGACTACGTCGGCGCCCACGCCATTGGATACAACACGCAAAGCATCGGCATATGCGTTCTAGGAGACTTCACCGGTACTTAAGATTGTCGCTTTATCTCGATCGAATGTCTCGAAATAGAGTAAATGATTAAATAGCGCATTAAACATGTAATTGTTATATAAATATTGTTTATCCGAGGATTTTTCCGCTCTCTGTTTCTCGCGGAAAAATAATCAGATTCAGATACAGAAAAAAAAATATACAAGATCTCTGCTGCAAAATAATTACATAAACGCATGGCAAAAAGTGGTTAAGTTGTGAAAATTATTGCTTGAAAACTTGACGCTGCCGTCAGGCGATAAATTTATGGATAGGTGTCAGAATCTATTTATTTACAACGCAGCAAAACGATCGGGATATACGTGGTTATGACGCAGGATAAGCGTTTTTGCGTCAATACGCTCATTGACGCAACGCGAATATGATTTCGCAGATTTTCTCCCGAACGCGGCCGCTCTGAAGGCGTTGAACGAGCTGATAGCCTGCGGGGTTTCACTCGGCAAGATAAGCGACAAGTACAATGTGATTGGCCATCGGCAGACGCGAGCAACGGAGTGTCCTGGTGAATCCTTCTACAAGTACGTAAAAGCTCTTCCCCGTTGGACGGCGAATCCGATACCGCTTCGCACGAACACCACCACCACCACCACGACGGAGCCAACGGAGCTGAGAGACAACGACGTGGCGGGGAACGACAAACCTGCCGCTTTATGATGACTCTTCCGGGTCATTCTAGCGAGATTAACCAAATTTGCTCTAAACGCTGCCACCCGGTATATAAGATGAAGATTTGAGACCAAGAGCCCGCCAGGTATCACGAAATTATCTCGCTCTTGTTGCAAGACGCTCACGTGAGCCACGTGATCATAGTAACTAGTAACTTAATTTTTCCATTTCATTTCCCTCTTTTTTAACGAGTTGCGGACTTACAACGGAAGACAGTCGGGCTTCGCCTATATAATAATAAAGTTACGAAGTCTGTTGTTATTAGCCGAGCTGGTTCGTACTTTTCCCCGTGAAATAAGTATGTGACCGAAAGTTGGAAAGGAAAGGAACGAAGCGCGGCATTGGTTCAGCTGAGAAAACAAACTCATCATTTTAGCGTCTCTCGATATGCCAGACGTTGAATAACGGTTGCTATTTCTTGCCACACGGGCGTTATGAAAGGTCCTGCGACGAAACACATTCGTCGTCCTTCGGTTGGTTCATTTTACGAAGAACGGTTTCTCGCGGTCTCGCGGAGGTAGTTCCCCGATGTTCCAGATTTCCCAGCACGAGCGCGCTCGACATCGGTGCTACATTATAATAACGGCTGAAATCTATGTCGCGAATGGATTAATTAAACAACAATGTGTGTCATTGATACGATACGGTATACCTTGAGCAGGGTCGACGAATGCGCACTTTATCACACACCGCCGCTGTAGTTCGACGAGCGAGATCGATGTCGCGTGCTCGGGCTGTTCCGTGTGAACTTTCACGTGTGCTTACGGAATCGTGTGTAGCCCGCAAAGGGGCCGCGGCCTTCGTGTTTAATTAGTTAATGATCATTGAAAGATCACCGCGCGACGTGATTCTCTTCTCCGACGAAACGAATTTCTCCGCGCACGTGCCTCACAATTATATAAATGGCGTGTAAATTACCGTCGAATATTTTTACAAAGATGTCTGAACACGATTCCGAGAGACCTTCGTGCGCAAGTCGTGAAAATGTGAGCGGTGAAGCCGCTGTTTGGGACTTTCGGGAATTCCTCGGGTCAATGGCAGCAATTTCGGAAAACGATAGAAAACAATTATAGACGTGAATCCTGCGCGAACGACCGACACGCACCGACGAGCCACCGCTGGCGGTCTCCACTTCGATCTTCGCCATCAACGCGAAATGCTACCGAGCTATATTATATAGCTATAGTTAGTAGTAAAAAAATAGCAGAGAAAAAAAGAAATTAAATATTAAGTTGTCGATTAATCATAATGATCGATTGCCTCTCCCGAGAACGCCTGTTATTAAGTATGATTCTGCGGGAGCCGAATCGATAAGATGGTTTGTATCGCGTAATGTAATGTGACATATTTGCTCCCGGGTATGCATTTATAATGTTTTCTTGTCTTCAAATGCTGTACGGAAAAATGAATGTAGAAACCAATCTCTTGCGAGATTATCTAGCGCATTTCGCCGGGCGAGCAAATCGAACGATCGACTTCGATCGCGCGATCATTAAAACGACGCGTATTTATTGATTAATTATTGCGATAATAATGGTTGCCAGATCAGGCCGCGCGATCGACTCATCAATGTTCCTGAATGAGCCTGTTCCTCTTAAGTAGTACAAACGATTAGTGACATAATGACGTCACTGTTATTTGTATTTATCATTTTTGTCCATTAAAATAGGATTATTAGTAGAGATAGTATTCCATCTATGCGTGTGTAATATTTGTGCACATTTGACGATGAAATAAATACATATTGTGAATTGTGTGTCGCTCTTTTTTCCTTACATATTATCCTTTTCGTTTGTACACGGAAAAAAGTAATTAATTCAACAGCGTCAGTGTGATTGAAATAATTGTTTTTGATTCAATAGCAATATTATTGAAATTAACGTGTCATACCATTATTTTAACCACTTTAGTATTCGCATCGATAATATAGCAGTTTTAGAAAAACTTCATTAAATCAATCGTATACCTAGTTATTCCAAATAATTATTTATTTAAATTACATTATATAAAAATAATGATGAGGTTTTAGCAGAGAGAGATGGTCTCCGCGACACGGCGCCGCTCGTAACTGCCTCGCTCGTGATAAACTTTGCTCGCGCCTGGGTATACAGGGAACAGATTATTCTTAAATCAAGATGTTTTCATGTATATGCATGAATATTCTGAATTTTTTACAAGATTTTTAATCTTGTCTGATTTTATTGAATTTGCATTGACACAAGTATTATTTACAAATATTAATGAATTCAGAATTAAAAAAAGGATATTATAATATTCTCGCTTATATAAGAGAATATCTGTTGTTAATGTAAAATAATTTGTTTTCTATGTATATATCAGCGTCTCAGAAGCGTCCGGTAAGTTGGAAAAATGTATAATAAATAAAAATTGATTTATGCATTTCAGGTCATATACTCGCGGCACCTTTTCTTCTAAATCAGTGCTAATAGAGAAGTTCTTATACTGAAAAAAGAAATTGATTGAAACAACAAATAATAACGTTGATGAATGAAACGTCGATATCACTGAGTGCCACAAATATCTGCAGTTGATCTGCAATCAATTGTATTTACCACTGATTTCGATAAAATCTATTTATCGAAGTTCAATTACATTAAATAACAAAGGAAAATCGAACGAGATTGAACTTCTCGTCATCGGACATTTCTACTCACTGTTAGCGCAAAACTTATTTCAACGAAAAGTACCTTGTGAATTTCTCCTGAATTCTCCTTCCCTTTACGATAAAGTCAACATTTTTTTCAATAATACGATCCGAACAGCATTCTTTATAACTGTGATTCCCGTTTCAAGCCTGCTTCCCTACTTTTCCTCGTTCATCCCCATTAAGTAAATAACAAGATTAGTTGGAAAGACACTCACAGGGAAGTCCAGAAGAGGGGATATTTTTAACGCACGCATTTCAGCCATGCATACGTACGTGCACGTACACATCTGGTATCGCACATAGACATTTGTATATCCATACACTGCGCAGCTGTCAGAGATCATGCCTCGTTAGCATATCATTAATTAAGAGGACATCCATATATAATGCGAAGATATGCCCTGTAGCATCAGTAGTCGTTATCGTTTGGCAAAAATGTACATCACATCGGCGGCAGTGGTGACCATCGCGGCAGTCTACCTAACGCTGCTCATCCCGGAGACCAAAGCCGGTAATCAATTAATTAAATTAATCGCGCTAACGCCACCAATGTCGTACTGAATCTTATCTCACATCGAGATCGCCGCAACACCGGAGTAATTCTCGTCATTGTGCGTCACTCATTTCTCGTGTCGGCATGAAAACTTACCGTTAACTCACGTATCAATCATTTTTGAACGGTATCTCGCGCACGGACGCCTCGAAGAGAATTTTTCCCTTTTTTGCGTCTCCGCGAGATTATTGTATAATCTCGCGGTACCAAGTCAATGCGGCGTCGCAATATTTTGCTCGAACACGAGGTTATCGTGAGATCACTCTGCGGGATATTGACAAATATAACTTGCATCATCTGATATCTCTATCTATAGTGCTTTCCCGAACAATTATTATTCGATTGCTCACGGCATTTGATTAATTGCACATGCCGTAGCTGTTAATATCGCCGCGATCTGAGCCTATTTGCATACAACTATAATATTTTTATCAACACGAATTATCACAAAGTGGCGTCTAACGATTAACAAAATTTCTCGGATAATCGTCAATCACGTCGACGCGACTGTTCACATGCCGAGTCACGGCCTCCAATGTTACGGTATAATAATTATGTTATTAAAATTGTTACAAGTGGAAGAATTATTTTTATTATCATATCTCTACAAATGTGTTTTCAATTTCCTCATTGCATAAGTAGGAATTATAAATGTATATTCATTTGGCTTGTAATTACACATGAGTGAACTGCGCAGTCTCTTATTCCTTGATTCTCAAGGATCGAGCTTGTCGTATCCGTTGTGCAACCGATCTTCATAAACTGCCAAACAATGTAAATTATTCCGTTCACGTGAAAGACATACTAGACATATAAAACAGCATGTGGGCTCGTAAATCTCGTCGTATTTTGTCCGTTAGAAGATTTTGTCCGTTTTAATCGTGTAAAAGCCGCGATAGTTTTTACGCACGACTAAACAATCACTTAAGATTTTGATTCATGTTAATTTATTGATCGATCAAGTTGATCGCACAGCCGATTTGGAACAACAGAAGTTAAATGTGAAATAAAATCTTCCAGCTTGTGGATTTCAAAACTTGATGCACGTGCGTTTCCACACCACTACAAAATCTTAATTATGCAAGTGTCATCCGACACTCGATGTCACTAAAAGAACTCTTTTGTCTTTCCAGCTACGCCACAAATCATCTCGAGAGCGCAATGGGGCGCTAGAGCAGCCAAGCGTCGATCTCCCAATCTCACGATGCACCCAGCGCCTTATGTCGTTCTTCACCACTCGACCGGTGCTAACTGCGACACTCAAGCTATATGCCAATTGAGAATAAGGGGATTTCAGGTGAGCTAAAGTGAGAAAAGGACGAGCATGTATTCTCAAAATAACAGGTTTCTTAATCTCCGATTCACACGTACGCATAAAAACCGGTCAAAACGAAATCACGTTCCTTTCTATTTTTCAACCAGACATCTGTCGTTTACAAATTTCGAGATTTACGGTATTTTGCCGCCCGGTCATTTTGTCCAATCCATGACATAACAGACGATTTAACACGACGATACATCTCGCATATATCATATACTACTGCTCATACTTATTTATTTGTTTCTTAAGTGTCCACGAAGAAAACTTTTTCATTTCTCACAAAAAAGAAACAAAAATATTGCATTTAACTTGCAAATACAAGAAGAACAGGAAGAACAGGAAGGCAAAAATTTATATTTTTATAAGCAAATATACCTCTATATACATATTTCTCGTAATGATCGTCGAATTCTGTTTCAAGAATTATCACATGAACAGCAAAGGGTGGGCCGACATCGGCTATAATTTCATTGTCGGCGAAGACGGCAACATCTACGAAGGTCGCGGTTGGGGTAAACAAGGTGCTCATTCAAAACCTTTCAATAACAAGAGTATTGGAATATGCGTCATCGGCGACTACACTAGTAAGTTATATGAGAAATTATATATGAGAAATGACGGAAACTTTTGTGTCACCTTTACATCGTCTAATATATTTCTTAATTCGATAGACCGAACGCCAAACACAGCTGCGGTTCAAGCTGTCCAGAGGCTAATCGATCACGGGGTATCCATCGGCGAAATAAAGAACGACTACAAGCTGCTCGGGCATCGGCAAACTTGGCAAACCGCCTGTCCCGGAAACAGTCTTTACACGATGATGCAATCGTGGCCTCATTGGGCGCCGGCCGCTTAAGCATTACTTTTGATATCGCGGTCGAAACGGTCAGCTCGTAAGCTATGATTGCGTTTGTAGTTTTATTCTTTGTATTCGTGTCATTTCTCGCTGGGTCTCTCGATACACAACCAAAAAAACTAAATCGAACGGTCTTTATTTATTCATTTGTAATTTCGACCAAGTGTAACAATTTAATGATGTTATCGAGGTTATCGAATCGATACATAATGTCCCCGATAGCCGTTGATGATAATCACATGTAGGCAGTTACGAGGCCGTTGACGTAGGTGTCGTAAGTGTCCTCCTCCGTTCTGACGCAAATTTCCAAACTCGAGAGATCAGGTGACAGATAATCCCTCCCGTAATCAACCTGGTCCCTTACCTGAAGCAGATCCAGATCCTTTCACACTACTCGCGCTGCCAAAAACTTGGCAAAAATATCGCCAATGATCGCCTTTAATCTTTGAAGATACGACTTAACGTGCGCGATGATTGCACACCTCGAGCGGAATCCGCCTGCCAAGATGTTTATTCAGTTCTTCTATGCACACCTTGGTCCCATAGGGAATACCAGATCTGAGATTACCGGCGACGGTGACGTAACGATTGCGGCCGTCGAGGAAATCCTGAAACACGTCCACGAGTTGGACTCGGCGAGATGATTCCCGGGGATTGTTCACGAACCTGAAGAGTGTTCAAACTCTCGCCTCGCTCGTCCAAGTGGTTGCGTTTGTCGTCCGTCCCGAATACTGGATAATATGCGGTGAGGGACACATTGTGGTGAGCGCGCCCCGTGCATTTCAAGTCCGTTCTGTTCAAACTGTCGTCTGAGAGATCGAATAATTGAACGTTAAGCGGGAACAAGTCGAAATTCGACTTCTCATTCGAGATCGTCGTGATCGTAAACGTGGGACACCAATTCAAGCTGAAGAGCCGATCAGGATATTACTTCATTTGAGTGCTCGCAGAGAAGAAGATCGAAGTGACGGTAAATTTGATCGTAAGCGGAAGTGACGAGGATTTCAACGGGTCGAAATCGTAGTTATTTCCGCTCACGATCAAATTTACCGGTTGTTTCTACTTTCTTCTGGATTACACAGACCTGAGAAGCACTGTCCTGACTGTGGTCCTTTGACTTGAATTTACGTCCCACGTTTATGGCTGCGGCATCAATTGGTGGGCGAAGTAGTAGTAGATTAACGCGGTAAATTTTCGCGTTGAAAGTGAAGTATCGCTCACCACTGGCGAAGGCCACGGAGAATAGGGAGAGCACGAAAATCAGCACGGACATTTTGGACTTCGCGGTTGGCCGGCGATTCGTGACTATCTAGCGACAATGTTCGTTCTGATCGTTGAACGACCGTGCGATCGCTTTAAAGCCGAACGATCTTTACACAATAGCGATCGGAATTCGCTAACGTTCGACAATTCACTCGGGCACGTGCGATACTCCAGCTGACCAGAAGAATCAGGATCGCCGTTGCGTACAGAGCGCGATGGATCGTCCTACTTTGAAAATCGCATGAACGATCGCGTCAGAGAGAAAAGAATTGCCAATCTCGCTGCAAATCACAGTCATTTTCCGGGTGAATCTTATTTTCTGATCGCTCTGATGAGGATGTAGCTGCACAAATTTGCATATACGATCATTATCAGTACCGTTGCAGCAGATCTCATACTGCAAGAAACGGGGATTTCCCGGCTATAAGTATATCACTACGTAATTAGTGAACAAATACTGAGCGTATTTTCTCAGTGAATAGCGAGGCACATTTTTTGCGCAACGACGTATCTGTCTCGCGTTTAGGCATACTTGAGCGGCATCGATTATTTGATTGCTCATTTATTAATACGCGTATTCGCAAGTCCGTGCCGCGGAGAAAGCGGATTCTCAAGTGGAATACCGTAAAATTGTGCCCTACGCGTTTATTATTCACACGGCACATCCTATATACACCCTACATTCACGACTTTTCAAGGAGTATATCGTTAAGTATAATAATTCGAATAAATACTTATACGAAGAATGGATCTCGAAAAAAAGCATTAAAGCGGATCGCCGTTGTAATTTTTAAGCGGACTTCCGCGCAGAACGGCTCTCGGTTGTCCCGGTTGACGCGATTAAAAAACTTCATTACCACTCCATTGCGAGGCGTCATACTGAAACCACTTTCTGACCTATAGCCCTCGTGAATAATATAGAAGCTCGGTGAATAGGACACGTGGAAAACTATGCATCGTCAGTCTTACGAGACGACTCGTAGCGACTTGTACGCGCTTGGGCTCTACTTGGAGGGCAAAAGTGGTGCGCGCAATGTACTATGAATCTGAGTGACACTTTTGACAGTAGCGAATCAAACGGCGAGTTAACCAACATTCTGCGAACGGAAGGATAAGAATGGAGATTCTTACAAAGTAGTACGAAGGCGAAGCTCGTGCTAATCGACGATCTTGCGAAGGTGATCTCGGTATCATTTTATTTCTCGGTGACATCCGTGGGCATCTCTCGCCCGAAAAGGTAATATTACGATTGGTACGCGGACGAAAAATATGTTGAATCGATAAAATTCGAGAAAAATCCAAATCACAATCAGATATTAAAATCGATAAAAATCAATTTGGTTGATTGATTTCCGCGTAATCTTACGATAAATTATCGTAATCTCAGGTGATGTAAGATACACTCGTTCTATTGTTTGCGACAGATTTTTGCGCTTCTCAGATCGGCGTTTTCCAAACATTCGAAACTTTCGTCGAGATCCATGTATCCACACAAACGATCGGTATAATTGACCATAATTTTGCGGTGAAATAATTACAGCCATTGAAGGCACTTTTATCGCGCGATTTTCAATCTCCAGTTTACACTTTTGCTTTTGTGTATCGCGACGATAAAATCAGTCAAAGAGCGTACACGCGACGCCGAGATACCTATGAACTATAACATGATCGATGTGTCATTGCTCCGTACCCACTAACATCGATTCCGGCGGTCGGCGATGCGCGAACAAACAAATAAAAGCGATAACAACGACGAGTCCACCGATGAGGAGGCGTCGAATTAGAGCGCAGGACGAAACGAAAATGAAAGTCGATAATCGCCGAGAGCATCACGACAGGCAGGTCAGGGTTATCGCGACAAACGACGTCGCGACGAACGAAAAACCGAGTCATCCCTTAACAAAATTATCCGTTAGAATATCGATCCATCACGCGTTACATCCGTATTGAACGACGCTCGATTGACGGGAAAAGCAAAAACACGACGAGTCGCGTCTTATCAAACCGGGCCGCGTTCTCTCATGTGCAACATATCCTTCGGGATTACGACCTATCAACCTACCATACCTCCCCCCCCCCCTGAAGTAATCTATCACGTTGCAACTGTAACGCTCGATTTCCCGCGGTTATTGACGCAGAGAAAGAAAGAGAGGGGGGAGGACGGGGAAAGATAAACACGCGCGCGGGGATACATCGCTTATTCCATTTCAAAGAGTCGATCGAACGCGACACTATTCCTCCCACGAGGAATGCACCTCTGCCGGCGGGAGTCGCGACTTCGTCGCTGCTCCGACATGAATTCTTCATCGATGCTCGATCACTTATTTATCAGCCGGCCGAGGGCTGGACGCTGCGATCCCACGTGAAAATCCGATTTCGCGAGAGCCGGGCAACGCGGACGACCGGGCCCTCGCAGGTGGCGTCTCGACGCGCCGTCGGGCCGACGCGTTCCATTCGACGCGCGACGCTTCCTCGTGTCGCACGTCGCCGACGTCCGACGCGTGTAATAACCCTCGCGATCCTCCTTCGATCCGCATATGATACCGTTAATTAAGCCGCGAATGTCGTTTGTAAAGTCGAGGTGAATCCGAGCCGAGCCAGGTACATCACTTTTCTATCTTCGACTCGCACCGACTGAGCCGCGCACAGCACCCAGCCTGGCTAAGCACCCAGAAAATCAATTCATCAGCATTCACCTTCCTGCATAATTAATTAACTGAAAAGAGAAAGAAATACGAGAACACCGAAACGTTCTTTCTTCATCAAAATCATCAAACACCTGCTTCTTTCTTACTTAAATCTTAATGTGCAGTGTTTTGCCAAACTAAGTCTCGCGCTTAGAGACAAAGAAAATCCGTCGATCTCATTATAATTATATGCAATCGTATGTATATATCATATAGTTATAGTTACAGTCAGTATTATTGTCGTTTATATTTTTTTTTGGTTGGTCCAACTGAAAGCTGTTGCAATTTGCATGTAAAGTTATTATCGCGTTGCTGAAGATTTAATATCATCACGATCAGTCACAAATTCGATAATAAATAAAAAATTACGATTAGGCAATTTATTCTCAAAGCTTTATCGATTCCGCGAACTACTGAGGCGCGTATAAATTAGCTCGTGACAGAGACATCGGGCATCAATATGAAGATTTATGTGCTACGCAATTATTATCGCAAATACATCTCTCATCTTCCCCGAGGGGAACACGCGATTGCAAATATCGTTCGCATTAGCAATTAAAATCGGAAGAACTTATTAACAGTTTTTGCTTATCTTGCTCGTGCTTGAAAAGTAGACACGTGCCTTACACCTCCAGCCTTTTGTTTTAAGAAGTCCCCGTGATGCACTAATTAATACGCATATGAGCACGCTTTCCTTACGATGATACGTGGAATTTGCGTTGTTAGGAACGTTCGATGGAAAATAGCGCGCGGAAAGCGTTATCCTCCTTTTCGTCGTCGCGAATGTCATTATCGCGAATTTATTAGTATATTTTAAACACGCTTATATTTAGCAACGTACAGTCGGTGGAAGAAAGGTCGTAAAACGTTTCCTTCTCAATGAGTTCCGTGACATCCATATATTCAATGAGTACGGATTTGGAGAATTTCTTTATTGACAACATTCGAAAGAAAGATGAGTTTTTCTGCGAAGCGTTCAATTAAAAGAGAATCTTTCTATCGGATACCGGATGCGTTCTTCGAAAATTTCACCGAGGTGAAAACGTCGCGACCTTTCCTCTGCCGGCTGTACGGCGTATCTGAAACGATGGGAACACGTGCATGTAAGGATCGCTCAACGTCTGCGAAAAACGAAAGCACGTAACGCGCGACACGGTGATACCGTGGCGGGAGCCACATTTGCATTCCGTTGAATTCCATTCGCGCGAGACCGTGGAAACGGGGAATTCACCGATTGTTTGCGCGCAAGAGGAAAAGTCAGAGAACAGCACCGTGTGTTCCGGATTAATCGCTTATGTATATTTAAATAAATCGACATGATTTGACGCGCGCGATAGCGCGTCACCTATGCATACCAATGGGCACGTAATTATAAATCGCGTCGTCGGTCGGCTTGCGGCTATTAAATAATCGTTCAACGTTCACAGCGTTTTCTTGCGGTTTTCACCGTCACCGCAAACGTAATTATCGCGACCCCATCACAGCGATGATATTTTTCGCGCTACAGCGAGAAGAGTTCGCGCGATCGGAGCAACCCCGTTGATTGAAAAACTCGGGACGGGACGTGAGAATTTCAATCAAACCCCATTATATCCCAAAGCAGAAATTTACGTCTAAATTTAAGCAGAATTTTGCGACTAAATGGGATCCGGAAACCCCCGTAGTTATATTCCGTCTGAGCTTTCGGTAAATCCCAATGTTTCGCGTGCTCGTAAATGTTGCTATTACATCGTCGTAACCCCTCAATCAGGCATATGACCAGCCATGAATATGCAAACGAAAATATGCTCGAATACTATATGGAACTCGCGCACCAATCGATAACGAGGGTTGAAACCGGCGACGGGAAAATATATCTGCGAAATCTGTCTGTCTGTTGGCCCCCTAAAACACGTATTGAGTTCTTACGTAACGCCCGTCGTTCGCAATAGAGAGCACATGTTTTCTGCTGTGAGACGTAATTAACTCTTCAGCATGTTTCAGCATAGGAAAAAATATTAAAAAAACACGAAAATTCTGCCGGGAAAATTAGTTACAATAAATATGTAAAATGAAGCAAATAATTTTTTTATAAGAAAATTGTCTTTCGTTCCACAAACAAATTTGTTATTTAGGATAAAGATACATATTCGTTGAAGAGTCTAACAATCGCACTTATTAATCGAAACATTAGTTGCTTTGGAGTAACGCCAATGGTGAAATTTGTTTGGATGCGATAAAATTTATGAAATTTGAAGAAATCTTTTTCTCAGCGCATATGAATTATCGCGTACAGTATGGATTTCTACATGGATTTTCACAGACCATTCCTGTATGGACTTTTATTATCCCCGTATGAATTCACGTGAGTTTCCTGGGATTCCCGCGGGAATCCACCTGGAAACTTCCAATAGGGAAGATCTGGCTGCGAATACAAGCCTTAAAATAGCTAGTTTTCCACGCGCAGCTCTGAAATCAAGCTCGTTCAATTCAACTCGAGTTGCTTCGACTGATTTTTTTATACAATTATACGAATCACACATAATATCCATCCTCCCCGACGATTTTCGAGCTTTTGTGCTCACCGTTGCAGCGGCTCAGATGAATTCGTCGGCCGTGAAGACCTGGTTGCAGCGTGGCGAGCTCGAGAAACTCGAGAACGTTGTGTTGGAGGGTCGAGGTGTGCGCTTGTTGGGCGAACACTCGCAGGATCTGCGAACCCGCGTCTTCCTGAAGGGACTCCCGAACTATTTGGTAAGAGAACGCCCCTTTGGTAGCGCGGCACTTTTTTCAGACATTCAGCTCGAAGATCGCACACCTGCGGTTTTTCAGACGAAGATCGCTCAAGTGCACGACGCTGTGGCGCGCGGCTCATTGGCGGAGACGCAGCGCGTCGTAAGCGAGGAGCCGAAGAAGAAGTTGGCGATCGCGAAGGACTCTTGCGGCACCCCCTTGATACACAAGGCGGTCTACTACGATCAGCCGGACATCGTCGCATGGCTCATAGAGAACTACCCCATCACACCGCAACAAAAAGATAAGGTCGGTCGCTTTGTTGATAACAAAGGACTCGCGTCACGGGAAACGTTCGTTCTACAACGCGTGCTTCAACAGTCCTGGCTGATCGCTGCGATGTCAATTCCGATAATTAAAAGATCGATAAAACGCTCTCGTGTGCTCGCGCGAAATTAGTTTCGCAGAACTCCTCTCGAGCCTCGCTCTGTTTGCGCAACGTAATGTCTCTCTAATTGCTTTAATTCAGCCTCGGCTCTTAATGGACAGGAGTGTCGATCGATTATCCTGCACGATTCGCGAGCTTCGCCGGTCTACTTTCGCGACGGGATCGCGACGCAAACACGTTCGTCGTCCGCCCGGCGTACGCGGAAGACCCGACAAAGCGGGAAGGGCCACGCGCTCTGAATAATCGAGCAGTTTCTTTCCGCTTATCGCGATTCCGTATCGCGTGACGCCGATAATAACCAAGTGTAAACCACCTGTTCTTCCCTCGCGCACGCATCGCGCTGAAGGTGCGGCCCCGAACCGTATATCAACCCTTAGCGCGCACCCTCGCGCGCACACTTCTCCCGCGAATGCTCGCCGAAGACTCGCGAAAGAAACAAGGGAGACGCGCGATCGGTTGCAATCGGATAATTCGATCGATCGATTAAATTTCACAATTTGACTAATTCGCTTAATTTGATGATTAACAATCGAATAATCTGAGATACGCGTCTTGTTCAGGAAGGGAAAACAGCTCTGCACTATTGCGCCGCGTGCAAGGACCCCGACGCGGTCTGGGATCTTCTCATTGAAGGCGGATGTGACGCCAGCGTTTGCGACAAGAAGGGGAATCCGGCGGCCTATTACCTGGAACACTGCGCCGAAATTGAATTGCCAGAAGTGGAGATCATGTCCCGCCGGAGGAAAAGCACCGGAAAGGATTGTGAGTATCGTCATTCGCGCGCTCGTCAGGATGTGGAGAGGGGAAAACGCGGGGATAAAGGAGGGGGAACTCGTGCGAAGAGTGACATATCGAGAACTACGTTTGAAGATTAATTTCTCTTTCTCTCTTTTTTTTCTCTCTCTCTTAATCTCCGGAATATCATCGTGATATTAATTAAATTAAGAGATTAATTAATTTAATTGACAAAAATAGGCGAATTTTTCTTCTTCGGAAAATCTCTTAGGAAGAATATAAATTACGAGATATGAATTCTTACAAATAGTCGGAATTACTAAAAAATGCAAACTCAGATGTTAAAATTGAGGTCTCTGCAATGATAGAAAATTATAGTTGCTTTTGGCGCCAAACCTATTTTGTAGTAGCAGCAACACGCAAGTAAAGTAGCTATCGCCGACACTCAATACTCGAACTCTTATTAGAGAAATAGTTCTTCCGAACTTTTTCTGCAGTTAAAATAAAGAAAGGATATGTCTGGCGCCGACGATAACTAATAATTTTCTATCAATATGGGGGAGCGAAATTCTCAATTGCCACGCGATATTTTCTGCTGTTAAACGTATAGATTAAGCAGGTGACGTACGTTTTCGCGAGGTGTTTCGTAGAAGTTCGCACGACGCGGCCTGCGTTTTTCATGTTCGACGTTCTCCGCGAACACGTCTCTAAATATTGCATAACTCGGGTGAATCATTAGAACAAATTCGTAGAAACATCGCGCGGTCGCTAGTCGCGCATTACAGCGAATTCGTCGATTTCCTACGTTCGCGGCTATAGATCCCCCCGTCTCTTATACCCCACATATTCGCTTCTAATGACCGTGAAAAATCGATAGCACATAAATTCGTAAAGGCAAGGCTAACCCCGCTCGATACGGCAACGCGGTCGAAACGAAGAATTACCGCCCACCCCCGGCGGGAATTACGTAGCGCTTAAACGGAGGAAATCTGCTGCGCGAGCACGACGACGCGCGGGACTTTTCGTTCTCGTTTTAACGCGTCTTCAAAGAAAATAGTACACGCGTATCCCCCGTCGTCAATTTCGGGACACACGAGCTACGTCTGCCGCGGGCAAACCGGGCGAACCGAATTACATCTGGAGAAACTTTTCCACGGTTAAAACACGGGTAATTCCGCCCGAACGCTACGTAATTAGGTCGCGCGGTAGATCGAACGATCGTCAACGAGCAAGAAAGACCGAGTTCTAATTTCGACGGCGATAAGAACCCATCCTATCTGTTTCTCTTCGATCGCGCATACCGGCAATTCCGTCTGAGGATTGGAATAGCGAAGCTATTTCCTGTAAACACACACATACACACACACACATTCCGACGGTCGTCTTCGTTCCGATTACGTAATTCATGCACGGATGAGATTCGCCGAATTGCTTGCGCAAGATGCGCTCACAGATGCACGGCGGTGACAATGCGCACGGACAGCGAATTAAACTTAATCCGCCGTGCAAAGCAATTAGCGAATTATACCAGATGACGCAGTAATCATCTCTCGTCGCTCCGCGTTCCGCCGCTTTCATGCTTCGCCGTGAATCTCGCGCGCGCAAATTAAAATCGACGACGTTTCGATCGCGCGGCGACAATCGATCGCCGTCCGCTTTGTTATTATTTTCGAACGCCCGCTCGGGGGAATTATCGCGTGATCGCGACATTTCGCAAACGATCGCGACTATAATAATTCATCGGGGGTGATACCGAGGCGCGTGGCGGGTGAAGGGCTGCAAACAGACCGACGAGTCTCTTTTTATTCGGAGTAACGCAATGTCTATATGCAGCGTAGGACGCGCGACGCTAAGCGTGTCGGTAATACGACCGACTCTCCGTACACTGCTCCGCCTCCTAGAAAATTTATTAACCGGCGGATCCCGCACGCCATCCGCGATATATTCAAGACGATATGAAATATTAAGGCGTGCACGTAACTATTACCGAACGGGCGCGCATCGATACGTTGAGTCGTGCCAGAGTCGGACACGTCCGACCAGAATAGGTGTCCCTGAATGTATGTATTTAGATGCTCGCACAAGTCGGGCTCTTTTATTAGCTATGTTTCTTTCATGGATAATAACGAAGCGCACGCCACGTTCCATCAGAGTGGTAACGTAGGGCCGAAATTTCAACTGCTCGGGTAACTGCTCTGTCTTTCAGAAAAATTCTCACGTTTATCTTATCCCGATTCTCTGATTTTCATTGTTTCGTGAGTAAACAATCTTTCGGACTAATTTTAATTCTTCCCGAAACACAGGTCTATTTGTCCGATTTTTCTCCCGGTATTCGTTTCTTTCTGTCACTCCTCAAGTAATTTTCTGATTCCGCGTACGTGAAATGACTCATCCTTTGACCTGTCTACATGCGATCCAACGAACTTTGACAAGTTTTCAATGAGCGAAAAGTAGAACTACTCGTTCACTCGTTCTAAATCGTGCCGAATTTCGCGAGCGTGACGCTAACGATATACAATGACTTTTCGCACAGATCTCGACTGCAAGCCCTCCAATATCAGGATATGGATACACAACAAAGACATCGGGAAATTGCAGCAGGTGCTCTGGGAGGGATACGGGGGGAAATTGCGATGCGAGACCAGCAACAATCCCCGGATCAGAAAATTCCTGGAGGCCGTGCCCTTCATCATGGTACGTTGGCGGAATAGAATTATTTTCCGCAACATGCACGCACTGAGAAAAAGATTTCTTCAAATTTAATAAATTTTCGCGAAACGAATTTCACCATCGGCATCGCTCCAGAAAAACTAATGTTTCGTTAATTGATAAGTACGATTAGACTTTTCAACGAATATGTATCTTTATCTTAAATAAAAAATTTGTTTGAGACGAAAGATAATTTTCTTATAAAGAAATTATTTGTTTCATTTTACATATTTATTGTAACCAAATAATATTTTATTTGGTTAAAAAATATTATTTCAAATAATAGCGTTTTTGCTGTTAAATAATATAGTTTTCCTGAATGAGACAGTAACCATTTTACACAAACAAATAATATTTCGCATAAGTATATGTCGTTTCTATGAAATAAATTTTAGTCAAATAAATAGAAACATTAAATCTAAAGAAACCTTTTTCTCTGTGCAGGTATTTGTTCGAATTTCTTTTACGATCTCACACGAAACATCGAAAATATATATTAATGTAAAAGAACAGCATTTCGTTCTCAATTGATATATTCTTCTTTCGTAAATATCGCATTTATTATATCCCAATTTGCTTGTGCAAAATGTCTAATGTGTGTCGAAGGAAGATTATTTCCGTATAAACAGGGAATAAATGAATAAATTATCGGATCAAATCTCCACGTTGTATTCTCAGGGCACGATAAAAGACATTCATACGGCGACCATTAACAATAACTTGGATGGTCTTAAAATAAAACTGGAGGAACCTGTTTCGCCCGTCGTCCTGGGCGGCAAGGATAGCAATGGCCTAAACGCCTTGCATAAGGTAGGGGCTCCCGAGTTGCTCGATACGAATTGTGATGCGAAACTGCCGAGAAGAAAAATACAATCGAGTGGTTAACCTGGTTTTTCATCCTTTCTGCGAGCAGGCCGCCGGTTTGGGGCACGCGGACATCGTGCGTGAGATCCTCGAAAGGTATCCTGCGGCCGTGGCCGCCCAGGACAACGAAGGAAAGACTCCTCTGCATTACGCTGCTGCGCTCAAGGACGATGGCGCAATGTACGATCTCCTGACGGAGTATGGAGCCGATGAAAGCAAACTGGACAACGTGAGTAGGCGGTACCCTGCCTGTATGATGAAATCGTTCGTTCAGGACTCGATCACGGTGATAACGTCTCACGTGTCTCGCGAATCAGAGGCAGAAGGCGCCCGCGTTCTACAAGAACCGGCCCTCGGACGTGGACCTGACGAATCTCTCGGTGATACCGGACGCGCCTCGCGTTTCCGGCAGCGCTTACCCGCGAAGCTGGGACTGGAGGATCCTGGAGGCGAGCCAGGCCCTCACGCGAGGAATGAAGAAGATGATCAGCCGCAGCGACGTCGACAGCGCCTTCGGTAGCGCCGACTCCACCACCAAGGACTCGGACGCCTCGAGTGAGGTACTTTTTTGCTTGTCGTTGCTCACGTTAGAACTTACTCAGACGCTCCTCGCAGAAACTCGATTTCTGTACGCCGATTGTTATTCTAGTTGTTATTACATGCATTATTTGAGTTAATTTGTTTCCAAATCATTACTGAAAAATTATTCAAAAATTATTCAGCGTATTCAAACGCAAAACGGCATTCTGGATGAAAGGAGTAGGTAATATCTCGACGTGAAATGAATAATCGAACGACGGGGATTCGTTTCCCTTTTTTTTTCATTTCTTTTTCCTCGACACGTTTCCTCGGTTCGTGATCTCAGATCCACGGTACTGAGGATTATACGGGGGGTTTCACGGAACAGGTGAAAAGAGCGGATGACGAACAGCCGCAGAACGAGGAGGAGGAGGAGGCTGAGACACCGAACGGAGGAATAGAGGAGGAGGAGGAGGCGCCGAATGAAGAAAATAATGAAGCTAACGACGGTGAAGAGAAGCAAGAGGAAGAGCAGGAGGAAGCCCCGAACGACGAAGCGAACGAAGAGGAGAAGCGGGAGGAGGAGGAGAAGCAGGAGGAAGAGGAGGAGGAGGAGGAAACGAAAGCGGACGATTCTGAGGAGAAGGCATCCTCGGACGATGACGTAGTGACCGGGCCGGTCGCGAGAGACGAAGAGGCCGAGGCCGAGGAATCCCCGAAGATCGAGGAAATCGCTGACGGCGAAAAAAACGATGAGGAGAGGAACGATCCCAGCACCGGTGACTCCGGTGTCGACGATCCTGCGCAGGACGAGGAGCAGGTATGATCTCGAGCGTGTTATCTGCCACGATTGTCACGACACGCTGCGTCTTTTCTGAAAGAGAGAAAAGAAATTCGACTTCACGTCGCTCTTTTTTATTTATTCAATTTTATTTTTTGAATATATATATATATATATATGTATGTACATATATACAGCTCGGCTATATACATTTAAATTTAGCATCGATATTTAGCTACTATATTATATATTAAAATCATGCATCGCGCATGATCGGAGGCCGATTATCGACGGGACGCGCAGTCGGAATCTCTTGATCTGCTTCCCCTGTTAGATCGTTAGATACGAAATGACATAATTATTGTATTACGCACTATGTAATGACAATTACAATACAATAATAATGCTGTTTAAACGAAGAACAAGCTCGCCGTCTATTTATTTCGCTGCCGAAACGAGATTCTTCCGCGATTCCCCGACGAAGGCGAATATATTAATTCATAGAGCGTGCCGTTATCGACGGACCTTACCTTTCTGCGGGCACCACTTATAAGTATACATCATACGTGGTGTATGTGGCGCGGCAGGAAACGATCGATGTGCATGTAGGATTCCCAGACGCGATTAATATCTGCTATCGATCGCTACGCGCCGCTCACTGCCGTGCGCATGATTTTGTACCTAGACATGACAGCAGGTCATCGTCGGAGAGCACGAGGAGCCCGCCGAGTTGGAACTCAACGAGGGTAGCATGGCCCATGATCTGGAAGTAGACAACCTGCTGGAAAAGGGCAACATGGAACAACTGGCGGCTCTGGTTCTCAACGGCGAAGGCCGGCGATTAGTTGGACGACAGTCCGGAAATCCGGAACTCCAGGCGTTCATCGACAATGTGCCAGCCTACATGGTATGTGCGTTGCTTTCGCGCCATTGTATATTCAAAACATACGTGCGTCTGTGTATATGTGTGTGGTGGTGTATGTATATGTATATTATATATAAAAAGTGTGTGTGTGTGCCTCAACTCTAAGGCAATATCTTTCACAACACTATAATTCGCAAAAGAAATAAAGGAAGGTGATGGCATTAATATTGCACAATATTACATAATATTAATAATATAATATTACAAAGAGAATTTGGGCCAGTAATATTTGCTACGTTAAACAGAAATAATATTAAAGCTCTCTCTGAAGCGTTAAGGAATACTCATAGGGCTGTCAGCGATACTCGTGATCGGGGAAATTCTTAGAATAAAATCCCATTGATCTCGTTCAGAAATATATGTAAAATATATGTAGAATAATACCGTCCTTTCGAACCAGGGGAAGATTCACGCGGTGCACATGGCGGCACGAGAGGGTAACCTCCGCGATCTGCAAAGCGCGCTGGATCGTCGCAAATTCGCGGTGGCGCGGGACGAATCGTCGCCCCATGGCGCCACACCGTTGCACGTGGCGGTTATATTCGGGAATACCGCTGTCATCAGGTATATACTCGGAATATTTTAATATTTTACATATTCCTCATTTCTATTCGTCTTTCTTCTCCTTTGCACTTGTCATTCGGCGAAGTATTCTGATTTCTTTTCCAAGGCCAAAGACGTCACGCTCGGAGGTTCGAAAATCGACCGACTGTTTCGTCGATTCGCGGGAAAGGAAGTCCGTTCAGTAATATCGACTATGTATATGTTTAACTATTGCGAGCCGATCGCAGGCCCGCAGATTGGCTCATTATTTATCGTGATCGGGCGGCGATAGACCGGCTCCGTTACGAATGACAGGCTATAAGGCTGCATCATCAAGCTCACGTTATCCCATTGAATATTTCATACCTGATTCAGGTACCTGGCAGGGAGATTTCCAGAGACCGCTCACGCGATCGATCTCGACGGACGCACTCCGTTGCATTACGCCGCGACGCTCGCTGACAACGGTCATTACTACAACCTCCTGCTGCACCTGGGCGCCAATCCTTTAGTGCAGGATAACGTAAGTGCTCCGTAACGGCACGTTTCATCGCGATCATTATCTCGAAGTGGCCGGTCTTCGTCCAAATAATACCGGACGAAATTTCGTTTCTATTCCTTTCCTTTCTTTTTTTTTGTAATTTTTCATCAACGATGAAGAAAGTCGCGAGTCGGTCGAAATTCCAACGCGAAGAGTCGAAGACGCGGACTCTCAATTCGAGAATCGCCGAAGCTCTCACGCGACCTTCCGTCGATCCTTAATTATGTACGGACGAGCGCCCACGAGGTGTATTATCTTTTCTCTTTTATCTTATTTTACCTTATTATTTTTTTCTTATTATTTATCTTATTATTTATCTTATTATCTTTTATCAGTTCGGACATAAGGCGGATTATTACAAGCAAAATCAAAGCGACCTATCGCACAAAAAGATCCTGCGCGATTTCGGAGCCAGCGAGAGGCTCGCCGACGAAATGCTGACGGACAAAGGTATTTCTTGATTTGAGGCATTCTTTTGAGCACCATCGACAGAACAGTTCGACGAGGAATCCTCGTCCGCCGGGCACTTAATCCCTGCGATCCTCCGTGTCATATACTTCTTCGTGTATTGTGATCGATGACAGTTCCTAATTATAACAAATCGAGAGTCTCCGTGAAATCATCGACCGCAGACGTCGTACAAGACTCGGCACTAACGTCTTCTCTCTGTGTTTCCTCTCGCGTTCTCGATGAAATATATACTACGGCTAATGATTTTTTTCGAAAACTTTGATATTCGAATTTCGAAGGTTCGAAGCCCGAATGTTAAGACGAATTAATTGAATTTCGAAAATATCAAAGCTTCGAAGCTTCGAAACGCAATATTATTGTCTTGAGTTTTCAAAACTCTACATTGTTGAATGCAAACATATTTCTTTCCAAAATCCCACGAATAATCCATGAGCAAAATAAATCTAGATACTAGTCTACAGCATTAGCAAGATTATACTGTTCGAAGCTTCGAAGCTCGGAAAATTGTCGAAGATTAACAGCCCTAATATATACTTCTGTCGTCCACCCTACACCCCCTCCCGCGCACAATATCGCATTAATACTTTTTATTCTGTGATATCCAGTTTCGTTCGGGATCAATTTAGACAAGCATAGTCAGGTCATCTCCCAAGCGTCGTCGCGTAAGAACCCCAACGCTCGAAATACTCGTTGAGCACACCCACACACACACACACACACACTGTTGTGCCGATCATCCCCTTTGATTTCCTCCGTTTTTGTGAATTGATTTCGCTTCGCTCGATTACTATACGTGACACAGCACGTAATCGATCCCACGCTCTCGACCGTGTAAAATACCAAGAAGAAACCGAACGGAAATGCCGTCACCGGGGAAAAATGTAGGATAAAGTATCTCTCATCCCCCCGTGACACCCTCACTCACTTCGACAAACCGTCCCCAACGTCACCGCGATTTCTCCGCTCACGCTCTCTTTGCTCCTCCGTCAATCCATCATCCCACCTCCCGACGACACCGATGGTAACTCGGCTGTTCTGTTGTCACCGGCGCCGCTGCTGCCGACCCGGACGAGACCGGAACAGTGCCCGGAGGTGACGCCTACTCCGCCCGGCGTGACGTGAGCGAGCCGGAGACACTGGCCACTCTGGAACGGTGTTTCCGCTTGCTGGCGGGTAACCGCCGCTCGGCCGCACCGAAGACAGCGTCGAACACCGGTACATTAGTCGGCCGTTGCCTGAAGCGGCCGGTATTCGATCTGATCAAGCACCGTGTGACTCGCATGGACCACAATCTCTTTGACGTGATATGGCCGGCGATGAAAAGGTACGGTAACGCCACGGCCACCGGCAATAAGGCCGGCAGCGCGCACTCGACCATCAGCTACTCCGACGAGGACCACGGCTACGGCGTGGTGGCGCCCGACTTCGAGAGCTACATCGTCTTCACGGAGTTCTTCGACCCGTTCATCCGCGAGCTGCACTGCGTCACCGCGAGCGGCGATCTGCCCGACCACCCGCCGCCGCGTTTCTTCACCAACGACGACGAGGAAGACGAGGAGGCGCCGCCGGACGAGGTGGCGCTCGCCTCGATCGAGCAGCACGATCTCGACCCGATCGCCAAGTTCATTCAGGCCGGTGTCGTCGAATGCACGCGGAATCTCGCCAAGTACACCCTGCCGTTGACCCTGACGGTCAATCAACTGGAGGAGGTCGAGCGGGAGATCACGACTCAGCTGATGTGCCCGGAGGTCACCGTCATCATGGCGGAGGGTAGCAGCGAGGACGAGGCTGGCACGTACTTCACCCTCAACGAGGTCCTGGAACAGCCCAGTCGCATACGAGCGCAGCTGGCGGCGGCCGGCCTGCTCTTGCCGATCACGGAGTACGACGCGAGCGACGATCGACGGCTTCACGGTAAGCACTGGCCTTACGGACGGGGTGTCTTCGTCACCACCGCCGGCGACCTCGCCGCGTGGGTCAACATCCAGGACCACCTGCGCATCGTCTGCCGCACTAACGAGAACCGGCCGGGCCTCGTGGGTCGCGCGTACGTCCGGCTGGCCAGACTGATGATGATATTCGACCAGAAGCTGAAATTCAAACGCGATCGGAATCTGGGTTTCTTAACCGCGCGGCCTCACGCCCTCGGCAACACCCTGAGGTTCTGCCTGGTCGTCAGATTCCCGGAGCTTTCGAAGACACCGGACAATCTCCGGCACCTCTGCGTGGTGCGCGGTCTCAGCGTCCGGGAGACCGCCAAGAGCGACATGGTGAGGATCGGCAATCAGCAGTCGTTGGCCATCACCGAGCTGCAGACTCTGCAGGACTTCTCTCGAGCGGTTCACAATATCATCACGCTGGAGAAGGAGCTGTCGCTGAACAATTCGGTGAAGATCGCCACTCTGATCGCCGGCATATTCCGCAAACGGGCGAACGCCTCGAGGGGTCTCAAGGCGTAGGAGAGACACGGCTCGACGGTCACAAAAGGGACAATAACGTTAGGTTCTAAGCTCTTGAAGACGATTCGGACGATTATTTCTAGCCCGCTCGCCACTCCGTCGCCGCAGCGTATCTCGAGTAATTAGCGTGTGGAGGATTAATTAACGTCGAGGAATCGGCCGTTTTTTCAGGGGATATTTTACACGGCGACGAACCCACACCGAGATCCGCAAAGCGATCTGTACGTCGTTCATCGAAGACGCAGCGAGTCAAGATCCCACTTGTCAGCCGAACAACTCGACGAGGATGTCTTGACTTTCATTCAGACTCAACTTGATTCTCATTCAGATCTCGCATATACACAAACATACACATCGATGGTCGCCTTCGAGAGCCTCCGTTCTCTTTCCCTTCTGTCAATTGTCTTTCTACGAGAACTAAACTTTACGCTTACTTGTGGGAATCTTCTGTGATAATTATCAGCCAACGTTTGACCGTCAATTACTCCTCATAGACTGAACCTTTTTTTAGATACCTTCTTAGGATGTAGCGTGCGAGAGAGAGAGAGAGAGAGAATGAGAGAGAGAGAGAGAGAGAGAGAGAGAGAGAAAGAGAGAGATGCGTTGGAAAGACGTGTGAACGTTATTTTGTTTTCTCTCGTGCATCGGCGTCTCTTCTTAGGGAAATTGCGCGATATAAATAATTAGTCGTCGCGGCTCTATTAATCGGATTATCCGGTGGCGAGAACGCAGGATTGCCGATTAGGTTAGTAAATGATTAGCATTATTTACCAATATATATACACGACACCATATTGCAGCACAACATCCCACTTACAACTGTGCATTGTAAATCTTTTTTTCTCGAGGTAATCCGACGAATTGTAAGAAGTAACGAGAAAAGAGCAAAAAGATAAAGAGAAAATAAGAGAACATTAGTGTATACCGAGTGATAACGAACCTTACACGAGTATATCACCGCGCAAAAAATGCACGACTAATAGCTGTAAATAAAAGATCTAGACTTTGTATCTTTTTTTTTGCAATTTCTTAGACCGGGAAAACGTTTCGTATTGGCGCGTGTACACACATATCGATCCGATTATTCCAAACGCTGACGCTGCCGCTTTCATATAAACTCGACGACGTAGAATTCTCAATGCGATATTAATGGCACAACAAGCTTCAAACTGTCAGAGTTTTTCAGGGGCTTCCTTTATATGTAATGCACGAGTCGATGTTCACACAAAACAAAAATGACGAAGCACATGTCTTTCCAACTCCGTGTTATTCGTGCTAAAATGAAACTATGTATTCCGAATCTTTTATCCTCATTATATATGCGTATCGCAATGTGATCTCGTTATGTCAATTAAAAGACCAGCCATTGGGCGTCTAAGTGTCAAACCGTATTTTTTTTAAATACGCTTAAATTTTAATTACGCTTCAATATTACATACACACAGATATGTACAGATTCACGTAAATGCGTGTTTCGATATTTTTATTCTTATATATTATATATCTCTTATTTTTATAAGATGTCGATATTATTTTGCTTCGTGCAATGATAGAACCCAGCGTTAGCAAATAAGTATAAACAGAAACATAAATAAAGAAGAATTATATAGTCGTGAAAGAAAAAGGACAAAATATTCTCTTCGGAATGCGACGACAAAACAGATTGACATTTAAACGTCCGTTGACTAATCATCAGCAATAACTACTTCGTCGTTGTTATATAAGTAATCACTAGCGCACTTTTTCCGTGTTATTATATATTAATCGTGTGTGCGCGCGTGTGCGCGTATGTAACTGTGCTTACGCTTTCGCATTTTGGACTCGTGCCTGCATATTAAAGATGATTGATTGCATATTTTTGTGTCACGTTTTGCCGAGTGGTTGTGTAGCACAGCGTTTTATCTTTCGCAATGCTGATAATCATTATTGCATCATCGCGATAAATAACAAAGCAAAAGATGCGTGTAAAAACAAGACTGGAAGTATTAGAAAAACTCGTTGTGTAGTTTCCAGCATTTGAACGTAATTAAAATTTGCACCTGCTGCGCGAGGATGCAATAATCGTTTTCGATGTTGAAGAACCGTCTCGCGAATATGAAAACAGGCGAAAACGCGCGTGCTACTTTACTGATAAAATTTCGTGTTATCGCCGTTTATCGTTAACTCATCTAAGGCCACAATCAATCCAAAAAACATTTTTAAAGTTCGGCCGTCTCGGGCAGTCGTATTGCTATTATGACGTCATAGGCGAGAAATGCATGCCGCAATTAATTTAGGCTGCGTTCCAATATTCACTGCCAGTGTTGACAATCTATGGTATATGTGTAACATAAACTATAGATTTTCAGTGCTGACAATAAAATTTGGAAAACAGCCTTATCGCGTATTATTTTTCGTTTAGGACGTCATCAAACCAATATAGCTGACCGAGAGAGCCAAGCCTTAATCGGAGCATCAATCCGCTTATTTCCTGTCTCCAATTAGCATTAGAATCATCGTTATCGAAAGTATATCACTTGGAATTAATTGCTAAGAACATAAAAATAAAATAATAGATTAGTCAAACGACTTTACTCGATAAAAGAGAAGCGGCTCGTAAATGGAATTCAGGCCGTTAATGGGTTATTCAATAACTAATTGGACAAAAATTAAATTAAATTTTTAACTGACTTAAAGTAGCAAGCGCGCGGCAGCAAGCGCGTTCCTCTCGATTATTCCGCGGCGATCTGATGAGTTTGTCTTACAGATGACAGCGAAGTCGACATTCCGATATTTCGCTCGGAAGAAGGACGCTATTTGGCGTCGTGTAAGTAATGGCCGGCTTTTTTCTGTTTTATCATTCTTACGGCAAAATCGATGTAATCATATTATTCATTCTACTTTCAGCATTGGGCGATCCCTTGATTAAAGGACTAACAGAAGTTGCCAACGCGCGGCCAAAAGATCCGGTCACGTATCTCGCGACATACTTGTATAACTTTGCCAGCAAAAATAAAACGAACGAACAGGTAATGCGTTTGCGACTCGAGTAGCGTAATCGCGAAATCCAAGGACAGGCTAATTTCTCACTGACCTCGATTTCAGGAATCTGACGTTCTCATTATACCTGATCGCGAGGAGGAGAACTTGGAGAACCTCGAGAATGACAATTTCGACGAGGACGCCGGGTACCCGCAGAGTCCGGACTCGGACGTACCCGAATCTACGTTCAGCAATCCTAACAGGGTATGTAAAACTGAATATCGCAGATAAAGATTCATAAAGGCTCTGAGAGTAAAAACCTATAAGATTTGTTTGATTAGAGTCGCAATTACGCAACTATAAAAGTTCTTATTAGCCGATGAAATCTTTCTCAAATATCACGATTTGCGCGAAACCAGATTTTCGGGAATTACGATCGATTTTTCGTTAATCTTCCGCGACGAGGAAGGCGATTTGGAAGAATACCCGCTAAAAATGAGTGAATACTCACTGATTATCGGTAGAATACTGTTCCACTGATTCAATTAATGACGTTTTCACTGATTCGACTAGAAAGAGCACGAGCAAACTAAAGAAAGAAACGATACATTCCTCAGGACGAACACGGGCAAAGCATGATCCACTTCGCGGCAGTTCGCTCTTACTCGAAGGACGGGTTGTACCACCTGCTGCTGGAGACGCAGGTAAACGTCGGTTTCAGGGATGAGCTGTATCGAACCGCCAGAGACGTCGCCGAACAGGCGAATATCCGCGAGAACGTCGACGAGATCGATCGTTACGTGGTTTACTTAGCGGCGAGAGGTAAAGATAACGACGTACGTTCGGCAAACGCACGCGTTAAAACGAGGACCGATGCGATTTTCGAAATTTGACGCGCAGGTGAAACGGAAAAATTGGTCGAGCTTCTGTTGGAGGGCTACGATCACATCCTCGACTCCGAGGACGACGGGGTGAACATCATGGACGTCGCAGCGGAAAGGGGCCACGAAGCTACCGTGCAATTCCTGCAGTCGATTCCTAATTACGCGGTAAGTCGGCGCGACGCGAAGTCGCGAGCGTCCCGGTCAATCAAAATGTTCGGATCGATTTCCCGTCGTTCCTCGAAGGTAAATCGGCCATCTCGCGCGAGAAAAATGTATGTAAACGAATCGTCGAACGTTAATAGAGATCACAGACAACGGCAGCAGTTATTTGGTCGATGAGTAATTTATTTCCATTGAGCCAGATTTATTTTCAGGGAAATTAGCAATTTTCAACTCTGAAATTAAATGTTGAAATTAACGATCGAGTCGCATTCCCCGACTGAGTAAGATATAAAATAATTAATCCGCGATTAATCGCGGCTCGAATCCGATTGACATTCAACGAGATGATGTTCGGCAGAATCAACGCGAAGAGGTGCACGCCGCGATTCGCGCGAGCGACGTGGATCGCGTGAAGGAGCTTTTACATAAGAACAACGGGGGTGGAAAGTTGCTGGCCGTTGGGAAGAACTCGATCGGCCGCTGCGCTCTGCACATCGCCGTGCTTCGGGAACAGGAAGACCTTGTCAAATTTATCGCGAGAACGTACCCAGAAACACTGCGTATCGGCGATAACGTATGTTATCTCGCTGATATATTCTCGCCGATTGTGCATAACGCGTGATCAAATTGAAAATTCAAACACAAAATAACTCGCGATCACAGAAAATAATATAAAAATTAACTTCGTAGTGCGATCAGTGATAATTTCATGTTTCAGTTGGAGAGAACTGCTCTTCATTACGCCATGGGAGTGCCGTCCGTGGAGGTCTTAAGTAATGTGTTAATTAAGGCGGGCGCGAAGCGTATTGTTAAAGATCTGGTAAGACGAATGAGACCGTTGAGACGAATATCGCTCGTGGCAGGGGAGGCTAATTTTTCTTCCCTTTTAGAAATCCCGGCAGCCCTCGTATTACTTCATGAACAAGTCCGACATCGAGAGACTTCAGGAGGAAGAGAAATCCATGACCGCATGAATCCGTACGATAACGATATTCGCACCGATTTCGCAGTCGATCACACTTTAATATATACATGTATTCCATCGAGATGTACGTTGCGAGACAGGGTCGGCGGGGGAGTGTGAAGCCGATGAGGATCGACGAGGTTCGGGAATTAGAAAAAAGAGCCCATCTCGATTTCTTCTTCTCGTTTGACCTGTTCGACATTAGTCGAAAGCGAATAAAAAAGGCGAAATGAAATATCTAAGTTTGGAAAGATTGTACGAACTTGTTTGTCGGAAAGAAAAGAAAGTCTCTTGGTATTTTCTATATTCCTGTACCGCATTCGAGCAGTATATCAAAGCTCGAATGCGCTCTCGGTGACCCTGAGATGAGCTATTTAAGTGTTAGCCCGACAACTCATCGTAAAACATATAGATTAATGACGTGTTTGAGTTATACGTCAAATGTGGAGACAATTTAGTGCCTTATAAATAAATGTAACAAGACTTGCAAGAGTGTCGTCATTTCAACGTAAAGTGCAGTTTTGCACCGAGCAAAATAATGAAGGAACATGAGGGGGTTCGAAAGCGACTCGAAGGCGGCGTTATTTGAGATACTTAAAGTATCGAAAATCAAAAGAAAAAGCGTAAGAAGAAGCTTTCTGAAAGGGGAAGTTCGGGAGATTCTTGTTATAGTGACGTTTCATTTTCATTCAGCTGCTCTATTATAATTTAAGTCAATGCTTAACAATCTTAAATTAAGTTGTGCTTGCTTGACGTATCGCCTAAGGTAAATTGAGATCGAAAAAAGTTTTTAATGCTCCGATATGAAACTCTTAGCGTTGGTCTCGGTGGCATTGTTTTGCCGCGTGATCGTAAAGTACTCCTCGGTGATCTCCTCGGGCTGGATCTTGTTAAAGTATGTCTCCCGCTCCTTATGCACGTAGCGCGTATCGTCAAAGTTAAAATGCAATCCAAGAACTATATTTAATGCAGAGGTGTCGTACGCGTGACAGCCGGAGTACCGATACTGTGGCTTTTTATTGAATCTACAGCCCGCCGATTGCGCACCTACGGATCATTCAAGCTTAACGTCAATGGAAATCACGAGTTCACACAGGACTAAGTAATATCTATTCGTTTGAAATGCACACACACAGTAACTACGAGTAGAACCAAATCCAAACGTATACACGTACGCGTGTTTAATTGAATGAAAGTACCTACCAATGGGAGAGATGCAGTCCCTCGTCAATGCGCACTGGACCCAAGGTAGCATTACTCTCTCCCTAATGTCTTTAATATTGCTAATCACTAAGTGCGACGCTCTAATCAGTGGGAGAAAGAAGAAACTCTCGGCGGAGGCATGAAAGTACTCGTACATCTTTGGATGCGTTAGGGAACTAATGGCGTGCCTCGTAGGCCAAGTCAAGATTCCAGACTTTGGACAGAGATACTTCGAAATGTCCGACGAGTTTAGACGTACATTTGAGTCCATATAGATTATGTTACCTAATGTATTTAAAGCTGTCTACGGTAGAAAAGGTATTATCACAGTGGTGAGTACTCTCTGAAAAGCCATAGATACATAATGATAATACTCGATGATGGATTACTCACTTGAATAACTAGAGGTCTATAAACATGCAGCGTGTCGTCTTCGACGTGAGCAGGAAATGGGCTTAGATCAAAGTGAATCACATTACATCTCGTAGAATTACAAGCGACTCTAATACTTTGTAAGGAATCCTCGTTTAAACCAACGCTATAAATCACAATACTATTATTTGGCAAAAAATGGCTGACGTTTCTAACGAAGCCGTAAATATATTGCTCGTTTCCAGGCCTTACGAGCGACACAACCGTCACATTTTGAGGCTTAAGACTGACTGGCGTCGTGCTGGTCTGCCCATCCAGACCGAGCAACGCGAGGTACTTGGAATCTGTCACCAGACGCTTCTCCTCAACATCTTTTAAATTCTCCTTGAAACAATTAATTCAACATGATGCAAACAACGCAAGAGATAGAGAGACAGAGAGAGAGAGAGAGAGAGAGAGAAGGATGTACTTAGCTCTGTTTAAATTAACACTACCTACCTGGAAGCTCCTTAACTGTTTGTGAGTCTCGGTCACCAAGGTCTGAATGGAAGGTCGCTGATTGCTGAAAGCAATGAAAACGATGCTGCTCCCTGCTATGCAAATCAGCAACAGTAGCAGGCCCTTGGTACGCATCGCTCATCGTTTAACGTGATTTGGAGAGCAATCCGATACTGACTAATACTGACTACCTTACGTCAGGAACATTAGGTTAGACACCTGCGGCAGCGTCATAATACGTCACGTTGCGAACGAACGAACACCGTGGAAACTCATACCGGACGCACCACGGACGACCAACGTGGATTATCAGCGGCAATGTTTGCAAATTCGCGGGAGATTAGATTAAGGCCTTTGATAACGAACTATTCCAGAGAGCTCGATAAATCGCTCTTTCCATGAGGAATTTCATTCTGTACGCCCTTCTGCGCAGCTGTCGTCGCGGGTGACGTAAAGATCGCAGCGCTCTCTGTCGAGGGAAACAAGCGATATTTCGAGACTCTGAATCATTGGATCGCGCGCACGTTGTGGCACATCAATTATATATATTATTACCTTATATCTCTCTTTTATATACATTTATATATATATATATTTATATATATATATATTTATATATATATATATATATATACAGAGAGTCCCAAAGCATTTTCGGTTCCCGTGTGTAGGACGGGTAGGTAAAACAGGTGAAGTTGAACAGAAAAGTCATGTACCATCTCAAGCAGCAGGAACGTTCACTTTACGTTCACTTGGTTTGGTTATATTCAAATAAAGTGGGAACGTTCAAAGAACATACGTTTTAGAACCTTTAATATATATCTTACGTAGCAAAAGTGTTCTCTGTTACATATTAACGTTGCTAATATATTAATACGTTAATATCTGTTAATATATTAATATATTAATATCTTTTAGCAATTAATATATTTTTAAAATAATTTGTTATAAATCGACATAATCAAACTTCAAGATGCATATATTTTAATTTTTAAAAATGGAATTGTAACAGAGCGGTATAATTATGATACTAAGTGAAAGTAAAGTGAACGTTCCTCGAATGTCTACGTGCTGAGATATAATCAATATTATAATTTTCTGATCGATAACCCGCAATTAAAGTCATTTGAAAATTATACTCATACGGGTCGGGTCGTTGCAGAAGTAACAATTCATTCGTGTATTGCTTAATGCCTATTGTATCTTCAGAAACGCGCATTGTTAGATTCCGCGAAGTCCACCTTGAACCGTATTTTATTGTAATGTTAATTTTAAATGCTTCAGCCAACACATGACACGAGAACTTTGACGCATATTTTATAATGAAGTATGATGTTCGCTTTTTCCTTTTTAGTCTTTACCACCTTATATATACATAACCAGTTTTTGTCTCGGCCAATGCATATAAATAAGATTCTCAGATCAGACGGTCTCAGTAGCGATTCAGTACATCTCGATTCAGTATCCCCTCTTACTCAGTTAGTGACGCAAAAACAGAAAAAATGATACGGCTGATCAGCATCGCAACGATCATTGGAATCGCGTTGATGGGCATCTTCGCGGAGGTGGAGTTATATTCTGACAAATACGACGACATCGATATCATCAATATCCTCAATAATGACAAATTGAGAGACCAACATCGCAAATGTTACATGGGAAAGGGACCGTGCCCAACAGCGGACATGAAGTTCTACAAAGGTATTTCTTTACGCAGAGATTAACCTATTTTCACCATGTTAATTTCTTTCACACCACAAATTCTCTCTTTCTTCTTCCCTTTTCTAATAAATCCCTTTTTTTTGCCATATCTAATTTATCCTTTTTTTTGCCATATTTCATTTTTTACTGCTTGACATTTTTTTACCGTACTTGCACGCTTGACTTAGTACCAGAATGCAAGTAAAACGGGATCTACAATGAGAGTTTAAGGCGTAAGATTTAAGAAATTGATCAATCACAGTCGAATTATAGAAGAAAAATTAATTATGATTGGTCAATTTCTTAAACCTTATTCTCGTTGTAGATCCAGCTTAAACATTCATCTCTCTCTCTCTCTCTCTCTCTCTCTCTCTCTCTCTCTCTCTGAATATTTCCTTTCTCTCTTTCGCCATCAATCCAAAAAGAAAACTCGTCTCGCTTTCAGAAATCATTGGCGAAGCTCTTGTAACAAAATGCAAAAGATGCACCGAAAAGCAAAAGCAAAATTTGGATAAATTAACCGAATGGTATACGACAAACCGACCAGAGGAATGGGAGGAGTTCGTCGCGACACTTATAGTAAATATGAAGAAGGAAAACGGTGAACAATAGTCATCGGTGATATTGGCGACGATAACCATACGGACCGATAATATTACTTAATGTTAACTGGCGTTAAGCGTTTTATTTTTGTAGACGTTCTCGAGGAAGAATTTAATGTTGAAATATTGCAACGAACACTTGTATCCATAGGTATCCATGGGCTGTTAAAAATTAATTAACAATGATATTCAATTTTCACAGCTACTTAACGGAATTTTTCTAATATTTTTTATTGCATTTCATTTTTTTAATCTTCTAATACAAACTGCGCCGTTTGTCCGTCATTGCACATTTGCTGGGCAAATCTGCAAACATGCAAAAAAAGAGACAACAAAAACAGATGCCCTCCTCCCGTATACTAATTATTTCACGAAATTCCGATCGCATTCTTTTCGCTAACGGCGTTAAACGACTCTTCGAGAGACAACAGACGGTGCGTGTCGTCGAGAACAAATCATCTTGAATCAAATTAAATCTATCGAATCGGCGTGTCAGTGGATTCTCCCGAGAAAAAAACGAAGAGCGTGTTGTGTAATTAGTTCACATATACGAAATCCTAACCGGCGCTTCAAAAATCAAAGTGGTCCGCTTTCTCTTCTGTGAGACATCTGATCATAAAGGCCACAAAAGTTAAGCCATAGATCTAACGAATGTCGATTGTTATACGAAGTATAATCAAGCGTGGGAAGATCTTTTCATCGCGGACCAAACTTACAATAAGATGCAATGCGTTTCCTGGAATCCAAATAAATATCTTACGCCTCTCTTCTTCTTACGTTAACGATGATATACATATCAAATGTTATATTATGTGCGTTCCATTATTATTGTACATTAGTTGTAGAGAAACAACTAATCAATTTTGTAAAGATTATTTGTTAATAAAAAACTGTCATTAAAAAAAAAAAGAGATGTCTGTATATCATATCGAAAATATCGCTGATACATAATCCTATCTTCCTTTGATTCTCGGAAAAATTTGTTTAATGATTCTCAGAAAATTGGTTTTATGATCTTCCGATAATAAGCTAAAGACCAGTGTTGCACTAGAAAGGGACGTCTTTTTAGTCACACATGCATAACCATATCCGTGCGGCAAGCGAAGCTCTGTGAAATTCAGATGGTTTCGGAAAGTGAAGTGAGCCGGCCTAGCAACATTGAAGGCGTGAAAAAGTGAGTCTTCTTCATACGGTTTAATATATTCGGCGGCAACAGCGATGCTATCATTTTTCCTCCACACGCAGGACGATCATTAAATCTTCAATCATTAAATATAATTGCCGTTGAAACATAATTTCACAGATTTCGCTTATCTCGTAGCATATCTCAGGCGCCGAGAGCGCATTCGAGCTTCGATATACTGCTCAAATGTGGTACAGGAATATAGAAAATACCAAGAGACTTTCTTTTCTTTCCGACAAAAAAAAAACAAGTTCGACAATCTTTTCAAACTTAGATATTTCATTTCGCCTTTTTTATTCGTTTTCGACTAATGTCAAACAGGTCAAACGAGAAAAAGAAATCGAGATGGTCTCTTTTTCCCGAACCTCGTCGATCCTCATCGGCTTCACTCTCCCCCGCCGACCCTGTCTCGCAACGTACATCTCGATGGAATACATGTATATATTAAAGTGTGATCGACTGCGAATATCGTTATCGTACGGATTCATGCGGTCTTGGATTTCTCTTCCTCCTGAAGTCTCTCGATGTCGGACTTGTTCATGAAGTAATACAAGGGCTGCCGGGAGTTCTAGAAGGGAAGAAAAATTAGCCTCCCCTGCCACGAGCGATATTCGTCTCAACAGCCTCATTCGTCTTACCAGTAGACGGGCATCTCTTTCCAGTGCAACACTGCTAAAGACAAAAACTGGAAGAAAAGTCAAGGACTGAGATCGCTTTTAACCAGTTAAGCGTATTTGACGACTATATCCGTCATGGAGATTTGGCAGATCACACACATACACGTTAGGAACTTGATTTGTTAGCTATGCAAACGCTTTTTTCGCGAAATATCTTAAGTGAATGCATGAAAAAATATCAGTAATAACGTAATATGAAGTCATATCAGAACAGTGAAAGGACACCAGAATGCATAATAAAGGCCACAGGAAATACCAATTAAAGAATGAAGGACGTTAACGCAGCACATTCTTGTGGCAAATGAGAATAATTAAAAAAAAACAGTTTTACCTTGAGATATCTGTGAAAGTACTAATTTGTCGTATGAAAGGAGGTCGTTTGAAACGTCGAAACGATCGATAATGTAATAAGAGACGTAATAAGTTATTAACCAGTTAACTGTGGCGATCTCTTTGCAAAGCGCCCACCAGTATGTGTCGCGATATTCAAGCGAGTTAGCTCTCAGGAAGTTATAAATCCAACTCAAATTATTTATAATTTTCATTTGTTTGTTTCATTTCGTCTTGACCTCTAAACATTTTACCCATATGAAAATTGACGAATATAATTTAATTTTCGCCAGAATTACAATTAAATACCAAATTGTAACAAAATTTTACGCATGACGGATATAGTCGTTATGACATCTTGTGTCAAATCTTTAAAGAACATGTTCGTTACATAAATGATACCTCTTTTATTAAAAAAATTTTGTTGGAAATTCCGCAAAATTTATATTTCCTTGTTAATGGCATCCTTGTTGCTGCAATACAGCATCGAAATGCTTCTATGAATACGAATTATAGAATAAATCGCCTCGGCTGCAATACCACCGCTCCTAGTGTTACTCTCCTCGGATATCAATAAAAAATATTGCGCATGTTACCAAGCATTTAAATAAAATATCAGTAAAAAGAGTATAAAATAAATTTCTGCTCATACAAATATTCGTATTACTTTTCATAAGTTCTGCAATCGTCCGAAAGATGATATACAAAAATTATAAATTCCCAATAAATATTAAGCAAATATATTTATTGTTGCGGAATCGACCATACTTAATATAAATTTAATAATCGTAAATAAATTAAATCTCTTATAATAAATTATATACATTTAATAAATTAAACTTAAATGAGAACATACAATTTAACATGTGCAAAAATCGCGAGCATATTTTTATAGTAATGAATTTTTCTTAATACTATAATTTTGCAGTGCTGCTATTTTAACTTCGGTCTCATTGTATGACAAACCCACAAGTCTTTTCACTCCCGACGTCAATTCACGTGACTGCGAGACTCACTTTCAGCAAATCTAAAGTGTAAACAGCGTAATTTGAACTTCCAACCGCCATGATACAGCAAACGGGCGGCACTTTGCTCGACAATCTCAATTGCATCATCTCGCGAGATATTCACACTTTAGCGACTATTTAACGATGCTTTGCTGTAAAACTTACTTTCAGCATAAGTTTCAGTGCGCAAGGCTCACCTTTGATAAGCCGAAATCGCGAGAAACACGGAATGGTTTGCCAAGTCCATACTGCCATGCCAAGATCGTGTTACAAAACTGATCCGTACATATCGAAGCTATTGAGATTCTCCAAGTATGGAAGCGCGCGAAACTTTACTCGGCACTCCCAACGGTCTACTTTGTGAGATATTCACTTCCGGCTTTTGCTTTACTTTCAAAGAATAAAAAACGAAAGTGAGGAATACAGAGCGATTGGAGTCCGAACCGCGCGAATGCGATTAAATGCGACGTCTTTCTCGATCCTTGCACTAGTGTCCACGGCGTTTCTTCGAAAAAATGGGACAAGTAAAATGAAGAGTGTTGCAATCTCGAATTAATATTAAATACGAGTAAAATTTGGTATTAATCAAATAATAGTAAAATATTAATATTAATAGTAAAATATTAATAAAACTATTAAATCAAATAATGCACGACTCATTGAGGGATCATATAAAAGTTATTTAGGGGATAGTGATATTTTTAGAAAATTCTAGAATTTCATGTGGACTTTACGCTTACGATTTAGAATTCAAAAATGCAAGCTTGATCTACTAAAAGACAATAAAAACATTTATACAATTTATATCAATATAATTATGTAAAACAGATTTCTTCAAATTAACTGCGATAAAAACACAAAATACAGGTCGTGTTTAAATCCGTTTAATATCGACAAATCCGAAGTTAACACCTGGACGCGCACGCCTTTTGGCAGGCAACCCGTTGTAACGGATTGCATATTGATGCAACACTCTGTAGGTGCGTTAATTTTTATAAAGTTAGCAAGTAGAAAACTTCTTTGTTTAATAATCTCCAGTCGAAAAATTTGTCGATAAATTGAAACCAACATATAGATGATAACTGCAGAAATGCAGTTTCACCAAAATACTTAATATACTTCTCATTGTAGATCCGTACATATATCGATAAAACACTGAGGTAACCATAAATTATAAAATTAATATGCTTAATATGCCATAATATCCAAATATTTATATCGGATAACTAAAAATGTCATCCCTTTCAACTACTCCTGAAACCTTTTGAGCCCCTTCATCCGTACGAAAATTTACCCACAGCTGTGAGGAGCTTTAACATTACCTTATTGGTGCACTCGTGCTTAAGTAAATTTGTGTCTTTCATAGTGGGCAAAACTATGTTAAATCGAATTCATTGTTACCATCAGTAAAGTCACATGGAAAACCATCCATCAGTTGGTAATAGTGTCACGCATTATATTATATTTATATAAAATATATAGTAAATTATATGTACAACCAGAGAGAAATCTGAAAGCAGCCATGATCTGGACATGATATAAAACTTCGGAAATATAACGATTTATTATCTTCACATTCAATTGTAACTGTAGTCACAAACATGTCAACTAAACTGTTACAGAACAAATAATATAATGAGGAGTTACTTGAGAAAAAAAATAAAAGCTAATGACAATTTGTTAAAGTTACTAGTTTATAAAAATATCTCCGTTAATAGCAGCAGCAACTTGGTAATTGTCCAACATCGTGATATGATTGCCTTCCACGTAATGAACTTGTACTAAACCTTCAGTCACCTGAAATAAGATTAATTTTGCAATTAAATGATTCCTTAAATTATCTACTCTCTTGGTATATATCATTGCATTAAGATTACCTTGCTCAAGCCGTAATCTTCCTCGGCAGAAGACAAAGATGCTAATGTAGGTTTTAATAACAATATAGGTGATTTCAATGACGGCAATGAAGAAGCATCGTATTCGTGAAGAGCGAGTAGATGTTTATAAATAGATGTGCAATATATTTTGTAATTCTCAATAGAAGCTACATGTTTAGCCTTGTCGGGAATATAGTCGATGAAAACGTTCAATTTTTCCTCCCACGTGTTGTATTTGGACAATCTCATTAAAACCTGTTAACAATTATCGCTGTTGAGTATATCACAATATAACGGTAGATTTACCTCACAATATACTACAGATACCATTGCATTGTCAAACACGTAGAACGTGTCCATTAGAGCTAAGAGAATTTTATTCTGAAAATCTTGAATAGTGGTAAAAAGGAAATGTTGTTCTTTCATAGCTTTCATCTGATCGGGAGCGCCGTCGATTAATATTAACCGTCCTGTGAGATTTCTAGCCTCTAACAGTCTCACCAGCTCAATAGCAATTACTGATCCATACGAATATCCGACTATTATAAATTCTTTAGAATGCTTCATCCTCGTCAGAATTTGCTAGAAAACAAGTATATGTGTTCTTTCTTTCCTTTTCGAATTTGTTGATACGATATCAACGCAGATTGTACAATAACGGTGACAATAATATACCGAAGTGGAATTGCCTCATTCAAATGTCACGCATCGTGCTCTATATTTGTACGTACCGGTAATAAGATAGCAGCTGACTCCACCACCGATTCGCACGTGGGGATATTGTTCGTGCCATGCTGCAAACACGTTGCGGGAGCCTGGATTTCCGAAGCCAATGTATTAAACACGCTTCCACAACCTTCGACACCAGGTAGAAAGAATACACGATCTCTCTCCTTCTTTTGTTTCGTGGGCATTTCTAGACAAACGTCCGGAACCATGACTAAATTGCTCATTAAACGAATAAAGAGTTTTCCACCCTCCGAATCTACAGTGAAATCGTTGTCCTTTGCAAAACGCTTGTCTTTGTCGGCCATGTCGCTCAGTTTTGCGAAAGTGAGATTTCGAATATCTTGCGCGGTAAGATAAACATCGAATTCTCGTTCCAACGTTTGCTTAATCTCCACAGCCATCATCGAGTCCATGCCGAGCTCAGATAATGGGGTGCGATGTCCGACCGCTTTTAAATCCTTCACCCCTGTGCCGGAAAAAACGGGATAATTAATCACTAGTTTAGTGATGAATTTCTGTAAGAGTATTTCGTTGTTTGATTTGATTCGTGATGAAATCATTACCCATGACATTCGCTACGGTCTCCAGAATATTCATAACTCCGCCGAAGCCCGCGCGCTTTTCAGCTACGACCATACTACCAACGATCGGTCGACTCTGCATCAGAAAAGCGTCCAGTGAATCCAGACAGGACTGTATCCTTTGCTGCAGTGTACCGCCGATAATGAGTTCCTTATTATTGTCCTCTTGCATATCAGCAACGAGTCCAACATCGCCCACCGCGCCCCATTGTATAGCCATCCCAGGTAAACCGTCCTGTACTCTTTTTTCGCATATTCTCTCCATAATGGAATTAGCCATGCCGTAATTAGTTTGCCCCGCATTTCCTCGGCCGCATGAAACGGAAGAGAAAACGACGAAGCGCCGGAGATCGGGACACATCTCCCTCGAGAGCTCGTCCAACGTCTTCGTTGCCATCGCCTTCGGCTTGAATGACTCTTCGAAGGCCTCCACGGTTTGGTTCTTGTAGATGGAATCTCTGAGTACAACCGCGAGGTTAAATATAACGTCCACTGGCCCCATTTTCGCAGCGGATTTCAAAATAAACGCACAGTCCTTGCGATCGGACGCATCAGCACCCGCGACGATCTGAACATCCGCTCCGTAAGACTTCCATAGTTCCACTCTCGAGCGCTGATAGCCGTTACGTATTCCAGTCCGCGAAGTTAACAGGAGTTTTCGGGCTCCGCGAAGAATCAGCCAGTCCGCTAATTCCAGTCCGAAGCCGCCCAGGCCGCCCAGAATGACGTAAGATTTATGGATCTCGCAGAAAAATCGGGGATGAGCGAGAATAGGATGTTCCAACGGATTGTCTTCATCGCGTATTTTAATCACTATCTGGAAATAAGAACGGTTCCCCTCGAATTTTGGGCGATCGTGCGGAGCGACTGTGGCACCGAAGGTAACGTTTCAACGAGAACTTACCTTTCCTATGTGCTTACCGGTTGCCATGTACCTGAAAGCATCTTCTACTTCGGTCCTTTCGAACGTCTTCCTCGGGAGCGGTTTTATCACATGATTTCTCAAACCTTCTAAAAGATAATTGAACACCTCTGCCTCCATTTCTTCTTTGGCGCTGATTATTCTGTCTAACATAATTCCATGAAAACTAATGCCTCTCGCAAACGCCATTTTGTTGAGAACATTATTAGAAATTAGATCATATTTGCCAATTTCCAAGAATCGACCGCCTCTCGCTAAACAGCGAAGGGATGCTTGGAGCTTTTCTTCAGCCAGAGAATTCAATACGATGTCAACACCCCGTCCTCGTGTCTGCCGAACGATCATTTGTTCGAAACTTGTGTCGCGAGAACTGCCGATATGATCGTCGGGAATGCAGGGGAATGTTTCTCTAATGAACTGTCGTTTCTCTGGAGTTCCGACTGTCGTAAATACTTCGCATCCTTCGTGAAGCGCTAGATTAATCGCGGCCTGACCGATGCCACCGCTACCCGAATGAATGAGTACTTTCTCCCCTTTCTTTATCTTTCCATACTTATATAAAGAATAGTAGCATGTGGCGTAAACGCAAGGAACTGTGGCGGCGTCCTCCAAGGTCCATTCGTCAGGTATAATCCAGGATATTGCGTTATGATGCAATAAGGTATTTGATATTGCTCTGAAAAGATAAATGGCTTCGATCAAATTAATGCTGTTTTGTCGATCCCAGAAGAAAAACGTAGGACCATATTAAGGGAATACCGGAGTGATCAATAATTACAGACATTACGGGTCCCGCCATTCTTCGAAATGGTCATCAAATTTTCAACCTTTTTACACGCGTCAAGCATACACATTTACAAAGTGTGGAGTGGTAAATAGAAAGCTAAGAAGAAAATTCAAAAAGTGCACGTAATCCTGCACTGTTAGATGTGTACAACTGTCAAGTCATGGGAACGTTCACGTAATAGAAAAATTACGTAATACAGTTGATGTGCACAAAATACTTATACTCCAATATCCCCTTAATACCAAAATCAAAGGTCGATCGAAATAGTATCTCAGTAAAATCTGTGTTTTCGGTAGAATAATTTTGGTGATTTGCACGATAATACACAACCTGTCCGAGCATATTCCCATTATTCTTCGTCCAATGCTATCAATACCGACAAATTCAAAACCTAATAAGGAATCGACGTCCCGTCCAACCGGTGCAAGGGATTCCAAAGCAAGTTTACCGGTAGCTATCATGACGTCTTTGAAATTCAGTGTCGTATAAACTATACGTACAAGATTTTCAGGTTCGATATTGTGAGATCCTTCGACCCAACGAAGCGTACTCAAGTCACCTCGAACCTGACGAAAATTCATTTATACGCATTATCATTAACGGTAGGGATTTACGTGTAATTGAACGCTTGAAAATAATATAAATTTTATAGCTTTAATAGTATACGACGCGCAACGGGGGTAAACTTGGATAGAGAGAATTATATAAATACTTTATGCTTTGCTATTTTCTCGAATAAACACATTAACTTACCTTTTGAACGACGTAACCGCACCGCACGAGTCTTGGTTCCGGCAATGGTAACGAAAAGTGCCGATATGAGCCCCAAACATTACCAGGACGTAAGACGTTAATAGGTAAATCCAATTGCAACTGATTCATATAGAAAGGTTCTTGCAAAGAAAACTCAAGTGCGTCCTTATCTTGAATAAATATGCATCTAACAATTTCGCCACCCGGCTCCTTTCGTAAGCAATTAACAAGTCCTAATACACCACATTCGGGATCACCCTCCGCGACGACTATTACTCTGGCGTTCGTGCCTGATTCGTCGTCCACCTCCATGGCAGATTTGAGCTTGTCGATCCACGAGAATTCGTGGTTGTTTACGTGTACGATTTCCCGTCTTCTCACGGATCTTTGCGCCTTTCTCAAGAGCACCAGCACTTCTCCTTCCGTACTTTTCTCCATGATGATGTTCAGATCGTAGCGTTGCAGTAACGCATGATCGTAAGAGCCGTTGAGATCTTCTCGTGTCAAGAGAAAACCTCCAGCCATTATTCTGGACAATAATTGATTGGTTGAGTCGCGCGTACCTTTCTTTAGTACTCCGACTGCAATGATCATTAGAAATTTGTCATCTTTCGCTAGTTTGTTAAGCTGCACTGTCGTGAGATTCGAAGGCAAAACGGAGCTGTCGTATCTGTTGGCCGCCGCGACCAATGTGAGATTAGATCGCACTAGCGGCAAATTGTTTAGGACCTCCTGGATAATCGGAGTAATTAGACTATCCTGCTGGATCATGTCGTCGTCCTCGAGGAACTCCATCATTTTAACATTTATCATTTCGTAACATTCAAGCGCGATGTGCACCGCCATTTTTACCGCCCTTTCTAAAGATATCGCGGCATGATCCCGATAAGCAACGAAACTATATTCCTCGTGCACTGCTTCGGTGCTAATCATTCGACGAGATATGGACGTAGCTTTAAGTCCATAAATTTCTATTCCTCCGGATATTATAACATCCAGGCAATTGCTGACACGTACGGGCAGAACTGAAATAAAATTGTCGCTTCAACGTGAGAAAAGGACTCTTTTGCTACGAAATCTACCGTTGAATTTGAAATCACTTCAAATTAACGTGCGCGTACTTACTCCGTTCTTCAACGGACAGCTTCTGCAACTGCATCATATGATAGGTAGGGTCGATTATTAATTTTCGAATTTGGGTCGGCAGGTAAATACTTCTCGAGTCGAATGACAGGATTATCATTTGCAGCATATTGTCCATAAATGCCACCCAATTAGCTTGCCATTTGATATGTCCTACCATACCAGTAATCGTGGCGCTCTTCAACGAACGGAATAAACCTGTATATTGATATCCACGTAGTCGTAGCTCCTTGTAAATATCTGCCGTGCACATGCACTCTTCAGTATCATCGCCCTCGGATCGAAAAGGAGCGGGTAATTTTTCATTCGCGATGTTGTCAGGTATTCTCACAACTCCACTGACAATGACATTGTCACCCTCTATGATTTCGAAGTTATTACCTATATTATTAATGCCTGTAAGAATATATTATGAATGTGTTACAAAATAAAACCGCACTTTTCTCTATGTTTCATTTTATCCGCTTCTTTCACTTTCGTCGAGTGACCCTTACGGAAAGGTAGCACTAGCAATCAGCACTCAGTACTAGATAATCCGTACTCGTAATCGGAGTACCGAGTACTGATTGCTAGTATTACTTTTCCGTAAGGGGAAGTATTATGACTTTAATAAATGCAAAAAAATTACCTTCCTGTATCATAAGAGTTAATTCCAGGTTATTTTTTGTTAAGTGAGTAGCACGAACAAATTTAACATTTTCAAATACAATCGGTATGTTGCAGTGATCGATTCCGTTTAACAAACCAATCATCTCCCAAATTAAGTAAAGATAACCCGTAGCCGGTAACAAATTCTTTCCATCAATCACATGACCAGACATATAATCGAAGTCTTCGTCAGTGATTGTAATATTAACGATTCTTTCTCTGCTGTAAATCTTTTGCTGTCCTTCATAACGAAAGAAGTAATAATCCTCAGAATGATCCCATCTGCAACAATTGTTGAACAATGAAAAAATATAAGAAATGAAATAAGAGTCGTATTCTTTGGTTTGTGGAAAAATGTACCTGACGAGAGGAGATATCATTGGTGTCCCGCGACTAACCGGAAATTCCACCGGCGGGTACAAATTTGCAATCTGCGGCTGAAAACCTATATTATAAAGATCTCCAATTCCTTGGAAAAAACTTTGTATGGTATTCTGGTCGCGATTGCATAGTGAAATCAACGTTGACTCCAACGACTTTGCCATAGTAGGTTCGAAACCACTGTGTGGTATTATCTCGACGAGTACCGTATTTTTCGGTATCAAAGATATAACTTCTTGGAATGGTATTGGATACAATATACTGTCAGCATAATATGCTGCTACATTTGCAGGTGTGTTGTCCCGTTCATTACGAGATCTGCCCAACCATATCAGACCGCGACTTTTTAAAGACTGCGATGATAATATATAGCTGAGAAGCTCCAAGAATTTTGATCTGACAGTCTCAAGAGAGTTGTAGTTATTCGTAGCATCGTTAACCTGCGAAACACCAATCAATATGAAATATATATCAACATATCTCTATATAGATGTGACAGATTTGCTCATCTCATGAGAGAGGCTTTATTAATTAATTACTAAATAATATATTACATATAAAATTTCATAATTATTTAATAATAATACATATCGCAATTATATGTAACCAAAACCTGTATGTTGGCCTGTTCAAATGCAACGCCCATGTAATACGCCATTAAAATCGTTTCTTCGACAGTGAAACGTCCATCAATATATTCGCAGATCAGGTTACCAATAGAATGACCAATAATGTAATCGGGCACGATACCAACATGCGTTAAGAGATCCACCATTCCAATCTATATATTGTCCAAAAAAATTCTTTAATGAATTTTATGCGTGCGCATAATGTGCGTGAAAATCTGATATTATTGTACAAAATATATTACATCTATGTACTAATTCTCTTATATCTTACCTGTGTAGCAATGATCGCTACAAACGATTTTAAAATACTGTCGCAAGCAGTTATGTTTTCGTTCGTTAAAATATCTGTGACGCATATATTGTACTGCTTTAATGTTGCATTACATGTCTCAATTGCCTTGGCGAACATCGGCAGTTTCATCAATTCTTAATATATGTGAAAATCAGAGATATTAATCAGGTGCTCTTTTGAAATACACCAATATTAAATGACGAAAGGACTATATTGTATATATATTTAATTTAGATTTAAACAATATTTGTGCATACATATATAAATAAAGCATTACTCGATAAATTATTACGCACCTATATTACTCCACGAAACTTCCGTTCCGGGAAATGCAAAGCAAATCGGTTTCCTTAGATTTGAACAGTTTTCAACTTCATTTATTGTATTACGGCTTATTTGAGATCCAGCTATAGTATATCCCCTGTACGGATGACCCTCTATATTTTCAGCATGCAGACGGTGCAAAAGAGCGATATATTCCACATCCAGTTGTCGACTATTCACCTGCCATGGTAAAGTTGTGTATACATATTTATACATATAAAAAAAAGAATAATATTGTTAAATAATTCCTCTTTTGTTTTGTAAATTTTTAAGATCATATAACGTAATTAGTCAAACTTACATCATCTAAAAGAGTTTTCACAGCCTCTTCAGTACGACCAGATACAAGTACAAGTCTCGGTAAATCGTCCGATGTTTCATGTTTTATTTTATTTTTGGGATTCGACTTCAATAATACGTGACAATTGCCACCGCCAAATCCGAAAGAATTAATACCCACGTAACCACCGCCCCATGAAGTAGGTTCTGTGATGATCTTTATTCTACCTTCGCATATAGCAGTAATTTCTTTTCGCGGGGTTTCATAGTGCATATTTGGCGGGATTATACCGGTTTCCATTGCTATCAATACCTACAAAATGTCACGCATATCAATTATAATAAGAACAAAATAACGATAACTGAAACGAAGGGATCAAGTTTCAAAATGCAATTTAAATATATATGCAGTGTAATTTAAGAACTGTTAAAATACATATATTCCACATACTTTTGCTACTTGACAAAGACCACTGGTAGGCTCCGAATGACCAAGATTCGACTTCACCGAACCCATCAACAAAGGAGTAGACCTTTTTGAACATAAGGACTGGTCGATGGCGTCAACTTCTACCGGATCTCCTGCTGGAGTACCAGTTCCATGGGCCTCCATATAGGAGAGCATTTCGGGTGCAACATCGCATTCGTTATAAAACTCTTCTAATAACTTCTTCTGCATGCTGAAAGAGGGATATGTAATGCCTTCTTGCTTAAAGCCATCAGAATTGGTTTTAGCGTAGACGTAGGTAGCATAGATTCGCCTTGCATCCTTCGCTTTCTGGAGATATACTATCGCGATAGCTTCGCTGCGCATATATCCAGTACCAGACTCGTCGAATGGCTTGCAGTAACCATCAACGGAGAGAACTCCTGAAATTCATCAATTAAGTGATAATAATAGTAATTAATCGAATTGTTTTCGTCATGGTGTTTACGAACGAATTCGTTTTTGAATATAACTTTACCGAGACGGAAGAATTGATGCGAAATATGGGGATGCAGGCAAAGATTGGAGCCCCCTACGATGGCCGCGTCGCATTCTCCATTTCGTATCATCCTGTAAGCTTCCGCCATGGCGTAGTGACTTGAACTGCAGGCCGTATCCACGACATAAGATGGCCCATTAAGGCCGAGCCAGTGAGAAATGCTGTTCGCTAACCAGTATTTACTGCACCCAATAAATGGGTATCCAGCTACCTAATCACAAATAAAGATGCGTTCTCGTAAACTTTTTTCTCTCACCCCTTTTCTTTTGTATATATGTATATATTTCCCGTTATATTACAAAAAAAATTGTTGAACCATGTGTGGATTAACTATTTGCACGGCATCATCCAATTGTGGTACTTTTATGGATTTGGAGCATTAAACGAATGCAATATGTTCATCATCTCTCTCTAAATTATGTAAAATCTCCTAGTATAGTTTGAATATTTCAGAAACGAGGCCGTTTATATAAATTTGAAATGAAAGTTTTTGAATAAACCTAAAACTTGCATTTGTAACATTATTATAGCATGAAATGCTTCGTTTACGAAATATTCAACCGTCCGAAGTATCTCCCTTAAATATTTTAAATATCATTGAATATTTTACTTGAGGCTTGTGATAGAGAATTATGTTTGCTGTCGCAGAGTAACACGATCCTACGAAGACACCAGTTTTCGTTCCTCTTAATTCTTTGGGATTTATACCGGCATCAACAATCGCTTCGTAAGTGTGCTCAAGCAACATCCTGCACATAGGATCAGTGACGTGCGCTTCCGAAGATGTCATGTTGAAATATTGCGCGTCAAACTTCTCTCCATTATTAGTCTTTCCGGATCGAGCAGGCATGTCGTAATTTACTGTTAAAATTTCACATTTATTTTGTCATACTAAGAATATAATCTGTCGAGTATCTTAAAAAAATGAAATCATATAGCTTTTTTTAACATAAATTAATCCATCGAGTAATTCGGTAAAATCTTTGGAATTTTATTCGAATGGTGACTGTACATTACCATTGTTCCATCGTCTATCGTCGTCTGAACCGAGGTCCACCTTATGCAAAAGATTTTCTTGTAGTTCCTTTATATTATCAGAGCCGGGAAATCGTCCTGCGATACCGGAAATCACAATTTCCTCCTCTGGAGGAACTTTCATATATGGGTTAAACCATTTGCTACCGTCCATACCTTCAGTTCGCTATTAAACTTTATACTGGAAATAAAAGCATTTTTAACTCTTTTCGGCAGAATAAATGTAATAATTAGAGTGGATATCAACTGAATCTTCAATCTTATTTTACGGACAAATTTTGCATTTGAAGAATGTATTTAAAAATTATACGCGTAATAAATAAAATTTTGAAAACGCATCGTTCTTTTACAAACTTTCAACTGAAATAAAATAAAATTTTGTAACAATTTCAATTGTTCCTCCTCGTTATTTAGGATTATTTCTTGATAGTAGCAAGTACAAACCTTAAATATAAATGCTCGATCGTGCTGAGCGAATCGTTGTAACAAGAATACTTACGAAACTTATCTTATATATATCGTATACGTATATATATATATATATATATATATACATATACGTATATATATACTTTGACTAACACAATATAAGTTATATTTGCATTTACCTTACCTTACCTACAAACATTCCCACGCTCTTTACCTTATCTAAGCATGTTCTTTTTTTCCATCCTTTCTCTCTCTTTCTCTCTCTCTCTCTCTCGCATTCTATTGTTTTTTATAATAGTATGTAAGTAGCATACATTGTAAGAAACAGAAGTCAAATGTTAGGTATGTAAATTAATTCTATGCTTTTAAATTTACTGATTTCTATAATAGAAGTTTTAAATTTAAATACTTTTCTACCCAATTGTAATTTTAAAGAACTACTATGAACATCTATGTTTATAAAACGTCACGTAATATCACAGAATAATCAATATAACCTCAGTAAATAGTGATAAACAATATTGTTATTGATAGAATGCATATTCTTCACTGTATTTTTTCTTTGTCAAAAATGTTGCTAAATCATATAATTCTGGCATTGCACAAATATTAAAACATTCTTCAAATTAGGCAGGTTCTTTTTTTCTTTAGTGTCTAATTCTAAAGCGCACATTTAAAGTTTGTCTTCGAATCATACTTGTATTCCATAGACGTTCGTGTCACACATTCTTTAGAAAATTCTCTTTGTTTACTCCACTATGATTGCTCCAGAAGTTTCCACAAAATCGTACAAAAACATATGTAAGGCATATATAATTAAAGCATGTAATTAATTTTTGAAATTGGCTTTATTGTTTCTCAAAATACTCACCGTTAATCTTAATTAATAACTAATCACAATTAATATACTTTTTCATTTGATGAAACTAACTCGTCGAAACATTTTGACCATCTTTCTGATGGTACCTCAGACACTAGATTTTCGAAGACATTATAACATTATTATAACAGAAAGTGTAAAAATATAAATTTATAATAGATTATAATATAATAAATCATCATTGATATTCATCGAAATACGAGATAAGTTACGTTTTTACAAAATAAATGAGGTATTTCGCTTTACCAGACCTATTACATATTACTTTTCCAAAATTTACCTTCAAAACACATACATTTCATATTACTTTTCCAAAATTTACCTTCAAAAAAATTGATATAACATTACACTTACTATAGATAAACGAAATCCGTTGGAGAGAGAGAGAGAGAGAGAGGAAAATATTATAAAAAAACACTTGACATTACAACTCAATAAAAACTAATTTCAGTTATCTTTAGTAGTTTTCGGTTTATCTTAAAAAACTTTACGGTATTCCATAATACCCGCACTTCCTCTATACTAATATTTGCGATGCGACTATCTCAACGTACTTCATATGTGCACCTATTTTATGCAAATATTCCTACATACCTCAACACAATCTACATATGCCACTATTCTTTGTGTCTTCTCATTCTCCTCACCTTATTCTTCAATTACTTTCTCACACACACACACACACGCGCGCGCGCGCACATATATTTTCTTTTGTCGCGTACAGTAAGATGTCAGAATTTCGCATTGTTGTAATGAGTATCAAATAAAAAGTGTTTGAAAAATGATTATCAATAATGTAAAGGTGAAAAATATGAACTAAAATAAGCAAAAACATCCCAGTGTACATGGAATCGCAAACGAACAGTTTTCGAATTATCGTATATGTTGTACTACTCTTTTTAACAATTTTCCCTCAGCATCAGGTGTTATTTTGCTGAGTCTATATATCCGCAATCTATATGCGAAATTCCCATATTATCTAGGGCATTAATGAAGGCATAAAAATCTAGCACACGTAATATACACAATCCATGTGCGTGTAGGATAACGCAAAAATTTAACTAAAGATATATAAGGTTTAGCATATATATAATGATATTTACACAAACTTACACTCGCGCGTCACACATAAGTATATTAAACATTCTATGTTTTACATGTATGCTTTTATATAGTAATTGTACAAAAAATTGAAATATTAATATTTCACACATGACTCACACATTCATTATTCATATATTTATAATGGTTCTATTAAAGAAGCTCCATAATAAAGCAAATGCTACCATTTTACTTCTTTATTCCAATAATAACATATACTTCGTTAAACGAAATTATTTTCGACTCACTGAATTAATTTCAATACTAATTACAGGTAAATCTTATAATCGCGAAGCGTAATATGCATCAGCTTTGACGAAAGTAATAATAAATACTTAATTAATTCCTAATTCGCTAAACGTGTCTTTAACTATATCTCATCGAACGACGAGATGACCTGAACATTGGGTTTTCGCGCTTTAAAGCAATAGATACCAGCCTTCGTCACAGAAGTACCAGTTACGTCCAAATACTCCAAGCTCGGCGCGTTTAAAGCTAAATGAATGAGACTCGAATTCGTTACACGCGGATAATTTCTGAAAAAAGAGAAAGAGAAAAGATTTAGACGTGTTGTTATATCCCGTTTATCAAGATCCTTTTCGGGATTCTCCGCATTAAATTGACTCACCTAACGACTAATGTCTTAAGGTTTGGATTATTAAATATTCGTCTATCTTCTTCTAATATTATCATTCCATGCGGATAGTTATTTATCACCCTTCTGTCGCAAGTGTCGCTCCCGAGCGCACAGATCGCTCTGTCTGATATCAAACATCGTTGGAGATTGTAGTTCTCAAAAGATATTCCATCCTCGGGTACAAACTAAGTCAGATCACACTTTTAAGATGTTAGGTAATGAAATTCATATTCAAATGAAGAAATTCGTACAAAGAAATTTCAAGAAAAAAATACCAGTGATATTAGTTAATTGGCAATTACCTGCGCCAAAATGTCATCTTGGTAAATAGGTAATTGTAAAGCCTGCCGCTGCCGTTGCTGTCGCTGTTGTACGATCTCTGGCGACTCTTCATTTCTTAATGTATAAGGACACTCCAGATACAGGTGCGTTAAAGTTTTAGTACTGCTGAAACAACCGACTTCGCTATCGCCAAGTGCTGTATCCCGTAAGTCTAAAATCTGGAAACATAAGTCTTAAGCGTCTTAAAGTGCCATTTTCTGGCAGGATCAAATATAAAAATAGCAACATCGAACAGCAGTATACGTGACGTCCGTTTTGCATGAATAGAAAGAAATTCTACCTCTAATGTTTTAAATCCAAATCTGGTCGCTAGACTAGCATACGCAAGACACTCGCCCAAACGGTGACACGAGTTCAGTCTGAGTTCCCTAAGTTTTGGTACTTTACTAATAACCAATAGGGAATGTGGTGTGAACCATTGGCAATTGCTCAAAATTAAGCACTGCAAATAGTATCAAAGATATTTAATATCATGACAATAATTAATTCCCGAATTATAGCAACACAGAAAGAAAAGCAGTACAAGAAAAAGTAACGGAGAAAACGAATACAGTGACAACGTATATGTATGAAAAATGTTTGTCATTATAAAAGATATATATTTCTGAGTATCAACGAAAATATCAATTTACCGTCAAATTAGGCATGTGGAGATCCATTTTAAAAAAATAAGACTTAGTACTCTGCAAGTAATCCATTTTGCAACCTTCTAACGAGAGCTTTTCAATGGTAGGCGGGAAATCTGTTATTTGAATCTGTAAAAATTAATACACTATATTAATTAAGAGCATTCTTTTACAAAATAAATACAAATGTTAAAGTTAAATTCCAGCGTATTTAGTTCCCATAAAATAAAAGCAGTCCCAGGAGGTGCAGATCAGAGGAGGTCGGTGAGGCAAAAAATATATACATATGCAAATAATATATTTAAAATGTGTAAACGTGATATAAAAGATTCTCTAAAGCAATAACCTTGTCTCCATTGATCTGATATTCCTCAATGATCAATTCTTTCAGCTGACTGCACAGTATTCTTATATTACTGAAGAAATGTTGTGTGAGAGCTGAATTCTTGCCGGAAAATAAATGGCCACGTATCGCCAAACTTGTTGTCATAGGTTGGAGGAACTTGAGGTACCATTTTAAATCGTCCCAAAGCATAGGCTTTGATCGAAAATCAACCTTTCTCCATAGAGTTCTATCCTGCGCTACTTGGGCAAATCTCTGACAACATCTGTATAATTGGGAGAAATTAATTACAAAATGAAGAAAGCAATATATGAAAGGTACAATATAAGTATTTAACTCACAAGGTGACCGCCAGAAGATCTTGTGGATCTACATATTTCAGTATATTGAGTAAAACATCGTCGGAAAAGTCAAGAATATGTGGACAAGATGCATCATTTAATTCTGCAGTTTCTTCAAGCCTCACACGTTTTGTATCCCTACTGCTAGATGGTTCAGGAGAAAGAGACTTACTCCGCTTCATTTTTAGTTTTCTCTTACACCTATAAATGAATGAAGAAAAAGAGGAGTGTCTTTAGAGAATCCATGACATATAAAGAATAATGCTATTTAATTCTTTTGTTTATGCTCAAAGATGACAGAAGAATGAAAAGTATAGTTTGTATTAAAAATTTAAAAATTTAAGCACAAATTTAAACAACGATTTCAAACTTAATCTTTTGTTTACTGTTTGATGTCATTCAGACATACTGATATATTTTTTTTCAATAAAGATAATATTATTTACATATGACAAATAATGTCTGTACGCATCAAAGAGTCTACATTATGAAGAAATTGCAAATCCTTTGGCATATTCGCGTATGGGGCTGAAATAATCAATCAAAGTTATTTGGCATATGAGACAAAAGAGACACTGGAGCACAAAGAGAATTTTGTTCACTGCACTGCACGGTCTAATTTTGACTGCTGAATAATCACTTTCTTCGCCTGAAATCTAGAGATAGTGAGAAAATTTCTGCCAACCATATGCACAGATGATGGAAACTTCTGGGTTTTTCAGTTTTCTGCATGAGGAAGAAATTATTTTTATGCTAACCTGTTTTTGTTCATGTCCAACTGGTCTCATTTGCATAAAAGATGAATTACGTATTCATATAAAGAAAAAAAAGAGAGAGCAAGTAACATTTTATCATGTAAATAAAAAATATCATTACCGAAAAAAATGTCAAGTGAAATTTCGTAGATTTATTGTTATGAATAAATGTCAAACAGCAGTGCACGCGATTGATCGTAACCCGTTTCACACGTTTTCTTCACCAGATCTAGAATCTTGCGTTATGTAAACATGACTATAAACAAACAGTTTGGTTCAAACAGTCGTGCAACAATTCCACCCATAGTGTTTGAGGCACGAACGTACCGTGGAGTAAACGAAGAGTAAAATTTGACGCGGGAACATAACCACAAAATTATACATGCACTCGCCAGTGAATTTCCGTGCGCCGTATTAAAATTTTTCACTGAGTCTTACCTTACAATCTTTTCGATAAGAACGCGCAAATTTACGTTTAGTACAAAGCGTCCCCGTTGAAGTCAATTCTTTTAACTTCGTACATTCGGCGTCGTATATGTCCTCACGTCTGAAGTTTGGCACTTCCGGATCGAACACACTTGCGTCTGAACATTGCCACGTCCGGTTGTTAAAGCTCCTTCACACGGCACAGGGTGAGAAAAATCACTACGGTTTTCAATCGATATGCTGCTTTTCCGTGAGAGCGTAAGGCTGATTGGACACCGCCTCGCTCCTTGTCGTATTTTGTTCGCAGGAACCAATAGACTGAATGCTACAGCGATCAACGATCCTGTGAGAACTGGCACATCACGAGCGAAATATTCCTGATAATCGAAGAGCACAGATATACAGCCGCACTTCCGGTTTTTAAATATGAAACATTAGTAAGGTAAATAATGAAATGTGTAACATTAATAAGTAAAAAATTCTGACGAGTTTATCACAACGTATTTACAGATTGATATTCTCAGGCTTTAATTGTCTAAGACAAGGGAAGTTTCTAGGGTTAGGAATGATGTAATGAACATGATTAAAATATAACGAGATCTTGTCGTAATATATCGTTCAATATTCCAAAGATAATGACATTACCGTGTTCTTAAGAAAAATTGCATTCTTTTATTATATTGATACAAGGCAGGGGGCTGTTGATAAAAATTTATATTTCAGTTTACAATCGAGTCTTTAGTCAATGAATGGACTATGTACTCGGGTGTAATAAGCACAACTCATCTAAAATAATTCCTCTGTTTAAACTTAAAAGAGTTGCTGCGTCTTTGGATAACATTTCTGGTTTGCACGAGTTTAAAATCAATACAGGTAATTTGCATATGCTCTGCTGAAAATATCATCATGTTAGAAACAGTATATTAACAGTTTTTGTCTTATATACTGGACCGCGTTATATATACATCATTATAGATCTATATACTTCCAACACACACCTAAATCTGGTGATATAGAGATACAGTCTTAAACTCATCACTTCTGCTTCAATATGTACAAGAACTGCGTTATAACAAAATATCTAAGCACTAAACAAAATTAAATTCTTTGTACTGTTGAAGATCTTTAAAATCTGATACTCTTTTGTTAAAATGTACAGTTGCTATAAAAAAAATCCTTTGAGTAAAAGAAAACGTATTTTAACAAATAATATATACTCAAAAAAATGTTAATACATATATAGATACTATCTCAGTTTTACACTTAAATCTATCTAATCTTCTACATGACTCATTGAAGAATTATTTTTTTAACAAAATTCGCAATAAAATAGATCCTTCCAGATCCTATATAAAATACATTCTTCATCGTTATACCATAATGCTAAATGTAGAAGTAATTAATGTTTAATACCTAGACATTATCGCCAAATGACAATAATTTGGAAATGGGCACACATTCACATTCCACATCCCGTACAACACTAAGTATATTTCCGTACAATTCTTAGATTATTATAACATTTAATGTGATCTTTCTGTCAGACACATATTGCCAAATGTGGATATGTGAACATGGCCTATGGACTCCCGAAGAACATTTCGCGTTACATATGTATAAATATAATACTAAAATAACTATTAAATATCAAATATTTAAATTTTTGCTTGTGTATAGAGAAAGTATCCAAATCTAAAAATTACACAATATATATATATATATATATATGTGTGTGTATATATATATATATATGACCCCCACACCATAAAGACATGCCCCCTATGTATAATCTTATTCGCTAAATAAATGTTTATTTTCGAAGATATAAATTAAGATAAGAGGTACTACTTAATCATAATTTATGACATGTAAGCGAATACGATTGGAGAAATGCGATGATTAGCACAATTTCTCTTTGCTTTTGGTCAGTAGCATACTAAAAATCTAATGAATCATATGTATTTATGTAACTATATATATATATATATATATATCTATACATATATATTTTTCATTTCCAGAAACCATGCTATGGCACACTTTTTTATTAATCGACAACTGAAAATTAAAAGCCATTTTGTAGATCAATAACATATACTACACAGTATATTTATCTAACTTCTCGAATCACAACACAGTTAGCCAAGTTAGCAAACCTCCGGTCCCGTCCCTCTTTTATCTATATATCTCTATTTAATAATTATTTATCCATTTTATACATAATATATAGATTTCTTTGGTCTTAGTTTTTGTCTTGTATCCTAGATATACATAAAAATCATATGTTTCTAGAATGTCTTGTCAAAGTGGCCACAGATTGTTGCAATTACCGACTTAAAAAAAAAATAGGCTTCATACAAAGCTGTCACAACTGACGACGTTCACATACAATGGCAAATATGTTATTCAATTGAGGACCGAGAACTCAATGCACACCGCATGTTGGAAATTTAATACCGTGTTGTCGGAAATTATTTATGTTTCTCATATATTATAATCTTTCTAATATATCGATAATAGGATATCGATGAGATCACTTTGGTCAACAATTGAAACAATCTTATGACTATGTTTCCATAAATGTGTGGTCTGTCACGAAGATAATGGATAAATATATATATATATATATAAGGATGAGACCAACATATCAAAATATTTCTCTGAAATAAGAGAATTATATATTGGTCTATCCGCGAATTTCTAATCTTAAAACTAAACTTTATTCCTAATTACTCACTTAATTTCATTGCATTGCAATTTTGATACTCAGCATTGGCACATTGCCTCGAATTTCGAAGATCGATCCCATTACCTTTATGACAGACCATGTGTTAGCAACACATACTTTTTTTTTTTCAAATGTTGAATACAAGTGAGCATTCATTCCAAAACTACGGCATGCATTCCATACAGGTAATTTTGTTGGAAAAATACAGGATGACCGCTAATTGTACGTCACCACGAGCCTCCCTTCAAGAGCCACATCTCAAGAATTCTATCTGTTAAAGTATTGCCGTGCAATTAAGAATCATCCTATATATAACATACTCCACTTATGATATTTACATCGTGTTCAGGGAGCTTCTAAGCCATTCAACAGACCTTCTGCCTGATGTGTGTGTGTGTGTGTGTGTGTATGTGTGTGTGTATACACCAAAATATCGAATTTGTCCAAATCACGTATTCATCTTTCTTGTAATATTAAAGTACAAAAAACCATTCACAAGGAGGAAAACCATATAAGAAAATACTTCGGCGCGTCATAATTTCCCTTGCTTATACAACCACGATCTTATGATTGTTACCGTTCGGCAAGAGAACATAATAGACACGCTTCCCCTTATCTCATTGAAAATCTTGTATATTAGTATGATACTGACCGTTAGCGAATGACCCATTAGCCTGCTCATTACGTTCTATGACGCTCTGCATTTCGACAGTCGTCTCGTTATTAGATTGTCCGTTATTGTTATTTAAATTCCCAGTATTAGCGACATTACTCGTTACTACGTTCACATTACTCGCAGCGTCCGTTTGCTGCGGCTGTTGCTGTTGCTGATGCCCGTTTAAACTGTTCTGCGCGGAGCTGTTATTATTATTCTTCGATCTGTGTCTGATTTTATGCGTAGTGAGATACTGTTTCACGGAAAATGCTTTGTGACATATGTCACATTTGTACGGCAACGGGTCTGGGCAATTTAAACCGTCCGGGACAGACGCTGCATGGGTAGTTAGATGCATCACGTAATAATGTTTCACCACAAACGACTTTCCACAGGTCTCGCAAACGTAGGGACCGGACACACCGTGCGTTTTCCGATGTTTATGCAGATTATCCTTGCGCGAGAAACTTTTACCACACATTTCACATTCGTGCATTTTTTGTCCGGTATGAGACACCGAGTGTCTGACCAAGTGTTCCTTACGGCTGAACGCTTTTGTACACGTTGTGCACACGTATGGCCGCTCACCGGTGTGCAATTTCCGATGCTGAAAGAGATGTTCTTTCCGTTTGAACGGTTTACCACAGATGTCACAATTAAAAGGGTTTAGATTGGGCTGTAAGGGATCCTCCTTACTTCCGGTATCCGATGGCTCGTTTATAAGCGTCTCGACATTGCAATTATGATTGTTCAATTGATTTAACGAAGGGAAGCTTTTACCACAATCGCGACAGACGTTTCTCCCGGTCTGCGAGATTGCTTGATTACTTACGGAGATTATGGGCGCTGAGTCCGGTCCTGATCTGAGCCGCAGGAATTCTCTGATCTGCTCGATCGAGTTGCGGGACATCCCATCCTCCGGCGACGCCTTTGCTGAAAATTCTTTATAATCTTTCTCGTCGTCTCGAACCGTCGGGGTCATCGGACTCTCCTTGAAGCCCAAATTTAAATATACCTCCGGCGCTGCTTGCACCGCCGTATAAGTTTGTACATTTGGATTAGGAGATTCGTCCTTCTGCGCTTCGGATTGTATCTTTTGTATGATTTGCTGAGCCGGTTCTATGTCTGCCTCGGTCTTGAGGACGACATTATTGTTTTGATGCACAACAGACGACTCTTGCTTCAATTCCTGTTGCGTTCCGATCTGCACTTGCTGCTTCTCGAGTTGCTGAAGTTGTCTGTGCTGCTTCTCAAATTCGTGTTGTTGCCTCTGCAGCTGTTGGAGCTGCTGCGAGATCTGGCCCTGCTGTTGACCGATTTGATTTTGATTCTGCTGCTGAGGCAGTTGAGCCGGCTGGCTCAACTGTTGGGAAATCGGCCTCTGAGATTGCACTTGCTGACTTATCTGACTATGATTTTGTATTTGGTTCTGCGCTTGCTGCTGCTGCTGCTGAATCGCAGGAGGCTGGCTTTGCTGTTCGCCAATTTGATTTTGCGTTTCGTTTGATTGTTGCGGTGACACTTGAGACGTCTGCTGTTGGTAACTGTAATGGGTCTCTGCCGTAGATTCAACGACAGATGCTGTTATACCGCCTGATTGCATCTAAACCCAAGAAATATCTTATTACATTCGACGCAAGCGAACAGTCGCGATACGTGCGTATACAATACATAATGCATGATGCACTTTCAAATGTCGCCTCTCATTCACAAGCTCGTTACAAACCTGCAAACTTGCACATTTGTACTGCTGGACTCTGGCTTGAACTCCACCGACGATTTGTATATTAGAAGCATTTACACTGCCGACCACGACAGATTGTTGATGCTGTATCTGTTGTTCGTTACTTATTATTTGACCTCCTGTTGGTGTTGGCACTTTTTCCATTGACTTTAAGACCTCATCCTCAGGTGTGGATGGCCTTTCCTTCTCGGTATTCTTCACATATACTTTCCCTTCCTTCAGAAAGTCCTCGGAGAAGCGAAGCGATGTGAAATAGGATTCCAACATGCCCTCCGCATTAACCACAGTTTCCCGGAATTCGATGTAGCTCTCCAATTTTTTGACACACTCGTGGCATACAATTTTTGGTAACGAGTCGTCTTCCATAACCTTGAAGTTGACACAAATATTATCAAATTACAATTTACGTTATAACGATATATATCTTTATAACATTTACAATTATTAACTTAAGACTCGAAAATTCAAACTTCACCAAATTTTCTCTTTTGGTAACGTATTTAGCAATGTGTGAATGAACTTTTATCAGGAAACAATTGAAAAAAATACGTTTGCAACATATATAACAAGAGCAAAACAAAGCAGGTGTGCATCAATTATTCGCAATCAATCGTTCAAGTAGCTGGCTGTATTTATCTGATCTACAGGTGAAAAAAAAAAAAAACCAAGTCGCGTCTTTTTTATCGCACGAACCGACGAACTCCCCCGTCCGCGTCGCTTACGAACAAACGAGGATAATCTCGTTACGGTAAACAAGTGACGACTCCGTTCTTCTTCATTACGCACAGAAATTCCCGCAAGGTTTACCGTCACGCAACTTATCCTCGAATTAAAGGTTAATTATATAATTACGCCGATTGTTTCTCGTGGATTCGCGGCCGAAAGCCGCGATTCCACGCGAGGCGGACCCAGCTCGGTCCCGTACGGATCTCTCTGAAGCATGCACGTTCGGAGTCTTCCTCGCGTTGTTTGCGACATGTCGTATCAGTCAACCGGGATAGGTTATCGCGCGCCGACCGGCTGACACTCGCGTCCACGGAGGGATGCGCCCTCCCGGGAAGACGCTCACTCCTCACCTGTATCGGTAGATACGTCTGTATCTTCGTCTGCAACTGTCGCCTGCGGCCCTCGTCGCGGAATATGTTCATCTTGTTGCCCTCGCTGCTGGTACACAGTCTGCACAGCTCGTAATAGTTTACCTTGCGGTATCCTGACATCGTTTTCACCGCGGTGAATACGGCCGGGCTGTCCTCTCCGCGGGGGCCGCCGGAGGACGATAGCGAAGGGGCAAGACCGAGGGGGCACGTCGTCGTCGCGCGACGCACCGCAGGAGTGGTAAATACACGCGCAAAACCACCGCCGCCGCCGCCTTCGTCGCCGTCGGCCGTCGTCGCCGCTGCCGCCGCCACGATATACACCGTGATGTTGTCACTGTCGCGACAGCATTGTCCAGCGAGATCGCCCTATCGCCGCGCGCGAACCTCGAGAACGGCACTGATCACCGCCGCTGATATCGCATCTGCTGTCGGCCCGAAACACACGCTTCGCGTTTTTCGCCTCGCGTTCTCGCGGCGTACGCTGCGAACTGAGCGCCGAGAGATCACTCTCCTCGATCGACTCCGCGCGATATCGATATACGGCGCGATACCCGGACGGTGTGATATATCGATACTCTCCTCTCGCGCAAATGTGTATTACACGAGGAACGATGCATCGCTGTTTGAGGGGCTGTTGAGGGATCGGAGGGGTGTAATTATTTAATTAATCAACGGATTCAAGACGGGGGCATCCTTCGAAGGAGGTTAACAATCGACGTGTATCTATCGATAGGCCGGTATCGATTCGATCGTCATCGTCCAATCGCGATTTCGCGTTCCCGAAACGGCGAAACGCAGAAACGCGGAACGCCGGACCGGATAGATAGGAAATGTCATCGTTATCTCGAGTCGAGCTCCTCCGTCGGGATTGTCCACGCGACGGCTGTGCTGCTGTTCGCTGAAGCGGAGCATCTCGTAGAGTGCCGCGCTGCTCGCTCGCTCTCGTGGACGGTGCGTGCTCCGTTCGGGAGGAGGCCTCGTTCAGTCTCCTCTTTCTGTCTCGCCGGGGGTCTCTCGCGTGACGCGTGCACGCGATTACGCACGCACACGGACACACACGGACGGGTACAACGGCGCGCTGATGTAGTGTCACGGTGGTGGTGATGATGGTGATGACGATGATGACGATAACGGCGTGGGGAACGCGCTAGGTGCGAGAAGAGGAGCGGCCTCTCACATTGGGCGATAGCTGGGCTAGCCTGTGCACGGTAGAACCTAACCTAACCTCCTGGTCGTGCGAGGCAACATGAAGTCGGGCAATACGGACAAGCACAGGGGCACGATCCTCTTGAAGGCGGAGGAGAACGAGCAGGTCTTCCAACTGATAGGGAACCGATGCCAGGTGAGACGTTCCTCGGCCTCCTGTTCTCTCGCGATCGTCCTCGACGACGATGACGATGAGCAGCGTCTCGGCATTGACCTACACCAATGTATCAGCTAACGATTCCGTGAGCAATTCTCGAGGCATCCGCCCGAGTTTTGTTCCAGTTTTACGCTCCCGTGTGTGTGTGTGTGCGCTCCCGAGCGGTGTTCTCCGGCCGATTATCCAAACGGGATGATACGGTTCGTGATGACGAACGTTCGTAACGGTGAAAGAATCGTGAACGATGTGGGTGTTTTAAGAGGAGACGCGTGTTTTGAATTCAGATATCCCCATTTTCGGCCGAATTTGGCTCGGAGGTACGAACTTGGAAATTCAATTCGACGTGACGAGAAAAGCAAAATCAAGGAACGTGACGCGATTTGCACCGGAATAAACGATATGAATGTTCCAATCCTTTTTTTAGTTGTGGCAAATTACACAGCTTAGTCACTCGATTTGTAATCCGTACATAAGCGAGCCTCTAGAGGTGATATGATTCACTCTGCGATGTGGAGTTCAAATACCGTACATTTGCAGGATGCATGTTCTTTGCAAACACTTAAGCCTCGTGCAGCCTTTATAGCTGAACCCATAATTTATTATTGTTTACCACACTTTGTCCATCATCAAGTATATGTTGTTATAGAATTGTTAATATATTGAATTGGATAGAATAGTAATATATAGAATTGGATAGAATAATACAACTACGAGATCTCATTTGCATCGTACAAACAAATATTATTCCACGTATCGGAAAGAACAAAGGAAAAAACAATACTATTGTGAGATTATCAGAGATAATCAGTTATATAATTGTAATCGGAAGATTCGATCTTCATTTTGTTTCAATGATATGAGCTTGACATCAGACACCTTGACTTACCACAGATACTTGCTCGTTTCTTTGTTTAGTGTTTAGCAGCTGGTGTCATACAGTTATACCTGACCGAGCCTCCCATGCATAGGGATTGGATTAAAAAGAGCACAGGTATCATAACTCTGATAAGGGACAATCCGAGACGCAGTTTCTTCTTGCGATTGTACTGCCTGCAAAGGAAAGCGATGCTGTGGGAACATGAAGTTTACAATTCGATGGACTACAAAGCGCCGAAGTCGTATTTTCATACATTCGAGGCGGAGGATTGTATGGCCGCGTTTAATTTTGCGAGCGATACCGAGGCTATTACATTAAGGTATGTCGGTAAAAGTGAACGAGAACTGAACAAATTCTGAGCATATACATTTGGTAGAAAGAGAAAGAGAGAGAGAGAGAGAGAGAGAGAGGGAAAATTCCGTCCTGTTGCAGAAACATACTTCTTGGCAAATTGAATGCCAAACGTCAGAGAAGGCAGGAGAGGAGAGCGAAAGAGGCGCAGCCGAGTAGCACTCTGCCATGGAAAAATCAAAGCAGCCCGTCACCCTTCACCGTCACATCGGGCTCCTCGAGTAATCTGTTGAACGGCGCGCCCAACACGGTCGGCGTTAACCGAAGCGCCTCGAGCAGCTCGATGTACAAAACGAAGAAGAAAAAGAGTGAGCAGGACCTCAAGCGCAAACTGACCAAGGACGATATCGGTCTACCTTCGAATTTCAGGTGTGGATCTGAGGCTTTGTTTCTCGTGTCTGTTACTCACTTGAGTAACGCGCATTCGCGTGTACGAGCGTAACGCCGAGTCTAACTTCCCGCAGACACGTGGCGCATCTGGGATGGGATGCAAATAACAAAGGCCTGGAGCTCGATTCCGTGGACTCGGAACTGCAACAGTTCTTCAACAACGCCGGCGTGTCGGAATACGAGCTCCAAGACATCGGCACACGAAAGTTCATCTATGACTTCATCGAGAGGAACGGAGGGATGAGCGCGGTGCAGGAGGACATTCGGCCTTTGGCCAACGCGAAGAGCAATAATCAACAGCCTCCCGCGTTGCCGCAGAGACAGGAATATCCTCCGCCCGTTCCAGCACGTACGATACCTGTGAGTCCCGTTTCTCTCTCTCTCTCTCTCTCTCGATGTAGAGCGCATTAATCGTCAACTTGTTGGTAGCACATTCTCCTCTTTCTCCCCATGTCCTAATCCAAATGAAAAACGTTCTTCTTCTTCTTTCTTTCAGCATCAGACGCGCAGCGCCCCGCCTTTACCTCCGAATCGTCTCACCGCATCACCAAGTGTGCCTCCTAGCCTGCCCCCGAGCGCACCTCCGAGTGCCTCGTCCATCGCTCCACCGGTGCACAGAACTTTACCGTCGAGACCACCCCCACCCGCTATAACCTCGGCACCGGCTCTGCCGCCGCCTCCGCCTCCGCCACCGCCGGCTCCACCGTCGAGAAACAACTCGAACGTTCCCGCACCGCCGCCGCCGCCGCCCCTGCCGGAGCTGAGTACCGACAGTACAGTCAACACGAACGCCACTAACAACAACAACAACAACAACAACGAGAACTCGGTCGCCGACCTCAGGCCGATGCTCATGGAATCCATTAGAAGCGGCACGACTTTGAGGGTACGTATCGCAGTGTGGGAGCCTGAAGAATCATATCTCTTCATTTCATGTCTCTTTTCATATTTCCCTTCGCTCGTTCTATACCGCTTGAATTCTGAATTTTACCGTTCATCGGAAATGACGATTCCTTTACCTAGACGAGTATTTATTTGGTCCGTGTCTCGTGTTTTACAGAAAGTTAATAAAGCGGAAACGAAACCGGCACCGATCGAGGACTCAAGAAGCGACCTGCTACGACAGATACGCGAGGGCATCGAATTGAGGCCTGTCCCGAACGAAGTGAAATCAAACACAGCATCCACGCCTCGTCTAGGTGTTCTAGCTGACGCGTTATCCAGAGCCCTGGCCGAACGATCTCGTGCAATCCACAGTGAAAGTGAGGAATCGACTAGTGATACCAGTGACGACGACGAGTGGGACGACTAAATCCGGGTTAGTTGACACGTTCCGATTGCATGATTTAGTCCGACGGAAAGCTGTCACGCACCTCCATCGTATTTATTCTCCGCAATTAATAGAGGCACACGACGATGTTTCAGATGAAAATATAACTAAAAGGCTACAATAACATACTACTGTGATAAATGTATTATTGATGAGGACATTAACGGGGGCTAGCCATTATGAAACGTGTAATGTAAAATGACCATGAATTTTAATATCCGAAGAGGAATGAAAATTCACAGAGAATAATATTCGAAAGGAGCCACTTATATATATATATATATATATATATATATATATGAGCAATAGTTTAGCCATTGGACGGGATTTATATGATCTTGTTAACTTCTTTTTTCCTTACAGAAAAGAATAAAACTAGTAATAAAGATTAGTTAGCCCCGGTTTTGCCCTGTCCGCATTATCCATACCAATTTGAATTTAAACGAGGAACATTATAAATATGCAATAACAAATACGGAGGAGTATTACTTTAGCTATTTTATGTTTCATTCGCAAATTCAGTTATTGTCGTATACGTGCCGGTAGACATACGTGGGAGGTTGAACTTTCTCACAGGCAAGTTGCGAAATTTAGATTAGAGAGAAATAGTGTTCACACTCTACAATGCGGGCCATGGTACTAACCTAATAGATGGAGCCGAATTAATTTCACATAAACATATGGTAATATTTATTGACAATATTCTTCAATATTTAACAAGGTATGAGTATTTTTATGTTTCTTTTGAGTGCGTTTCTCTGCATTAAAAAATCCACAGGCGCGTGTGGACGAGCAATGAAAGTAAGTCAATATCAGTTGAACGCGTACCGATCTAATCACCCCGATTTATCGGATTTGATCGGTTTGAGTCGCTAAAAATGCTACTCATCGTATATATATATATAGCAATATAATATCAAGCTGTATGAATGCGAGACAATTATGCGCGTTTAAAACTGAGGGAAAATCAGGATTTACAATCTTGAATGTTCAATATTCAATTTATGAATGTGTGTGCCTCCGGTTCTTTTGGAGAAACTGTTGATTAGTTTCCGATGGAATATCGTTTGTGTGACAATTATTTCAATTGTCGAATAATCGCTCGATCGTGCGATTAACGATCTTAAGTTATTTTATATCGTTCTTTTAAATAGCTGTGCTCTATCGCTACATGTAGAGACCGAATACGGAAGTACGGGCAAAGAGAAGTTGTCGATGGAACAATGCGAGGCACAAGAATATACTTTTGCCGCTATGGAGAAATCCTAGTCACAAGAAAAAAATATATATTATTAATTATATTTTATTCTATACAATATCACATATTATCTAAAACAGTTTTCGATACTCTCTCTCTTCTGTATTTACGTTTTTTTTTTATGACTGGTATATATCTATGTATATTTAATTTACGCAAATTAGCCGATCTAATTTGTCACTATCACTATTCAAATAACAGAAGAATTTATACTACTCGTTATTTGTAACAATAATAAAATAGCAAGATATTTAAATTCACGTTTGTTGGTGAATAAGAAATTCTCAACGAGACTGTAAAGTTAAGGAGAAATTTGGAATTGCGCATATATACGAGGTGAGTAATAGTAATACACGAGGTGCATTTAAAGATTCTAAGAAATGTACATTTTGTGTGCACGTGATTTAATAATTTCTTACCGCTGCGTTATGCGCAACTTAATGATCAAGGACAGTTTATTATCGATACTTCTTAGCAAATCACAATGTAAAGTGTTCAATCAATATTTCGCTAAGAAAAACATCGGGTTTAAATTGATCGAAAAATACAGCTGTAAATTTGGCCTATTTTATCAACATAGTTACATTCTTCATAACTTCATTTCATGCGCGACGTTTCGTTCATCTCGAAATGATATTTATTATCTGCATTAAATTCGGAAAAAGAATATTCCCAGTAAAACTAACGCATATTATTTAAGTGGCATCCTGTATTTTCTAGGATAATTAGAGTAATCATAGGTTGTTCAAGGCGAACTAAAACAATTGATAATACACTATAACAATGTATAGCACGCGTTACAAACATGTAAAACGACAACTTCCAACTTTTCATTTGATATCGAATTTAAAGAGTGACTTCCGGGAATTACAATAAATTTGCAGTACATCCATAGTGCTAAAATCGAAAGCATAGCGTAAGATATCTAGATGATTTCGTGATGATTAACGAATGATAAGTTGGTTTCATCAACGACGATTAACATTAATCATAGTTGTTTAGTTATGCTTTTGTCTGTTTACATTATAATTATTGAGAAAGGGGAGAGTGAAAAGATAGAAAAATCATTAGCGGTAATGGAACGTTGATGAAACCTCTCCTAACGAGTTTAAACTCAAAACTTTAACAGAGCCATTGTCGTTTAAAACTTGTTATATAGAGTTATGCAAATAACATTAAACATATGTTAAAAAAAGAAATGTTTATATTATTATTTATTTAATAATTAACTTTTACACCTATATATACACATATATATATATAAATATATTGAAAGTTAGTTTAAGCCGCATGCTGAGATTATTTGCATGCACATAGACTCTAATAGATTCTATTAAAAAAAAAAAAGAAAACGAAAAAAAAACGAAAAAATATTTTTGCTAACAATGTAAGTGAAAATATGGTAGGCTTGTAATACATTGAAAAACGAAATGGCAGTATTGCTTGTACACACTACTGTTAGCGTTTATCGTTATCTAAGATTCTATCGCATTTTTTTTTTGTTTATTGCTACCTGACTAAATGTCCTGTAATTATCACTGAAACACTGAGACATATCAATTTTGCAGACGCCAGAGCACACCGACCTTCTTTTTTTTTTGTAGCTTCTATTTTTCTATCTGGAAATGAGATTAGTATAGATTAAAAATGACTTATAATCAATATATTTTCAGTCTTATCGTATATTATACAATTAACTTACCTGACGTTAACCCTTTCAGGTATTTGTACGCTGTAGGTTTCTCGCAGCTATATAATTATATTTTTAAGCGCCTATTGCTCACGGTCTTCCTCCAAGTGATTTGCAGAGGACCAAATTTTATCTCGTTCCTCCGTGATTGGAGCGGGTAGATACGAAACTCTGATAGAAAGGAACTCGCGTCAGTGGCTGAAAGGGTTAGCCGTGTTGGTTGCACAATCCTATGTAGCGATCAAATTGTTTGTTTTAAAACCTATCAACTATGTTTTCCCGCAGAGAAGAACTCGTTTTACGCACATTGTTGTGAATTCGCTTCCGAAACGATGTGAACGATGTGATAGAAATGTTTCGCAATTCGTGTGTCACTCGTGTTACATTATATTATGTTATATTATACAATAAACGAAATCTTAGCATCACGCACAATTTTTATTTATTGGAACGGAAGATCCAAGTGTGAACAATTTCGCGAAACCATTCGTACTTTATAATCACGCATTCTTTCGAAGACAACGAGAAATGGCGCAGTTGACTAAATCTTAAATAAAATAATTTGCTGGCATCACTATTACACATACATACATCTACATTTATATAAGAATAATATATAATTACATATTAACGTATCTATAATAAGTTATAATATCGCTGACTTTTATCATTTCAATCTATTTTAACAATTAGTCATTAGAAACTATATTCGTATCCTTCGTCGCATTCATATCGTTGTATTAAGAATTATTAATATTAAGAACAGAACAGATGTAAGCGTAATTAGAATATCGTTCGTGACGGGGGAGCATTTACGTCCTGACTGCCGTAGATACGGCCGAAACTTATAGCGGTTGCGTGGTTGGGGCAGATATACTAAACGCAGCTATGAACACATTGATGATCGTAATAAGAAAAACCGCCGCTACGACGTAATTGTTAATCATCTGAGCTTTGCGGCATTTCGACTTGCCCTTCAAGTCATATCGACCCTTGAAGATCAAACTGACGCCAACGGCGACCTAAAAAAAAAAGATACGTCACGGCGGTCACTCTTGTCTCTCGATTCTCTCTTGCAATTTACTATAATCGTAATGTAGTGCCCCGACACGGAACCTTTTTCTTCGACCTCTTTTCTCACGATTTTGTCAATATTAATTTTACGACTACTTATTGATTGTTCGAGTAAAAGAAAAGCGTCCGTCCAATTTTAGCCGAATCGATGACAAATGTAATTTTATGGATACATCTTTTCATTCGAAGGTATAGCGCAAAAGCATGCGTCTTTTCGCTTCTGACGTCATTGAACGAAGACAATCACAGCGAGCCTTAATTCAAGCGAACTTTCTTCCCCGTGCGAAATTGCATTACCTGTAACAAGAGACTGATGGCGATCAGGATCACGATGAAGTAAAACGTCGGGCTATTGCGCTGGTACTCGAACAGATACCTCAACTGGTTCGCGTTAGCCGTTATGAGCGCAACGTCCATCATACCCTGCGCCACGGTCTTTTTGGCGGCGAAGGTGTTCTCCTGCTTGGCCTTCTTGTCCGTCGTGTCGACGGACGCTATGTTCTTCACCACAACATCCTCGACCGCTTCCACGTCGGCGGACGTGGAATCCTCCGAGTTCTTCGTCACCGCACCAGCCGCTTCCGGTGCTTCCACGTCGACGGACTTTTCCGGGTTTTCCGCCGCAATGTTCCGGAGTCTCTCCATTTTGACGGAATCGGACGACGACCCGGCCATGCCTCTGTCGCGATATCTTCCGTCACTTTCGCAATTCCTCCAACATTGACAGCCTGGTCACAGCGTGGCACTGGATCGGTAAGACACGACTGAGCACGATTCTTCCGACGTAAACACCGCATCGAGAAATGTCTCCCACTTTTTGATAATGTGTACATATATATATATATATATTGCATATAGATATGCAGTAGATAACTATATGATAGATAAACCGCGATAAAGTAAATGATAAATTCAGTCGGAAATTCAAAAGACTCGTCGTGCGCGCGATCCTACCTAGTTTCTGCTTTGTTCTCTAAGATCGTCGATGATCCACACTGATGAGAATTAATCATTGCGAATTCTTTTGTTCACAATTGGAGAATTGGCATTTGGAATTGAGACGGGGGCTCGAGATCCAAGACGCGAGAAATCAGCTACCTGTGTTGCGTATAAAACCTCTTTCTTCTCGTCAGACGTAAAATGTAAAGTGACGTAGGAGTCAAGACCAATCACTTGATCAAAGTACACTGACTTTTAAATTGTTCCGACACAAAGACGGGGATGCTCAAAAATGCCATATCTCTCACAATGCGGGCGAATCAATGGAAAAGATTATATCTCTTCTGTATAGATACTATGTTATCGCTCGGAGTAACGCAGATAATTGAAATTGAATTGCTGCAACGCATAATGATATACTGCATCTACGATAAGAGCAAGCAGTGATTTTGCGTAGCGTCGAATGTGATGTATTACAGCGGACTTTTCACAATGGAGGCGAGTAAATTAAAACGGAATTGGAAATCTTAAGAATTCAATTCGGCCGAAAATTATCTATAATGTGTCACAATACCTTAGAACCTCACGACGTTTTAGAACTCTCTGCAAACGAAATTCACGTCACTTCCGCGCTCGGTGCTTCGGGAAATAAAATTCCAATCGCATTCAAATTGCGAGGGAAATTTTGTTAATAAGCGTGCGCTTATATCACCTGATCCGTCCTGATTCAATGATAATTTTCTTCTCGAGAAGATATTGTTCGAATGTTGATGCTTTTGTACTTCTAATGTTCAATTACACTTAACGTCATACAGCTGTTCTGCAAATAATGTACTCGACTTTTAATTTTAGCGACACGCGAGACGGTGCGGGAGGAAGGAAACAAGAGAGAACTTACGCGAGAGAGAATTTCACCGGCGAAACGCAATTCATATACCTTCTCTACGGAGGTTCACATTAACACAATATCAGTGTCACTCGCATAACACGTAGCGACTCGACTGGAGACGTCGATGAATTTCGCTGCACCATTCAACGTGAATCAGTTCGAAACGGTTCACCCTGAAACAGTGACGATAAACCTTATCGTATTAATCATGCTCCTACCGGAACAAGAAAACCGCACGCGCTCTTTGTTCACGATGAGGAAGGGAAGAAAAAGGAACATAGTTACCCGACGCAAATACTTGTATTTGTCCGCGAATTAATTAATCGATCAACACTCGCTCGTGCGCGAGAAATCTATTGTTAAAATCATTGCTTGTTATGGAGCATGCGTCATTCAGAAAAGAGATAAGGAAATATCGTCCGGAGTGCAAATGCTTCTCTACATTCCTTTCAATTTGTTATTTTCGTCGAAACGATGGACCGTATATAATTTACGCGTGCTAACGTTATCTTGACCGATAACGATGTTGCTTTTTTTTCCTTTCACGAATATCCAATTCTTTCGTAAGTCTATCTCGCATGTAGCTCCGGATGTGTCAGTGACGTTGCGAAGCGCAGATAATAATGGATGGAGCTCTATCACGGGTAAGCCAGCACACAAAATGTCTGCGAAAACGAAATTCGATATTCACGTTTCGTACATTCCCTCGAATACGTTCCTTCCGCTTCCTCGTACGGCTCTTGATGGAGAGAAAGTAGAAGAGACGCTACTCTTCCTCGAGGATATAATTAATATAATTTCCGTTCAAAAGTAATTCCCATTAAAAAATGGGATCACGTGGAAAATTTCGCCGCGTACATTCTTGAAATGTATGACATTTGCGAAGTGAATTGTAAAATTTGCCACTGCTTCCACGCACGTTGAAACGAAGACCTGCCAGAAGCTGTGGGGCGGTCGATTCGTCGAGGATGTCGACCCCGACTTTCACGGTCTAAACGCGTCGATCGACGTCGACAAGCGAATGTACGCTGAAGATATACAGGTGAGCACCATCGTAAAGGTATCTTTAGTATCCGAGCAAATCCCGTGCATACCTTCTCGTGTGTCTTCAGGGGAGCACAGCTTACGCACACGCGCTCTGCGAGGCGGAACTTCTCTCGCAGGAGGAGACGCAAGCTATAAACACAGCCTTGAAACAGGTACGGAAATAATTCCTTCGTCCTTCGACATTTCCTCGCGACTGAATTCTGTAAAGATTTTTGCAATATCGTTCTGGCGATGAATTACGCATTGTAAAAAATTGTCGAGTAAAGAAGTTAGATCTCTAATCAGAGTTTTAATCAGGTGCAGGCAGAATGGGAAAGCGGCGAGTTCGTCGTAAAACAGGAGGACGAGGATATACACAGCGCCAACGAACGAAGGCTCTCCGTACGTTCACGACGACACAGTTTATCTTTTCCTTTGCTATCGTTAAAATGAATAAAGTGTAAATAATGTAAAGTATGAAAAATACGCAGGAATTAATCGGTGACGTGGCGAAGAAGCTACATACCGGAAGGAGTCGCAACGATCAAACTGTGACTGATACCAAACTGTGGCTTCGGGGATCCATCGACAAGCTTCTGCTCAGACTGAGAAAATTTATCGAGGTAATCTCTATAAGCGCGTGATATCCCTAAAATATTATATGAATATTAATTCAATATTAAAATAATATTCTTATATATTTGAAATAAAAAAACTACAATTATATATATACATAGAGTTGAATATTTAAAAAATACATGTTACAATAACATTAAATAATATTATTACCAAAATATTACTAGGAGTCGACATATAACCATCCACAAATATTCCAGAAATATTACTTAATGTTAAATAATTACGCGCTTATAAAGTAGCTTCATCTAAATTTGATTCACTGTTCTCTCCGAAGTTAACTCATTTCTGTAAAATACAGGTCCTCGTAGTTCGAGCGGAGCAGGAGGTAGACGTGCTCATGGCAGGATACACGCATATGCAGCGCGCCCAACCCGTGAGATGGAGTCAGTGGTTACTCAGGTAGGGTCGATCCGTATTCATATACCTGTTGCAAATTGTATTACATTTGTGCGTCCACGCTGATCTTATTATCCCTTCTCTCTCTCAAATCCCTCGCAGCTACGCCTGGTACGCGAAACAAGACTTCGAGAGGCTGCTGGAGGTGCGTAAGCGCGTGAACATCATGCCGCTTGGCAGCGGCGCGATAGCGGGCAATCCGTTCCCGATCGATCGCCGATCTCTGGCCGCCGAGCTCGGCTTCGACGGGATCACGGAAAATAGTATGCACGCCGTCGGGGATCGCGATTTTGTCGGTGCGTGTCGCAAGAGTTGCAGGCTTCTTTCGCAAGAAACGTGTCAAACGCTTATCACGCTTATGTATTTAAGATGTCAAAGCTTTCCGTCTCCGCCTCTCATCTCACTCTCTCTCTCTCTCTCTTCTGTTTTCTCTCAGCCGAATTTTTATTCTGGTCGTCGTTATCGTCGGTGCATCTCAGCCGCTTCTGCGAGGACCTGATCATCTACAGCACTCGGGAATTTAACTTCGTTCAATTCGCCGATAAATACTCGACCGGCAGTAGCCTGATGCCTCAGAAGCGTAATCCGGATTGCGTGGAATTGATACGCGGGAAAACCGGCACCGTGTTGGGAAAGGTTCCTTCGAGCGTGTTCGATCTTCGATTCTATTCCTGTAGCTGAGATTTTCATCAGTGCCGCTGACCTTTGTCGCTTTCACTGCTGTTTCAGTGTGTCGGTTTCATGACCACGCTGAAGGGAATCCCATCGACGTACAACAAAGATCTCCAAGAGGACAAGGAGACGCTCTTTCACACGTACGATACTTTGTACCGGATGTTCCACATCGCCGAAAAAGCACTGGCCACCTTGAAAGTAAACAGAAACAGTTGTAAGAGTTCCTTAACGTCCGACATGCTCGCGACCGATATGGCGTATTATCTTGTGAGGAAAGGTGTAAGTACCCTTGAATTCGCGTTATTTCGTTGTTATATGACGCGAGCTTGATTTGACGAACCGGTTGTTATCTTGACCAGTAAATAAGAGATCGTTACTATAACGTTATTACAATATTTTATAACATGTAACATCTTCAAATATGTAATTTCCAATGTTGTATACAACGTTACTGTTGACAATATTCGACCGAAACGTTAAAAATAACGTTTCTACACTATAATTTTAATATTTAAGAATATATCATCAATAATCAGTTTAAAAACACTTATAAAATATTATGTCAAAATGTTTACAAAATCCACATAAAGTAAATATTTTAAAAGATTGATTTAATATTTCTTGCTTAATGAGTTGGCTGTCGTATTTAAACGCATTTGTATCTTTAATTCAGATACCATTTAGAGAAGGTCACCATCTGGCTGGCAAGGCCGTCGCTCTGGCCGAATCGAAAGGAGTGTCCTTGCAGGAGCTGACTCTGCAGGAATTAAAAACAATAAGGTACGGTAAGACGTCTTTAAAGATTGAAGAGTTAAACATATTCGAAGGGAAAAAAAGAAGCGTAACGTCGAGAAACAACGTTCGTTTCAGCGAGGCGTTCGAAAACAACGTGTCGTGCATCTGGGACTTCAACTGCAGCGTCGAGCAGTATAAAACTGCCGGTGGAACCAATTCCGAGGCGGTACAACGGCAAATCGGCAAACTGCGCTCTTGGTTGCTCGAGTTTCCGCCCGAAGGCTAATTACATCGCCCAATTAATAAAGTCAATCGAAGCCCCATGATGACAGCAACGTTAAATAAACATTTACCTCTGTAATTCTCCGAAAGAATCGTAAGCGAGCCGTAGCACGTGAGAAAAATTCCTAATCTGACAAACGCCCGAAAGAATTCGATGAAAAATTCGCCGAAAGAAGGGGAAGGCAAATAAAAAAAATAGATCTGCGAATTAACAAACGTGTATCGTTCGCTTTTTGCATCTCGGGATACTCGTGCGTCGCGTTCAATTTGCAAATTTAAAGGAAGCTTCGAGATATCTCGCAGGCATAACAGTCGCTCTCAGAGCGCGACGTTGATTGGTCACCGCTGGTGTGTGCACACATTCACAGATAGGTGATGAGTCTACGCGGAACTGCAACAAAGACCTGGTGGACAAGGTTAAGAGCAATCAGGGAAATCGGCTGGAGTCAGTTCAAGTTAGTATAGAAGTAATTATCGCGGCGAAACGGTCGATTCCGGATTCCGTGGGCGCTTCAAATTGTTGCTCGAGTCGAATCGTTTTTCGCGCAACAGTTGACTCCGAAATCGTGTTGTTGTCGCCATGCTGGGAAAAAAATCAATACCGACGTCAGTGCGTATATTCGGCGCGTATATTTCACGATGTTACATGAGATAAAATTCGAAGTTCCGTGAAACGATTATACGCCCGGACGACGCTCCGATTCAAGTATTCACTGTCTCTCGCACGCATCTCCCATTCATTCACTCTCGATTAAATTCATCTGAAAAATCGAGATCCTATGCATTCCCCAAGATGCGTCGCAAATATCGTTTCACCACGATTTTGTTACGACACCGCATCCTCTGAAATGTTCCGGAATGGATAATTTCACGATCTGACTGGCGTGCATTTATCTGTATGTGTTTTTGCACCATTCAGTGAGGGGTTATCTCATCAGCATTATGTGTTGTGATCCTCACGTTACATTTTGATTCTGATATGTACTTTCAGAACCTTTACTTGATTTACTACCCCCGTAATTTTTCCATATTGGAAAGCGATACATGTTACAGAAACTGGGCGAGTATGGATTCTAACAGATATTACAGAAATCAGTTTGACGACTACGCCAGCTCTGGCAATCTCAATATAGTCGTGAACGATGGCAGTATGGTATGACTGAATTTTACATAAATCTGCCGTTCTGTAATAATTTGATGACATCTAAATCCGTTTGATAAGAGGAAATTTAATCGGGAAAGACAATTACATTGTTCCTCAGATTCACGATGCATTTAAATCAGTGCTAACCGTGGAAACTAAGAAGCTGATGGAGATCCTGGAGGAAAACGAAAGGATGTGGCTCAGCAGGGACGATTATTCAGTATACACCGGATCAGCGGGGATCGCATACACATTTTATCACTATGGGAAATCTTTCAATGACGCCGCATACATCAAAGTACGTATCGAATCCGGTACGTTCCTCCTTGGTACAAAGTTAGATATCACTTCAATTCAGTCACCTTTCTCCGCAGAAAGCAACAGGTTTATTAGAAAGGTGTGTTACAAAGTTTAAAAGCAGGCATGAAATCACATTTCTGACGGGAGTTGTAGGACCCTTAGCATTAACAGCAGTAATATTACATTCGCAGCGCAAAGAAGAGGAAGCTAAGCAATTGATCCTGAAGTACATAAATCTTTAGTACTTTAGTATTTTAAAACCCACCTGTTTTTGTTCCTATTTCAACAGGTTTATTGCCGAAAGTGATGTAAGGATCTTGTCGAGATTTAAATAGCATTACCTTCAGGTGTACTTGAAACAATATCGCTTTCAGATGTGCCGTCTTGCGGAACGTTAATCTAATGCTAATTGTACAATTTTTAGGCTGAAATCCCTAGCTACTTACGTTATAGAGAAACGTAGCGATGTTCCAGACGAGTTGTTGTATGGGAGAGCCGGGTATCTAAGCGGTTTGCTCTACATAAACGCGAATATATCGCCACCTCCTATAGAACCCGACATCATTAAGCAGGTATTGTTAAGAGAGAAAGATCCAGTTCTACACACACGCATATTAATTTGTTTTGAAAGAAGAAAATCGGCCTGGTACGGAAATTTTCCCGTAGGTTGTCACTACAATAATTAATTCCGGGAGAATGTACGCTTCTGCGAATCATTGTCAGTCGCCTTTAATGTACTCTTGGCATGAAACGGAATATCTTGGCGCCGCTCACGGATTGGCAGGCATACTGTACTTACTACTGCAGGTATGTTACGTTGAAGAAGCGGTGTTTTTAATGAATGAATAAGTTATCGTTGTTCTTGTGCTTTTAACGAATTTTTCCCCCTTTTTTTAGGCGCGACAATACCTGACGCAGGTACAAATGGACAGTTACGTGAAACCATCGTTGTACTTTCTTCAACGATTACAATTCCCTTCCGGTAACTTTCCTTCCTCTATGGAGAGCCACTCCGACAAATTGATACATTGGTGTCACGGAGCTCCCGGAATGTCGGCACTGTTTTGTTTAGCCCATAAGGTAATAACATTCTGGTGATGATGATTATGAATTTTTAAATCAACAAGACTGTCCGATACTGACTTGTGTCGCCGTGTTTGCAGGTGTTCGAGGACAACACGTTTCTCGACACTGCGGTCCGGTGTGCGGAGGTGATCTGGCAAAGAGGATTGTTAACCAAAGGGTACGGCATTTGCCACGGCGTTTCTGGAAATGCCTACGCCTTCCTTCATCTGTTTCAGCATACACAGGTTCGGTTCAACGTCTTGAATAAAATCTTAAATGACGGTATGTGGTTCTCCGAGACTCGAATCACAACGATACGTAAAATTTTGGAGCGTCCTGAAACCGGAAATATCAAGTGATTGATGCAACAGGAACTTTTCGTGATTGTATATTCCAAACTAAGATCATTTGTGTTGTCTCTCTCAAGTTTGCTTATCTGTTACAATCTGATGCATGTTCCATTAATTCATCAGCTCGTTTAGCAAAAATTAATATTCGCTTTGATGATGTTAGGACATCAAGTATTTATATCGAGCCTGCAGATTTGCCGAATGGTGCTTCCATTATGGGACACATCAGTGTCGAGCTCCTGATAGACCTTTCTCTATGTTCGAAGGTGAGTCGATTAACAATTTGGGAATTATTGACGTTACCTTATTAATATTCTAATTAATACATGTCAATTAATCGACGTCGTTCACGCTTTTAGGTCTTGCTGGCGTTATTTATTTCTTAGTAGACATGCAGCAACCACATATGGCTAAATTTCCGTCATACGATATTTAAGATATCTTGGACACATCTAGAATATATCTGATACGTGTATACGTGTACGAACACTTAAGGAGAAAAATGTTCTAAAGAGCTGAATAAATTGAATTGTATCACATTTTCTTATATCTTTTTATCACCTTAATATTCTTAAGTTGAAAAGATCGGTTGATGTTTTATTACAAGGGAAAGTACGTCTGATCAGCCCTTGAGTTATACTACTTGAGAGAGTACGCCTGACTCCATCGTTTAGTCATATCACGTCCTCAGTTTCTCGTTAAGTATGGTGGCGACTCGTAGCGGAGATTCTGAAACTAAATTTCGGAAATAACGGATCTAATAATTCCGTAAACCCGTTACATTAACCCATTAGCTGTCACGATCCCCATTTGAGGATCAAAACATAATTTGAATATAATTATACTGTTATTCAACTTTTTGTACATAAATATAACTTATCCGGCCAAAAATAAAAATAAAAAAAAAATTGGCAGTTAATGGGTTAATAATGTACCCATTACAGAAATAACGGGTTTACGGAATTATTAGACCCGCTATTTCCGAAATTCACTCCTTCAAGCTTATTAGCGTAATATAATAAATTTTAACAGCTGGATTGAGTTAATGAACGCATTCCCTTAATGACATATAGAGATCATCTTGACAGAATCACTACTAAATATCCATGATATTGGCAAATCGTAATGTAATATGGAAGTTAAAAAAAAATTTTTTTTCCAAAATTTAGTTCCAGAATCTCCGCTACGAGTCGCCACCATATTTAACGAGAAACTGAGGACGTGATATGACTAAACGATGGAGTCAGCCGTACTTTCTCAAGTAGTATAGCTCAAGCTGGTCAGGCTTTCCAGTGTAATAAAACATAAGAATTCAACAGGCTATATCTTTCGGAAAAATGACGCTATGGAGATCGTTTAAGAAGCAATTTAAAGCTTGAAGTCTCTAGTTTTTAACCACATTAGCTATATTAATGTTGTCGTTAATTTTCGTCAAGATATTTCGAGTTAAACAATTTTCTGAAATATGAGAAACAAAAACTGTTGCAACCGTTCTGTGACCGAGTGTACATGTCAAACGTTCTACGCGCCGCACAAGATGCGCTCGGAAGTTTGCATAACAGTGTGATATTTGTATCATTGTGTTGTAATATTATAAAAGCTTCAAAATATATATTTTACAGAGAAATATATACACTTTTAGCATGACGTTGATTTTGCGAGCTTGTGTTTCCGCTCAAAAAAGATTCCTTCACGAGGACTTCAGCAATTTTGGACGTGTTCTAACCTATGCCGCACATAATAATTGCAATGCTAAGGTCAAAATAAATTTTGTGTTGTTTAAACCACACAAAAATGGACTTACCGTAAAATTGAACCAAGTACAGTGCTGTAACAATTATCCGTTAACCAAAAATCATAATTTTGCAGCGATTTCCTGTAGCTTGTAACGTGAGGCACTTTTCGACGAAAGATCAGGATGAGAAAGCCGCTAAAGGAATAAGCGAGATCTACTATGGGAATCTAACGAAACAAATTTGGGGCCTCAAGATTTTCTCGCTCGTAACATCTGCCAGTGGCTTGTTCTCTCAGCCGTTTTTTTACACAAAAGCTATGGAGAGTGGTAATACGGGAGTTGTCATAGGAATATTCGCAGCAGTCGGTTTCTTTGCCGTGTCTACTCCCATATTGTTGCACTTGGTGACGAAGAAATATGTAACGCATATATACTACGATGCGAACAAAGACAAGTACATTGTGAACACCTACAGCTTATTTGTTCGAAAGAAAGAGGTTTATATATATTTTGTCACGGAATTCTTTCAACTATGACATAGATATCCTATTGATAACAACTTATATTTTAGATCGAATTTACACCAGAAGATGTAGTAGTGCCGGATATAACTGGTATGTTCACAAATTGCATCATAAAGGGTACTCCCCTATTTTTGGCGCAGGATTGTTTCTACAACTTTAGCCACTATATTAAAATAATGGGATACGATAAACCGATAGATTTTAAATTAGGTGACAACAGTAACAGTGTGGACCGAACAGTCGCGACAGATACAGAATGTAAAAGTCATACAAATAATAAATAATAATTAGGATGGGGTTGTATCACTATAGAGAACAGGCCCTTGTTTATCCAAAAGCGTCTTTTTTATTTATTTTATAGATCTCTTACATGAAAAACTTTATACACTCTCGAATTATTCTCTTCCTCTCCTCTACGAATCATTAATTACAAAATATTTACATTGTAATGCTATATGGAAAATGGTGTGTACTGAGAGATACAGTACCAGGATTGTTGAGATGCGAGATAGTATGAACTTCATTCTCCTGCAAATTTGTCAGCGCAGTAATAACAAGTTGCACTTGACGCGAGTCTTCTTACTGAACATAAATTATACCGAAAGTTCAAGAGTGCACTTCTGCGGTTGTGTCTTCGGTTCCCGCGGATTGGACCGATCTAGGAAAGTAAAAATTATCCGAAGGATACTCAAACAAATGCGAGGTTACCAAACCGGTCAGACTTAGCTTAATTTGAGATGTTCCTCGACGTTACAGTCATTCGTTTTGAGGATTTCACAGAATCCTTAAGAATCGCCACAAATAAATATACGCTGTCATTAATATGATTTCGTCGATATCTCAATTTGATTCTTTCGCCGCGGAAACCACATGTACGTGCAACACAGTTTTGATCGTCTCGACAGTAGAAATAACGTCAATATTTTGTCAAAGAAATGTTCTCTTTAATTTCCAGTTGTAGCATGTAATCCAAGAGAGATTACAAATCTGTCAAATGTTAAATCGCTACCGTGTCTCTTAGTAAAACTTCCAACTACTTCACAAAAATAGCCTCAGATTGTCTTTTATCTTTCCTTTGTTACCCTAAACACGCTCTAGATGATCTATAATTCGCCGGTTGAACAGACGCTGAATGAAAAAGAATCGTTTAAATTTACAAATGCGAGTATTATATATAAAAATACAAGCGATTTCTACGTCAAATGAAAAGCACGAAACGGTAAATAGTTTTGCTCCGAATTCTCGAGTTATAGATCGTCTAAAACAGACGGCTCGGAAAACCGGATGCAACCGACATTCTCCGATCCGAGCGAAGCGGCATCTTAACGTAATGAATATGTTTAAATTATCATGTAATATGCACTCACGGAATTCACTGTGTCGCGCGGTGAAATTCAGTTTACAATGCAAGAAATCTGTAACGAGCATAGGAGCGCACAGTGCATACATCGATAAAGAGAGATCACAGATTAAAGCCGTCGTCTTCGAGGCTCCGAAGACGTATGAGAGAAAAGGCTGGCTTGTAGCGGTCGTATATCGCGCACTAAGCTGGCAATAAATCGAAGTCGTCTGACACGTGCACTATCGGCACGTGAACGTCTTCTATCTGCGGAGTCGTCTTAGATTCGCACAGTCCGACCTCCTTCAACTTCCACTCCCAGTGCATCCGCTGAACGGCGTGCAGCGATTCCGCCTCGTTGTGATGTCTCATCACCATACCCTCCTGAAATTGATCATTAATTAGTAGTAAAGTAATGATAAGTATCTATACATAGATATTTGCTTGTGAGATGTTTTAAAGTAAGGAAAAATCAAACAACCCATGCCTGTAATAAATCTACGATTGGTTTAGCGTTTCGTTCGCGATATTTCGGGAAATTTACGCAGTCGTATTTTTTTCGAATTTCACTCTCCTTACCTTGATCTTTTCCCACTTGTCGTCCACGTCTTGAAGCCAACTTAAGAACAATCTCCCGTTGTATCTGCTTCTTGCGTTCCTATCTTTCTCTTCTTGTTCGGGAGTAATTACGTTGTAAACCTCTTCGTCTTTGAGGATCGTGCAGACGGAGAAGGGAAGGGACTGATTGGCGAGCGCCCTGGCCGCTCTACCATGTACCCGAAGAATCTCTTGCTCCACCGACAGGACCAATTTCTCCTTCTCGACCACGTGTTGCATCCTCAGGTGATACCGTTCCTTTTCCTGATCGATGTACAAATCCTTCATAGCTCCGTGGAGACCAACCGGTGGGTTAACATTCGGCTCTTTCGCGTTTCCAGCCAATACGTATGTACAGCGATTCATCAGGTAGTCCTTGAAGCCTTGAGGAGGCTTCGGCTGAACTGGAAACAGACCCTTCCGTCTTCTCTCGATCTGCAAGAAATATCGAGAATGTCAGTTTTATATTGATACAATAGACAGAATGATAATTAATACCAATTATAATTCATAAAATATAAATTTTTCCAAATATAATTAGAAAATATCATCTGTCTTTGACTGTCAGCAGATCTGTCTTACAATCTCCGATTGCACAAGCTGAAATTTCTCTTGTCTAAGCTTACCACCGATTTGTTGCTTTACCTGCTTTCTGATATTGAGAAACAACTGGTAACAATTGGTGATGGGTTGATCGTGCGGATGAACTTCCGGTCCTGTGCTGGTAGTTTCGGCCGCTTCATTCGCGGCGGCGGTAGCCGCAGCCTGCTGCGCCTCCTTGCTGGGCTTCATTTTCCTTTTCCTGGGATGAAGCTCAACAGGCGGTGCCGGCGTGCTCGCGTTAGACGCCGCGTTCGATGGAGCGTTGCTCGAAGAATTGTCAGAGACTTCTATGCCGCTGTCCTTCTGATTCTTCCCGGGAGCGTCCGTGCTCTTTTCCGATTTCTCTACGGTCGCGCTGGATTTGTTGGAGACGGTTCCCGTGCTCGCGGACTCGGACGAACTGGATTTACCGGCGTCGGATCCGGTTGTCTCCGGCGTCGGCGAGTGATGCCTCGTTTGCTGCGGCGAGGAATTGTTCGAACGGTCTGCCGCAGTGTTGACGGGTAAAGGCGACGAGTTGGAGTAATTTCCGTTGCCCGACGAAGGCGTGGTTTCCTTTGGCGCTGCGGTGCCGTTACCGCCATTCCCAGTTCTGCAATGACACCATTTTCAAAATGTGTAAATAATTGCAAACATTGAAAATGTACATCTTCGCTTCTCCTCTTTATCTGGAGAAGCGTCTTTAACTTGCTTTGCAGTATATAATAAATAAATAAATAAATATAAGATAAAGTAAAAATAAAATATTAACAATACAATAAGATAATACAAACGTATCAACACAATATTGTGTACCATAAAAAGTCTTTAGTCGTATATTAAATATGCATCCCAAACTCATTAGCTGAGACCAAATAATTCATTTCCCATTGACTATCGTGAATTTTGCAAAATGGCGCACGACTTTCCCGCTCAATTTCGCCAGTTCCACCCGCACACCGCGACTTCCTCGGCAATCGAGATTAGTTCGGGACACCTTGTGTAACGAAAAAATCAAATATAAAATGAATAATCCATTCACACGACTTTCTTCTTACCTGTGCGAACTTCTCAGAACTCTTTGATGGTGAGTCGACCTTTCCTCCCCGTGCAGAGCCCCGCTGAAGTCCTTCTTGTCTTCCGTTTTCACGCTGACGCCACCCTCTGTAGGACTGGTCGTTCCGCTGGCCGACTGACCCTGATCTTTATCCGTCGTCGAGTCGTTGCTGTTCGAACTGGCGACCACATACGGCAACTGATGGCTCCTGCTCGCCGTGTTCTTGCCGTTCCGGTTGCCCTGTTCCTGCTCCGACGTGGTGCTCTGCGGAATGACGATCTTCAGAGGCGGCACTTTCGGAGCGGAATTCGAATCCGAACACTTCGATCGATCCTCCTCGCCGTCGGACTCCGTCGACGCCGGAGTGCCGGTCTTCGTGTTCGTCGAGCCGGGGGTGCTCGAAGGTTTCGGGCTACTCGCCATCGAAGAGGTACTGGGACTCTTCCTGTCCGCGTTGATGGAACTCGCGCTTTGATTACCCTTGCCGGACGCGTTCCCGGATCCTTGTTTGCCCGGCTTTGTGCACTGCAAATTATCCGAACGTTACAATATAATACAACAACAACACGTTGAATGCCGTGGTGGTCAGCCGGTGGTGCCCAGCATTACGATGCTACTGCACGAATCTTTACCGAATGATAAAATAATAATAAATTAATTGGATCTATTCGAAATTGAAAGGAGCAAGAGACAAGATGCAAAGAGCACACATTGTAGAGCAAGCTTTACCTTCTCACTGGCACCAGCGGCATTTCTACCGGCGCTCTGCCGGCCCGTCGCGCCAGCCTTCGTGTTCTCCTTCGCATTCTCGGACTCCTTTCGCTTTTTGCGACGGTTCTCCTCGTCCTGCTCGTCCGCGTTGTCACCCTCGAAGGCTCGCTTCGTGGACGGCGACGTGGTGCTGGCGGCGGCGGCGGCCTCGTCGGTGCTCAGCGGCGCCGTCGTCGTCTCGCCAGTGGACGTCGACGAGCCACCGGCTGCGGCGGACGCGCCACCGCCGCCGCTGCTACCGCCGGATACCTGGCTACCCTGCGAGCCACTCGAGGGCTTGCCACCATCCTTCTCCTTGTCCGGATTCGGCGACGAGCTCGCGCCCCTCACCGGCGTCGGCTCCTTCGAGCTCTTGAACTCGTAGACGTCACCGCTGTCGGCGGACGAGGCCGACGCGTTGCCGGACGACGTGCTGCCGGAACCGGCATTCGCGCCCGCCGACGACGCGCTGTTGGCCGGCGTCTTCGACGAAGTCTCCATCTGACCTTGACCCTGCGCACCCGTCGTTCGTCGTTAGAAATCGTCGAGATCGGTGTCAGCGAGTTATTCAATCAGCATCACACTGCGATCTTTTCTATTTTTATTTGATTTCTTTCATGCCTTCTTTTTTCTCCGCCGGCAACTTTCGTCGCAACGTGTTATTAACTCCCAGTGATTTGTGAAAAAACTCGATCTATACAAATCTGCTGATTGCTCAGTCGGTGTTCAGTCGTGACTGCGTTACCGTTTAACACACACGACACACTTCACCGCCTCGTCCGGCGGACGGTGAGAATTTAGTTTTTTTTTCTTCCACTAAAAGTCGGGAAGAAAATCGAGCGGCAAGAGAGAAGAAGTCGCTTTGCATTTCATTGAGATTCCGTAATATTCCACGACGAGATCGAGGAGTGGGATAATCTCGCGCGAGGTAGATAAATGTAAAGATAAATGTAAAGTGCATTTTCAGCGATGATAATCGAATAATCTCGACGCAATACCCGGTTCCTGGATAATTTTACTCCGAAACTTTACGTTCCCGATCATTCGGAATTATCACAACGTTTCCTCGTTATCATTCCGCGCCTCTGCCTCTTATCGTCGCAAACTGTCCCGATATATACGGCAACGGCATCAGCGAGAGATACCGAGGAACCGTGGGGGAGGCCGCGGAAAAGTTTCCGAACTGGTCGCGGACAGCGAGCGTCGAGACCGGTCCTTCGACGGTGCGACACCGGAGCTCGCGATGAAGTTACAAAGAGAGCGAAGTTCCGCGACCGGTTGTTGTCGCTCTCTCGTTTTCGGTTTGTATACCTGTGCGCTCATGCCGCCCTGACGGGAGTTCGCAGCACCACCCCCTCCTTTCTTCTCATCCCTCGTGCCTCGCACCTGGTTGAGCCGGAGCGTCACCCTCGGCGAGCTTCCAGACTGCCCGGTTCCCGATCTGTCGACTGCGAACGAAGAAAAAGAAGCTGGTTAATCGCGAGAACAACAACTCGAGGAACGTCAGGGGGCAGGAATGCTTTCCACGAATGCGCGGTGTGCACCGTCTCCGCCGTCGTGGTACCACACGCGCGCGTTAAAGCGGGAGAAATACGAAAGGGAGGAGGAGGAAGGGAAGAAGAAGTGGAGGTGGAGGACGAGTGGAAGGAGAACTACGGGAGGAAGAGAGAGAGAGAGAGAGAGATGTAGCAGGGAATGCTCCGCGGTTGCAATCATCCGGGGCAGGGAGCCGTTAATCAAAGGGGGAACCCTGGGAAAAACGAGTTCCTCGAAGAAGGTGGGGGTTCGCGATCGATTCATTAGCGGCCTCTTACCGGGGCCGATCGCGTTACAAGAAGGCGTGCGTGCCATTAAAAAGTCCTTCATCGAAGGTACGCGCGAAGGGCGTCATCTTCCTTCGTCTTCGCCCGATGGCTCGCGAAGTTAACAGGAATATCGAGTGAAAGAGAAAGAGGAGCGCGCCCGTATCTGCAAGGAAGCGCGGGACGATCGGGTAAAGTCGGAGTTTGCGATGAAATTCCCGAACTGAGAATCCTCGAGGTGTCATTCGACGGGGGATGATAATTTATCGAAAATCGCACCCACAGTGGAAGTAACAAGAAAAATACGGCACGCAAGATGGGTGTTCCGAGAACGTGGATAAAAAAGGTGTGTGTTAAGAGATATCAAGAAGTATAAAGGAGGATAGGTGCATTGCAATGGCGACCGGGACTTTTCAAAGCGATTTCTCGGCAGAGACTCTCCTTTTCCTCTCCCCGTCGGCGAACACCGAACGGAGAGTGACTTTTAGTTATGCCTACGGGAAATGACTTTCTCGGAAGCCCTCAAGATGGACACTCCAGCCGTACAACACACTTCAACGGGACAACCGCGTTGGGGGCGACGCGGCGTGTTGCAGCACACGCGAGGCAGAGAGTCGCTTCGACGGAGTGCCGTCGCGCGAGGTAATTTTGGTTTTGAGTCGAAATAATTTTATGATCCTGGTCATTGATCGTAACATCCCCTCTCCGTTTCGCACGTGGGCAGGCGGTCGTGCCAATGGGACTCGGCGAGCTGACGGATAACGTCCCGAAATAAATCAAATCGTTGGTCAATGAAGTCGCGGCGCGGCTGCTCTCTCCGTCTCTGTTCCTCCACCTCCGTTGCCGCCGGGAGCGGTTTCCAATTAGTCGAGCGCTTAAGAATATTCACCGGAAAACGGAAACAAATGCAGGGGGCAATCTCACCGGCGAAATTAACACACCGGCGTTGTCAACAAAGTGGAACTCCTGTCGCATCCTGCACGAATCCACCGCGCGGAAATTTCAACCCGAGCCGTAAAAACTCCGATGGGAACGAGACAGTGTCGTGACAATTTTCCGCGATTCGCGGCAATTTTTACGAACGATCGGGGATCGCGATATTTCCCAGTCGCTGTCGAGAAACGGGAGACCTCGTGGAGGAATTTTGATTAAAGATTGTTATGAGTATAGTAGATACGTAAGAATAAAAGAGCTCGTCGATAACATTCTGATTACATTAAGTATCAATACAAATACGGCAGTCTGCACGAATCGTGCTCGGTCGATCGCAGTGAATCTCTGTGAAAGCGCGGAAAGTGAAGTAAGAAAGATCGTTTTTGCTTGACTGCAAGCAACGCACGCATACGGTGGTTTCATTTCAGCACACCGCGCCGAAGGAAAAAAAAAATCCTCAATCTCGCTACAAATTACAGTCATTTTCGGAGCAAACCGTATGTTTTTCTTCTCTTCTTTTGTCGCTCGGACAAACCAGTAATAACAATATGTATATGAGAGATTATCGACGACAATGTGGCACAACGTTCGCTACAAGAAATGGCTCTCCCGGCTGTAATTACTTCACCGTGCAATTACAGTCACAGACATCATACACTTTTTCTCAGTGCGTGCTGTCGTGTGTAGCTGCTGCCGCGGAACGGGCGTGGATTCTCTCCGGTTCGTGCTGAGCGAAGTACACTCGAAACACACGTCTTTTACGTTCCACGCGAAATACTACCGGAAAGATTATTCGTATTTATACTGGGGAGAGAGAGAGAGAGAGAGAGAGAGAGAGAGAGAGAGAGAGAGAGAGAGAGAGAGATCAAGTTGCAGAAATATATTAAATGCGCGAAGGGGAGATACGTAGAGCATGCAGCATATATATAAATGTATATAAATACACACGCACACACACCCACACACATATCGCCCTTCTGCTTCCTATACGAGATTCGTTCGGCGAGCACGGAATCGCCGATACGTTAACGACTATCAAACGTGGTTTTATTTATCAGTCCAGCTGCTAATCAGTCCGCAGATAAAGCGGTCTTTTATACAATTCGACGAAGCCGGCATACTGGGTCGACCGGCGAATCTGCCGTACGATTTATCGAATGACGACGACGGTATGCGCGAACGCGATCCCTGGCTTCCGCCGAGGCGAGAGGAATTCCCCAATTCCGAGCCGAGATATAAGCTCGCGACTGTTTGTTGGATTCCAACCGAAGTTCATGCCGCTCGTCGGACGAGTATCCCAGCTGTACTGTTCGACGAGTTCCGTGAGTAGACTCGAGAGATGATGGTGATGATGGTGAATCATCGATGATGCCGCCGCCTCGCTACGCGGATCCCGGGGAGGTTCCGCCGGCGAAGAGAGATTCGCTCTTCTCGAGCGGAGCTTCGCAGGTGCGAACGGACCATCGAGTCCTTTCTCACTGTTAATTCCACGCGGACTTCGGCGGTGCCGTGAAATATTTCTCGGCGTTTTAAATTATCACGACGTCGAACCGGAGCGAGAGAAGATTCTTCTCGTCCTGCGCGATGAGTAAGTCTCGCTATCGGAATATACCTTCTTCTTCCGATCTCTCGTGATTTATATTATATATAAGGAATAAAATAATTAAATGAAATTAAACAGATAATATGTAATGAAAGAAAGAGCAGGCCTAAAAATGAAGCGGGTAGTTCCACTTCACTCCGCGCGCGCGAGACCTCTCTCGTGATTATCGCGCGGAGGAACGCGGCAAAATAAATATATTTATCGCCGCAATTCTCTCTCTCTCTCTCTCTCTCTCTCTCTCTCTCTCTCTCTCTCTCTCTCGCGTTGTAAATAGCGGCTAATCGATATATCTGTTTGGGTTACGACCTCGACAGGTTCGAGAGCAAGATTCGAGATTTTTCACGCGCGATAACAGCAACGTAGTATTTTCGTCGAGGCTACGCGCTTGCGACGGAGGTTCATTAACTTATTCCGACTGGCGATAGAGATAATTCGTGCGACAACGACGACGACGACGAGCGGTAAAAGAAGAGCCCGATCGGCCCTTGGCTCGACACACACACACACACACATATATCCGATGACGCCAGCGGCGCGCGCGTTATCGCCGCGAAATTATAACCGCGGCTGATCGACGTCAACGAACAATGTCGCACGTGTACATATTGAGTTTTACACGGGAAGCGTGCCGAGGCAGAGCCGCCGCTTTGGTCCATTACGTCAAGAATCCTACGAAATGTCGTCGTCGTAACAAGCAACAATCCTTCGATCCGACGAATATCCGGCGCGTTATCAATCCTTGGCAGCAAACAACATGTTTCTACTACCTTCGTAGTAACAAACAATGTGAAACGGTGTGAAAATCGCGAGCATAGCTGCGAGAGAGCGAATAAACACGGTTCGAAACGGAAGGACGAACTCTGGAAAATGGAAAATCGCGAATCGCTACCGAAACTTTCGCGGGGAGCAGTCGCAGACGCGACGTTGACTGTTGTTAAACGGAAGAGGAAGGAGTCCCCTCGCGATATCGACGCGCATTGATAATGAGATAATTGCGGAGCGCGAAATGATTAGAGAAGCACCGCCGCCGAGCCGAAGATGAGAGTCGAATACCTCTTATCGCAGGCGGCCGCTCACACGGGGCGACGGCAAAGAAACTGCTGCACGCTCCTCTCGCGCCGCGTGCATATTTATAATGACGCCGCCGCCGTTGTCGCGCCGCTGATGGTGGCATCGATTACAACAAGCCATCGTCAATCAGCGAGACGATGACGAAACGGCGCGCGCGCCTCAACGAGAGAATCAAGGTCGGGCGGAATACCTCTCGGTGAAGCGTGCAGACGCCGTTTCCTCTTACGGTCCTCGCGGCTCCTATCACCCGAGAGATTAGCATATCGTTTCCAGCCGGAGAGCTATCCGAGACGAGAGAGCAAATACGCTTCGCGGATGAGCCAGTCTCTCCCTTCCCCTTCCATTTCTTTCTTTCTCTCTCTCTCTCTCTCTGTCTCGAGTATCGAAAGCGTTAAATCACCTTGCACTCGACGACACGTGTGCGACGACGTAGTGACTTTCAATCGTCGGGAATGACTAATGAGCTATAAGTAATCGTTCTAACGGAGGCGGCGCACGGTTCGACGGAATGACAGTGCGATTGAGAGGAAGAAGGTAAAATTTCCACCGTCTCCGCGAGAAAGAGAGAATGAGAGAGTACCCGAGAGATTGAACTCACCGAGATTACGCCGCTCGGGATCGCTGGAGGAGGCCGTAAATCGTATCCGCAGTCTGGGCCGTTTAATGCCATTAACTCCGACGAGCTCTCGTGGGCGACGTTAAATGCACTTTTCGCAGCTCCGTCTCCGCTCGCTCTCTCGCCCACACCTCCACCTCCTCGATGTATCAATCTCGCGCGCGCGACAGATACCGCTCGGTGTCGAGAACAGGCTTGGCGGCCGAAAACGCTCGCTTCGGAACGAGCGTCTCGAAAGTGGAGGATGATTTGATCAATAGTGATGTCTCGCGCGTAATAACGTCCACCGAACGGTGTGTAATCAGCCGAGCCGATATCACCCGTCGTCGCAGTACCACGGGGAGAAGGGGGGGAGGGAGAGAGGAGTTCCTACTACAAGAGCGCGATATCGGCGATCGCTCGCTCGCGCACGCCGCGACACGCAAAATGGTGTGTTGCTCCGCTGCAGCTGAGCTTAGACCCCTTTCAGGAGGTGCGATCACCCTACTGGTGTCGATGGACGCAGCCAGTGAGCGCAAACGTGTCCCACGTACTTGCCAGTCAGCGTTCTCCCTCTCCTCGGTCCTTCCTCCTCCACCTTCTCTCCTTCGTCGACTCGTCCTCCTCCCCCTCCTTGCCACCTTCCTTCCTTACCCGCGACGCCGAGCGCGCTCTTTGTATTATCTCGCTCGCTCGCGTCCTCCGTGCCAGCGAAAAGACCAGAAGGTGGGTTGTTCCTCCTCCTCGAGGCTCATCTTCGGCGCGTTAGTTAGTTTAGCCCCGACGCGACGCCTAACGCAACGCTGCGATCGCCTATTCGCATGGCCGTGAGGGAGCGTCGGGCCGAGTCGAGGTAAAACCACGTGGTCGATCGACGAGAAAAAGAGAGAGACTAGGAGAGTGGAGAACGGGACTCCCGAATCGACGGGTTTTGATGTCGCGGTCGTTGCTGCACCGTGCAGCAAGCCGGGACACGCGAGACGAGGAAGCTCACCTCGATGACGACCGCTGAATTCGTTCGCTCAGACGCGACTGTGTCGCCGCGTCTTCCGTCTCCGGAGTCACCTCAAGAGCGGGTGAACTCGCGTCACTCCCTGAGAATGTCATTTCTCTTATTAAGCGTTTCTGCATTCGCTCCCTCGGTATTATTACACCGATCCGCGCGTTCTCGGAGACGTTAGTTGAAGACCAAGAGAGAAAGGGCACAACTCTGCTTCTTTCCTCGGCGAGAAATTGAATTGCGGACGCGCGTAAGGAAGGAAAACGCGAGATGCGATCTCGACTCGCGCGAAATCGCCACGCTGGATTCCGATGACACGCTCCCGGTGACTTGCGAGACTTCGTCGCGCTCATTACATCGCAGCGGCGGTGCCCGTCGGTTGTTCCCGCTGAAAGTCCCGGCGCACGCGAATCGAATGTGCAAAGGGAGAAAATAAGAGGAGGAGGAGGTTACCGTGACACGCTCTCGACGGACGAGGTTCACCCGGGCGACTCGTTTCGCGAGAGATCGCCTCGCGCTCATATATGGGGAGACCAGTCTCGTCTTCGTTCCTTCTCGTTTCCTCGCCTTCGTCATCTCCACTTTAGTCGTCGGACTTTCGCGCTAGCCGACGCGTGCTTTAACCCTAGCATTACTAAACTATCCTGCGGCTTGCGTTGTTATCAGTCATTCGTGAAAAATTACGAGACTGAAAGGAAACATGCGATAATTTAGAATATTTATATTGGATAACAGAAACTTACGTTATTAATGTTTATGATAATTAGACTTGAGAATGATGAAAAATTAAGAGAACGATTATTCAGCACAGCCCGAACACACGTTGACATTGTGAGCACGATATGTATATTGTTATTTTACAGCTGATGTAAAAGTTGGTTGTCATCTTTCTGAACTTGCATGGGTACAGAGCGCAAGCTGTTAATATGGACCTTGATAAGACGTCGTCATTTTTATGACAGTTTAATGATCTAGGGTTAACGACTCTTTACGATAATAAAACTCTTCATCTTCGCAGACTTTTTATTCGTGCGAACAGAGTAAAGACCTGAGGATCGATTGTGTACCTTCGTCGACTTTTCTCACCTCTCGTATTTTCATCTCGTGTGAATAAATACGCGATCGTTTCTTTCTTGCAATGTTCGCGGACAGCAGCCATCTCTCTGTCGGTTAAATGTTAGCAACGGTCAACATTTTGGCAGAAGGTACGCTGCTCGTGACGGACGCATCAGCACAGTGAAGGCGGAGATCGAGTAGAGATCCACCGTTTCGTAATTATTTCAATGCGCCGCGTTGACCTGATTACATCGAAACTGCATTTTTGTTTTTTAATAACTACCTCTTTTATTCTCAACTGATGAGATAACGGGACAACTCCGCCGTTTGTTTTCCTACGTCGGATGATGGTTCAAAATTAAACCGAGTCGCCACTTCCAAATTCGACCCAGTTACAATTTCAAATTACAGATAGACGAGGGAGCAGACGAAATCGACTGTTAGCTTTAAAAAAAAAGAAAAACAAAAAAACAAAACGGCACGAATAACATATAAACGATAACATAATGTATACAAGGTTCCTGAATATGAAGACAAGATAAGCGCAGAGAGATAACGCGGAAAGACGAGCGAGCGAGAGCGAAGGCGGGAAAGAAAGAAAGAAGAAAAGAAAGAACGAAAGAAAGAAAGACAGAGAGAGAGAGATCTCGACGGTAATAATTATCACGAGCCGTGTCGTTTTGGAGGACTCACCTTTATTTTGCGGTGGTGTCCTCCGCATTTCACAGGGGGCTCCACTGTCCTCGGCGACGTGCGGTGCAGCGGCTGCGGCACTCCCGGCTGCGCGTTGCTGCTGTTGGTACTGGGTGTTGTGCTGTTGGTAGAGCGGCTGCTGTTGCGGCGGCGGCTGTTGCTGCTGCTCTTGCTGCTCGCTCGACGGCGCTGCTGAAGCGGCCGATGACGCCGCTTGTGGTGGTACGGCGATCTCGGCAGGAGAGCACGGGCTGTCAGGAGCGGCGGCTGCACTCTCGTCAGGTGGCGAGCCGGCGGCGCCTGCAATGTCTGTTCCTGACGAATGTTAATTAGAGGCAACGATGACGACGAGCAAGTCCACCTCCGACGTTTCGTTCCGCGTTCGTCCCGCCACCCGGACACGCCGAAACTTCGGGGGGTACACTTTTTTGTCTCAGTGCACGAGGCGAGTACAATGGCACGCCGCGGTAAAAAGTTATTACGATCTCTCTCTCTCTCTCGCGGCGGGTTTCTCGTTGCGACGATCGTCGTCGTGAGCGCGGCCTCGAGGGAGCGGGTTTCGGTTTCTGTTCTTAGGAGTAACGATGCATGTTCGCGCTCGGAAAAGTGCCGACGAAATCGCGGTTCCTCGGATCCCACCACCTTCTCCCGATCTTCTATTTCCCGATCGTTCTTCTCTGTTCCGCCCGATAACCCTTCGCGGGACTCTACTCTCGATCGGATCAATTGATCGGTCTAATTGGCAGGAGCGGACTGCACGCGCGAGCAGCGTGAGGACGGTGTCGCGACGGTGTTGTCCGACGATCGCTCCAGCGACGCTTCTTCGACGTGTTGCGATCGACGGATCGTCGTCATCATTTCCCCGGGCCCGTCGTCGTCGTGCTCTCCTCTCGCTTCCTCCTGTCGATACACGAGCGAGATACCCGCCGATGCGTTCCCCGACCGTCGTGATCCCGCCACCCCTTCAAGCTTCCGGTCGGCTTTCGCCCGATCACTCCTCCACCCCCCGCCGCCAGTGGCCGTTCGCCACTGTCGACGACCCGGACAGCCTCTCGAGCGAACTCTCCCCTACGAGTCTCGCTGGGACTGCTGGTAGCGCGCGAGACGGGAGGTTTGTCACGCCGACTCGCCTTTCAAAGCACGCGCGGCGACATCTGACGGTCCGCTTGAGGAAGGTCCGTACGCGGAACGCGCCCGACACTCTCGCGAACGCGGTCTCTCGCCAACTGGTGGCCATGTTGAACGGCCGCGAGGACGACGACGACGACGACGTCCGGACGCACTCGGCTACGCTCGGCTGCCGTTCGCCTCCCCCTTGCCCCTCCCCGCGAACTACACCCACGAGATGCACACGACGCATACCTCAATGCGAGGCAGTAGCGCGCGCGCGCGCGCACGACAGCCTGCAGGGCCGCCGGTGGTCATAGATCGTTTTAGGTTAGGACGGGAGGGAGAGATGAGCCCCTTCGAATCGATCTTATTTATGCTACCCTACTACACGACCCGCTCCGGCGGAGCTACTTTTCTCGCGTCCTCTTAATCGGCACTCGAGCATCGATGATCTCTCTCGACTGCTCCGGGTTATCCCGGGAATATTATCTGAATGTCCGATGCGCCAGACGGTATCCGGGACGATTGGGAAATCAGATGTGTCAATCGGCGCGGTGTTCTACGCCGGATGAACGACGTGGAAATAAAATAACGCGACGTCTATTTATATATCGGGTGTATCTGGCGGCGATCGCTCGCTACACCGTCGGCTCACCTCGTGCGTCCGTTCCTGTGCTCGACGCACCAGCCGCATTATTGCTTATTTTCCGATTGTGCCTCGCGCCAAATAGAACCGTAGAAGTGTACGAGAGGTGCCTAACCATGTCTCTCTCTCTCTCTCTCTCTCTTTCTTCGGGGAAAACTCGATTGAGGTATCTTTCGCGCAGTCGAGGGAAGCCCTGTGAGTTTTCTACGGAAAACACTCCGCGAGTCCTTTTTTTCTCCCCCCTTCGCCCCTCTACTTCTCGGCCACGTGAGAAGAGCAAGGAAATTCCGAAAACGCAAGCGAGAGAGAGGGGGACGGCCGCCCCGATCGTGTCGGTCTCTTTGGCGTCCAACGACGACGGTGGTGGATGCAAGAGAGACGAGACACGCACGTCCGCTCGCTCGCTCGCGGGATATTTACACACGCGAAAAGCAACGTGTCTGGTCTTCTCTTAAAGGGGATAGCAACGGTCGCGGAAGTTGCTGCGGGCGGGCGATCGAGCCGCTCTTCTTCTTCCTTTTGTCGGAACGACGATGTCACTTTATGCCATCGATCGCGCACGGTTCTCCCCCCTCCCCCTCACCATCTATCTCTCTCGGTGCATCCTTTCGCGCTAGTCCTTAAACACAGATCGCTCCCTGTCGACGGAAAGACCGTTCGTCGGTCGTCTCTACCGGTGCACGGTAGCTCCGTGCCCTTCTCAGCAAGAGCGATGTTAACGTTTGTATAAACGCGGTGCTATATCAGCGCGACGACGCGTCGGGTTCACCGTCGACGAGGATAATAAATCCGTTTAACCGAAGCGAAGAGAGCCCGGAAGAAGAACTTGGCAGCGACGTACTCCCCTTTCGATCGATTCGACTTTTTCTCATTATATATCGCACGCCACGCACGTTCATGTCATTCGCAAATTTGCGATTCGCCACTTGGAGGAATTCAAAGTTCAGGCAGTGAACTTGCGATTACCGGAGAATTAACGATGAGATTAGAATGAACTTCTGCATGACACATGTTTGGCGATTGAATTGGAAAAAGGAAAGCCGAAAGAAAAAATGTTGGAAATCAGTTTGAAGATACCCCCCCCCCCCCCNCACGAATGTAAATGCAGAACGCAAATACAAGCTGATAGAATTTCGTCGTTACAGCGAAATTCAATTAATAATTCCACAGGAAGAATCACGAAGATATCGGGAACGTTTTACCAAGCGTCCTTCGATCGTTCGCTTAGGACGTTGCACACATTAACAATTCATCGCGAACCAATAAGCGTCACGTCACGCCGAATGCTCCGGCGTCGCGTGTAACTTTGTATCGCGGAGCAAATCAATGAATAATTAATTCGACGAGTGATCGTGAAAAACCGACAGCGGACCGACCGGCCTTCGTGATGACGATAACGGGCAAGAAGAAATACGAGAATCCTCCGAGGATGAACGCCACAAAGGGACACCGACGAGCGTTCCCCGTGTCTCTTTGTCGCCGCGTACCGACGATAAAAAAAACCGCATCGCTTAAGCATCCCGACTATGCAAGGAAGTCACGCGGTGGTTAACGCCTCTTCCGTTCAGAGCTGTGAAGTAAATGTTACGGTGGAACCCCTCGAAGTAAAATGGGAACTTTTGTTCGTGATTACTTCGTCGAGAATACGTGAAATGTATTAAATTTATGTAAAACTATTTCCAAGAATGATAAAGAATGAGTATACTGGACCATAAGGAGCCAAAGCACAGATAATTATATGTGTTTTCTGAGGCATACTCAGCACATACGTCACTGCACGCTGAACAATTTCATCCTTCCACGTAATGATAACATTGAAATATATTAATATTAAATATTGAGTCGCAAAACGTCTGAAAGGGCGCGCCCGAAGTATCGATTTTCATCGACATTATTTTTCCTCGTTCGAAGGCCGGATCTCTCGGGGAGAGAGGGAAAAAAAACCGATTCAATGCATCGGGTCTTTCACGTGCAAAATATAGAAAGAGTGATATTTTCAAACGTAATGAAGAGATAATCATTTCTGAAGTGATTGCTGAATTTTATTCAACGGGACACACACACATTCACCATTCGCTCGGCCCGATCACAAACCTGCGAGATACCATTGAGTTTCTCGTTACACGTATCTCGGGTTAATTAAAGGAAGCTACGTGAGCCTACAGTTTCCCGCATCGATATCGGTTTTCCGATTCGCACGGAGTCGGCAAGGAAGTCACGGGAGGGAGCGGTTCGCACGCAAAAGAGACACGGACTGTAACTAATGCAGAAATTACACCGTCGTATGCGGCATGCATGCATGGGAGCGACCCGAAAGGGGTTGTTGCAGGTCGGCCTTACTTTAGCGTGTAACATTTTTCTCAAAAGCTCCGCGGCACAACAAGCGACGCATTACGCGACAGAGAACGGCGTACGTGCACGGCTTTTACCTCTCTCGCAGCCGTCGTCTATCCCCTTTAAGCGACACGGGCGGCGCCCGACATCGTCTCTTCCCCTCTCGGCCGTTCCTTCAAAACTTCATTCATTTCAATAACATTAAATAGCGGAGTCGTAGATATGATCGAATCGACACGGCGCGACACGCGAACGATCCTACCTCGCGATACGGCGACGTGGTAATTTCCTCTTCGGAAGGACCGAGTCGAAAACATCATCACCGGGTGGTTATGTGCGGGTTTCGTCGATTAATTTCGCAAAAACGCCGTAAAGAAATATTCCACGGGATTATGCCGTCAAATTACAATCGTACGATAATCAAAACAGTCCCAGATCGGTCGTAAAAAAAAAAAAAAAAAAAAAAAANCATTGGGCAGAGAAGAGATAAATAAAAATACAGTAATCAAAAGACTCTTCCTGGGTATGTGCTTTTCTCGATTAAAATATTGATGTCGAACGTAATAACGGTTCGGCGAAATAAGCGCAGGTGTCGATCGAGAATTGACTCGATTCACGAGCTCGCAAGAGGAAGTCGGAAATCCGACGTTGACGTCGAGACCTCGTTTTCGCCTCGTTTCGAAGAAGCGTGCAGAACGTCGAGGATTCTCGCAAACACATCATTAAAATCACCCACGGGCGAGAATTTCGCATGCTTTAATTAGGATCACGTGAGATGTAGGACGCGTTATCGGACGCGCGTGCAATAACTTTGACCCAACGATGCCGCGTTGACTCTAGGGTCACTTATCGTCCTGATTATGCGATTACCGCGAGGAGAACGAGCTTGTGGAAATTAGGAAAAGACCGCAGGCTGGCCAAGAATGTCCGGTGGTGGCCAGATGGCGGAGAGAGAGAGAGAGCAAGAGAGCCATTGTTCAGCTTTAAGCCGAGATCTGAAATTCTCCCTGGAAACATACCGGATTTGTCGTCGGTTCTGTCTCAGGTGATGCAGGGCCGAGCTTTTGCGGCGACTTCCTCTTCGCGAGACGTTCCTGTGCTAAGGAAAAAACTGCTCGAGTGGTCAGACGGTAGAAGCAACCGGCCTTCTCTCTCTCTCTCTCTTTTTGTGTGTGTGTGTATGAATGCGCATCGCGAGTTGCACGAGCATAAAAGTCCGCGAACCTGTTTTCTTTCTAACTGCATGTCACGGTTTTACAAGTCTAATCATGTAATTTTTTAATATATTTATTTTTCATTTTTTTGATATTTTTATTTACTTATTATTTTAAAGAGATTTTAAATCTTGTAAATTTCGTTGGTTACGATCGTTGGCTCAACTATCGTATGTGTGTCACTGACGTTGACACGATATTGCTTCGATATTGCTCCGGGGATTTTAATTGACGAGTTTTTGTTCATTTATATTTATTATCTCAGCAATTCTTGTTTGCGTGACAATGTTATTTCCCGATCTGTGAGTTTGCTCGCGAAAATTTGCGCGATAGAGTTATGGATTTCGGTTTACGAGGATGGGATATCTATTTCCTAATGGGGTTCCGCTGTCTAGTAAAAAGCAATGTTTACCGGCACTATGTTCTTTCCGTTAAAATCAATATCCTATCGTGCGAGCAACAAAGAGACGCGAAATTGTCAAAATTCTCGCGACATTAAAATCGCTCGGGCGAGCGTTAGAATTTTTTTTCACATTCAAATCAACGCCGCAGCATATCCAAATATTTCTTAATTGACAAGGAATGCTACCGCTTTCGCGACTTTGCGAAGAACAACTTCTAGCTTTCTTAACAATCAGAAATAATCGCGGTAGATTTGGATCTCTGCTGATTTTTCTGTCGTTAAACAAAGAAACGTTTCGATGTTCGTGAAGGGAAAGAAAAAATTGTTTGAGATCGGCAACTTCAACTGAAGCGGAAATAATTAAGTACTAATTAGAGACAGAACGAACCTGCGTGGCGCCGATTTAATATTACATCTGTCGTCACGTCATACCTCGCAAGATAATGTACGCACATGCATCTACGCACACATACATACGAAGTGCAATTTACTCGTTTGCTAGTTTTCTCGCTCTATCTGCTGCCTATCTCCCCCCCTCTCCCCCCTCTCTCTATCCGTACTGGCCTCAAAAAGCACTCCGCACGCTTGCGGCCCTGTCTCGAGTATTGATCTGTACAAGAGTTGTCTGCCACCCCTCCCGTGCCCAATGGTAGATGTTTCGTCTCTCCCTCCCGTACCACCTCAATAATCCCACAACAAGGATGTCGTGCACCTGTAGACTGAAGTTGTCAGTGAACAAACTAGCTAGACATTTCGTACTGGCATATCCCCCTCCCCCTCTCTCTGTGCCCCCCCTCATTTCATCGTGTAGATACAGTAATTTGTACGCGGTGCATACGCCACACGTATCCTTATGCGATTGGACGGCGCGAGAAAGGTTTAAAAGCGGACTCTATGACCTAGAATTATGGAGCTCGTATCTATTTTAACTCCGTCGAAATTGCAACAGCAATTATAGCGAGAAGGATTAATCGCAGGGAAGATCGAGAGATCCGCGGAGATTTGCACGACGGTTTGCGAGCGAAACTCGCGCACTCCGATTTAGTTTTTAACAAGGAAAAGTGAAATGTAAATGAGCGATTTGCGATAGAAAGCAAGTCAATTAACCCGAGCGTGCGACCAGCTTGCTGCTGCTCGACTTTTCACCGCGTTGGCTGATCGAGAAAGAAAAACAAGAGAGAGAGAGAGAGAGAGAGAAAAAAGAAGGGAGAAGAGAAAATGAAAGTAAAAATCGACACGCGAGTCGAGCGGAAAATATACACGCCAGTTTTTAGCCTAAGCCACTGTGGATGATTACGCTGCGAGCAAACGTGGTTCGATCGCGACCGAAGAACACGAACGGTCTCGACGTTAGAATGAAAAAGGGAAAAGATTATACGGTCGGTCTGAAACGCTCTGCATTACGCAGTTCAAGACCGTTCGCTTCATCCATCTCTCTCGACTGTGGCCTGTTTTTTGAGCCGTCCCTGGATCCCTCCTTTCGTCCGGAATTTGTGATCACTCGTATATATTAAGCGTTTACTTTTTTCTTCATTTATATAGTTCACTTTCCCACCCACGCAGTGTTTGAAAGCCAGTCCCCTTCGTAGCACGAAATAATAGAAAACCCGCCGTTTAGTAGCTTTCGATCAGTTTCATTCTTTCTCGTTTTGCGTCTCGTTCCTTTGTATTCGAAGGTAGACCTTGGAGGACTACTTTAAGTTGACACGTCGTCTACGGTGCAACGCCCGCCGGCTTGTCTTCACCGGAATTTTATTCCACAGACACACGCTTCTGGATGACAAACATTTCAAATAAGCGCCCAGATGCGCTGATAATGACTATTTAGACGCGTTGTTTAAAGGGAGGATACCGTCGTAAATCGGCAGGTAGCGAAAAGAAGATGCGAATAGCTCTCTCGACTTTTCCCGAGAAGAAAAAATGTGCACACAAACACCCGTTTCTATGTCTTATCTAAGACGCGCACAGCGAAGAATTAAACTCGTTTAATAATGACGAATAATGTGAATGAGCGCGGAGTCCGGCTGAGTTACAGCGTTTAGGAAGGTCGCGCACCGTCGATTTCATTTATCGACCGAAGTAACGTGCGTAGGAGGGGTAACCGACCCTTGGGAATGCTGTTTTCTGGGGTGAAACAAAATCGCCCACCCGACTAAAAGGACGCACGTGAAACCGAGTAGGTCCGAGGAATGCGACGGAATATCGAGGGACCGGCGAAACCGAGCGAAGCATTTCGACACGTCACAACGATCATCGGGTGCTTTTTATTTGGTGACACGAGTTGACATCATTTTGTCTTTGTTTCAAATTCAATAAACAACAAAAATAGGGATGATGCTTGCGTCGACTTGCATCACTAAATGGAAAGCACCTGTCGACGATCAATTCGTTATTCCCTTCTCATTCCCGGAGTATTTTTACTCCCGCGACTCGGCGGTGGACGCGTTCCGACAGAAAAGAATTCCATTTTTCCTTTGTCTCGCGAGGTTCATTGTACGCACCACGCATCGCCACATATGCCCTAATGACGCACATTCGAGCACGGACTCACCATTTGTTTCCTTGGAGGCGTTTATATCGTAGCCGTTCACGAGAATCTGCCGCACACGAAAGTCCTCCTTGCGATTGATCGACGTCTGAACGGGAGACTCTCCATTTTTATTGGACCAGCGACCCTTCGCACCACGCTGTTGCTGTAACGACGACGACGACGACGATGACGACGACGACGATGACGCCGACGATGACGATCTCGACGATGTGGTGTTTGTTGTACTTGTATTTTCCGAACGAGTTCCTCCTGTTTCGTTAAACAAAATATCATGTTAAATCGCATATATATACGTTAATATATATAAGCTTAATATATATGAATTATATGAAATGAGTTTTAAAGACAATATCTGCAGAATAAACTAATTCATGACAGCAAAATTACTGTCATAAATGCATTTATAGGTTCAATCTGCTTTTTCTTTAAACATTACGGAACATATCTGCGAAATGTTGGATCTGTTCTTTCTCGCTGAATCACACTTATACAACTTAAAAAGAAACTATATTTGAGTTAATTGTAACTCACGAAACAGCAACATACACTGGAGGAGAAGAATTTAAATCATGAGAGCGTATCGCGATCTTCGCTCGGCCCGACGAAAGAGATCAAGCCTATTTAATAAAATCCCACACGTAGACCGGAAGGAAACTACCGAAGTGACCGGGAAATAATTCGTTTCCGCGGTGCGAACCTCCGCAAGCGCATCGTGCGCGCGACGAGAGGTCGGTTATCGCGAGTTTACCGGCGATCGGTTCCCGGTGAAGCGCGACATCTCGGCTCAGCCGGGAGCGGGAACTTCGATATGTCAATTACGCGTCTCCCTCCGCCGCCATTCCGATCGACTCTCTCTGTTGGCGCGCGTCGAACGCGTGGTTGGCCGGCCTGAGAGCATGCGGTCAGGCGGGCAAAGCTCGTTCGAACGAAGTAACTAGGGGACGGGGAGGAAGGGGAGGAGGGACCTCCACGATTCCGCATTCCTTCACTTTTTTGCCGCACAAACCGCGCGATTCCCGCGGAGCCGCGCGGAACTCACGTTGAATTGGTCCTGCGCGATATCCGTTTGTCGATCGCGCCGAAACGCGCTGGTCATGGTACGTTACCGTCATCGTTGACCCGATGATGATGGCTGCGACGAGCGCGAGATCAATCAATTAATCACAGAAGTCGCGCGCGGCGGCGTCGATGCGACCCACGCGCGAGGAAAGCGCGCGCGACTTCACGGCGGTTGCGCCGCGACCACCGTGTGTGGCTCGCTTCGCGCCCGTCTCGCCAACGAGAGTCCGTCGAGATCTCACGCGCGATTCATCCGTCTGTTTAATTATTCTCCCTCCTTCTCTTTCTCTCTCGTTCATTTATTCGCGTTCATTTGTTCATTCATCTCCGTTCATTCCTCTTTCCTCCTTGTCACGCATTCTACTTTTCTCTCCTTCTCTCTCTCTCTCTCTCTCTCTCACGTTCACTCGCACACACGCTCTATCTCGCTTTCTCACCTGGTAACATCTCCTGAGAAGTCATTTGCAAGATTAGCGCGAGCTGTTGCCGCTCGGACATCCGCGCTGGGTAACCGCGGATACGACCGTTACTGCCTGCGGGCATTCCGTCCTCATAACTCATATAACTCGCGGCACTGAAAACGCGGATACGTATACGTGGTGGAACGTGGACGTCGTCGTGGACGACCACGATACGAGACGAAAGTTGTTAATGATGAGACGCGGGAGTTACACTCGCGCTCAGAAGAGACACCCGGTGACGAGCAACGTTCCGGGCGTACGCGGCCCCGCCGCGCGGTGGGACCCACCACGAGTGAAGATAACCTTAAAATCGCACGGTCGGTTCACGCCATTTTGACCTACCGAGCTCGCACAGACACGCACGGGGCCGACATCAGTGGCGACGGCGACGACAACAACAACGGGCACGACGACGGTGGTAGTAGTGGCGACGATGACGACGCGGGCACGCACGCCGCGACGGCGGCGGCCGATGATCGCGCACGACGTACGCACGACGGTACTCGCGCGGCGCGCGTTGTTACATAGACTGTCGCTTCCCGGGCCGATGATTTGATTTCGCGACGCGACATGTGTGTGCGTGCGGGGGACCGCTCGCTTCGAAAACGAGATTCGCGACACTGATTCCGGGGGGGACACGGGTGCGCAATATGACGCAACGTAACGTACAGGAGAACGCGCGGTATACGCCGCTAGGCAGAACGAGAGTGCGTTGGCACGCCTGCGTTCCACGCGCGCGCGCCGCGGGAATGTTTGAATTTCGCCACGCGCGCGACACTCGCGTTCCCGCCGAGCAGCGACGAGCCGAGTCGCTGCCGCAGCTCGTGCCGCCGACTTCCAGCCGTACCGGCCGTGAGTAATTACGTTAAATCGCGCGTATTGCATATTTAATTGGTCGAGCGTACAATGTCGCCGGGTAGAGTGGCGCGAAACGACGATGCGAAAGTGCCGTTTGAAAGGTCTCGCACGGAATATTCGGACGATCCGGGACTGAGATGCACGTAGCCATATTCTGTCATTTCCTCGCTAGCCTAGATTGTCGTTGCGCAGCTTTTCTGTTATTACCTGCGCAACGATAACGAAACTGTTGTTAAAGGTCACAGAATAGAACTAACTGGTCTGTTCTTTACAGCTGAACTGGCTGCACTTAGTTCGAGAAAATTACATATACCGAAACGTGAGAATCTCGTACGTACGCTTCGTACACTTCAATGTATGTAAATTTCTTGAACTCGAAGACCAATCATCGCGGCTAGAACCTTGGCAGAATGGCTGGCTTGTAATTTTAAGGCAAATGTCTTATGTCCCATATCTTCGTCTAAATCATTGTTTACTTTTTTACCATATATATTTTTACTATGTAATAGTTATATTATTATTATATTATAATTGCTATTAATCATAGACAGAATGGCTCTTTAGTTTAAGACTACAATCACAAGACAATTATTGTGCGTAAACAAAGGTTTAAAGCAAAAAATGTTGTCAATTGATAAATCAGCCATTCTGATGAGGCCCTTAAAAATCATCTTTGGTGAGCATCGAGTTTCTCGCAATTACAGGTTCTGTGGGCAATTTGGAGAATAATTTTCAGTAACTTTCAAATAAAATACACTTCAAATTAAGTGAAGAATATTATTTTCTGATTTTGTGTTTTTCGACCGGAGTTTTCTTGGTCACAAGCGCTTCACTCTCGAATCACACGAAAATTCAACCTTATCTTGGTTGACCCCACCACTTCGTCTTCGTGGTAGGAAGAATCGATTCCAAATTGCCGCAAGTTCTGCGGAGCGAGGAAGACTCGTTCAATGAGCCCGTAATGCTTTTATAAATGTATAACGCAACATCGTATATCACCGACAATAAAACGCTGTGAGTGACTTTTATAGATCTTTTTAATAAAGAAAACGAGTCGTTACACGTCGTGTCTCGCTTTTATTCGACTCCAATTTGATAATATAACGAGGGCGGGAGGCAGGGGGTGAGTTTCTCTCTCTCTCTTTCTCTCTCACGCACGCACGCACGCACGCATACGCACGCACACACACACACACACACACACACTCCCGCTCTTTCGCAATCTCTTTCTCTCGTGTATATAATATTAATAAAATCACATGTATGCTCACAAAATAAATAGTTGGTACAATCAAATATATATGGACTATGGAAAAATTCGGATATTAACATACGTACGCTACCGGTAGTGTAATCGTTTCTCTAATAAATATAATAGGCCATTTAGAGCCACCACACACATATGTCAATAACTTTGTCATACAGCCAATCGTGAACATCGTGCCGAACTATCTAAAGGGGGCACACACTCGTTCTTCTTCCTTTCTTTCGTTCTCTCTCGCTCGTTTTTTTTTTTCTCACACGCACACACCGTCGTAATTTATATTTATTTCGAGCCTCTTTTCTTCCCTTTATCGTATCTTTGTCGCATCTTTATCGTTAACGACATTATAGTTGAATTACGAATAATGATAAGAACACATCGTTTAATTGCATCTAGCGCAAGTTAGCTATCTACCACCAACGTTATATAGAAAATACACGATAACTTTCTTGTCGTCAAACAGACCCATTTCACTACGCGCGAAATTCTTTTATAATTGACATATCCAATACTGCGATTTGCGCTGAAATTTTGTGTTCGTTCGTGGGCCCTCGTGAAAGAACGTAAAAGCCTGTTGGGAACCGAGTGAGAGTCAGCGTTAGAAGAGTCGCGTTGGAGAAAGAGAAAGTCGCGCACGGAAGCGCGTCCGAATGACTCGCCCGTTTGCGACTCCGTCCGTTCATTCGCGCGACATATTTCAGTCGCGTTCGTCGCGCGGCTTCTCGGGATCGCGGAGAAGTATCGCTTACGCACACACAAGCACACATCCACATACACACAGGTACGATAATGACATGAATCGAAATTATCATTTACCGCTTTATTCCGCTCGAACCGCCGATACGTTAGCAGCGCAAACGCCATTAGTAAAACTGACACAGTTATAGACGCGAAAAAAATCGCTTTACTCGCTACTCGACAAATACCAATGGAATAAAACGCGTCTTCCGATATATTAATCGATCGTATAATCGAAGAAGAAAGAGGAGTTTCACATCGTTCCCACGTTGGCCGCGCGCGCGAAAATTGCAAACCTCAGCGACAATTCGCCGCAGCTCGTCAGTTACACGGACAGAAGAACGCGCGCACGTTATTATATGTATCTCCAAGTGTAACCGATTAACGGGGGGGAAGGTTCACGATAATCGAATGTCGTGCAATCGTTACCTACACGAGGATCAAGAGGCGAAAAATTCATACTCGGTGCTCGTACACGCTAAAAACATTACATACAGCGGAAGATTTACCGAATCCGGACTCGAAGAAACACGCGTTCTCACACGCCTGTCCGTTTACACACACATACACGTTCACGCACACATGCATACTCGCGCCTCAGACACACCTAATAATACAATAATAATCGTTAACGAAGTTACAGCGAGATTCCCTAACGTAATCGCAATATATACCGATATGGAACGCTGTTCTCACCGCGACGAGGCTCGCATCGTATTTCCCAATTCGGTGGTCGGCCCCACCGACGGAGGTCGCCTTCGGCCGATACGGATCGGATACAATGAAATCTCTGTTTCACGACAAGCTCGATCCGGATCTTACTGCGTCTTGTGTTGATTAATTCCCTCACATTCCGTCGGGGAATGTGACGATAGAAAATGTCACGATACAAATACACGGTGTCCAGAGATCGGCAGAGGAGAAATTCGAAGGGATTTTATGTTGTTTTTTTTTTTCCTTTTTCGTCAAAGAACATCGATTAAGCCTTTAGTGGAGCAAGGAGGAGGTGCTGGGAGGTGGTGGTAGTTATGATTGGCGATGTGGATGGTGAGGGGAATCGGAATTATGATAAAAAGGGAACATGTATATCTATAGGTGCAATAAATTCCTCAAAAAGTGATTGGACAGTATGGTCATGTGTATAGAAGTACTGAGAATCCATCATATTTACTTCGTCAGGCAAGCTTAAGTCAATTACGGCTTTCACAAAGAGTTTCTCGTTTAGTCCCATTTGATTGGTCTGTCTTGGTAAGGGTAAAGAGTTTCTTAAGAGAAGTTGTGTTATTTAAATAAATTTGTCATCATTGTAGTAAACTTCTTCGACTTCCTTCCGCTCCGAGTGTTTTCCGTGGTATATATCGTCTAAGTTCGCGCATCGTTATAATATGTATATACACACATTCTCTTAATGGACTCGAAAGACTAGGAAATTTCACGCTACCTAAATATATTAACGTACTTGTACAATGTTTCATTGTCGCGCTGGTTGTGTAACCGCCGCGCGTGCCGTACAGATACCGTATTAAGAAACGTTAATTACTCGGGTTTCGGGTGTGTTGTAGTCGTAGGAAAAATGTTACTTTAAAGTGACGCGACGTCGTCGTCGTCGTTGTATTGTTGTGGTGGTTGTTTCTGTCGTCGTCGTAGTCGTCCAGTAAGTCGGTTCTGTTTCGGAAAAAGTGATGAAATACATATAAAGCGCTGGCAACTGCTGAATCGAGAGAGTTTGGAAAAGTCGGTGAGAGGAAGATCGCTAGCGTTCGCAAATATTCACCCTTAAAAATGGGACAATCTACCTAATAATGTCGACATAGATATATTAATGATTATTATTATTTTTTTTGATTAAGCGTAAAACTTATGTAATCGATACTTTTTCATCCTTTCATCTTGCGTCTCTCTAATGACTTAGTTAATATTATTTGTTTTACTTTCGGACAGTCTGTGAGACGACAGGTTACAGCAGTACGTGAAGTAAACCGTCAGCTTTGTTCTTTAACGACAGAGGTCCAGAGTTCGCCGCTCCTCCTCGCGTGCTTTTTTTTTTTCTTCGAATGTAAAACAACGGTGTTATCAAAACTTGCTCTATCTCCCCGGTCGATAGTTTTAATAACGTACAAGGATGGTATATCTCGCGAATCCGCATTGGCTGTCGTATTTACGGCAAGGGCAGTTTAATAATATCTGTATTGAAAATATGTTCGCGATAACGCAACTTCTTCGTCTTCTTCGTCTTTTTTTTTTTTCTTTTTGTTAGAGATTATACGTCACGGCACCTTGTACCTTTTGATTTGTTTTTCAGTTCACGTACCATAAACCTATACGTCGCAACCGTCGGGTATATAATAAATAATAGTTGTAATTAAACAACGCGCCTCCCTCGCTAACTAATTAACTTCACAAGACGAACCGCACATATCGCTATAGCCTAATCGTAAAACGTCCATTTACTTGAACATTGTTTATAACTATAACAACAACGACAATGATGACGATGATACATTAATGATAATGACGATACCGACGACAATCGATGATAATGATGACGATGACACACGATGTTGACAGTTATGAATTATCGGAATCGAACGACGGGGTGAGAGCGAACGATATCGATGACAAAAGTAATAATTACAATTTTATTGTTGCTATCATCGTTATTATTCTTAGTATTATTACTATTACTTTTATTATTGTTATGTATGCGAACGCACGGACCCGAGAATCACTGCCTTCCGGCCGTTTTCGTTTTCTCACCCGGAACAGAAAGTCTGTCTTAACGTTTCACCGGCCGGAAGCTTATTCGATAAGCTCCGTTTCATTCACGAACGGTAGATGAAGTGTTCAGCGCGGAAGGCAGCGTTGATCGCACACCGCCGAGTGCGTCAATGATAATGACCATGAGCTTAACGAGCCGGTCCACCGGTGTAGCGTGCCGAATTCATACGGAAAATCATCCACGTGCTCGTTCCGTTTCTTCTCCTCCTTCGGGAGGATCCTTTAGGAAGAGGAGGAGAAACGCCATTTCCCGCACAATTTCGTGCTCATGCACAAAATTGCTGGAAGGGCTCCTGAAGACGTTTACGCACGCAACATCCAGCAGAACCACTCTGTTATGCGGACACTCCAGATTCCTCGCTAGACCCCGCTCTCCCTGATGACGTGAGAGGCACAAGCGCGGTACAAGGGTGTAAACGCTTTTAGATGAATGCATCTATATACAGGTGCACATCATTTCGCGAGTGCCACGGCCGAGTTGACGCAGCCCGTCGATATTCCACTTCATGTACTCCTCTATTATTATTATTATTATTATTATTAAGGTTAATGTTATTATTATTGTTATTATTAACTCGTTCTCCTATCTTACACACATACTGTATGCTATCTGTTGTTTTTTTCCTCATGGAATGCTTAAGTGTTTCAACGTAACCGATGAGATATACCGACGGGATGAAAAACCATCTTTCCGAATTGAGTATAATATCCGTTCTAGAGCCAGCTACGGTAGCTTTTGTTATCTCGTATTATCACTTCCAATTTAAAAAATACAATGAAACTCGCCGATTCGAGCCCTCGTTATTTACACATTATTTGATGCAAAACGTCTGCGAATATAAATATTACGGGGGAAACATACGCCAGGGCTAACTTATTAAATTCAACACGAATGGCGTGTACTGCGATTCTCGCTGATCGATGACCTGCTGCAAGTTACGCTATCTTGCCGTGAGTCTCTCGAAAAAATCGAAATTTCCTTATCTATGAGCAAATGTCGTTTCGTTTTGTTCGATCTACGTCTCTCTCTCTCTCTCTCTCTCTCTCTCTCTCTCTCTCTCTCTCCATTTTTCTTTTTTACGTCTAGATCTATAACGGCGAATGTCCTCTCTACCAGTCTTGTTTTCCTTCTCCATTCCTAGGCATTTTTATTATTTAAAAAGTCATTGAACCCTGTGTGACTGTATTTCTCTCTTTCTCTCTCTCTCTCATTTTTCTCTTCCCCTCTCATTTTCGTTCCTTTGTTTCTTAATGAACTCGGTTACCCAGTTTACCTTGAGCCATTACTGTACTAGGCTTTATATTTCATCAAAGTGTCACATTTCGAACAACGCTCTCTCTCTCTCTCTCTCGTGTACATGGCACAATTAAATGTAACGCCTTTCACTCAGGCGAGTCTCCTTTTAACCTCTTCCGCGCGCGGTTGCGCGGATTGCACGAGGAAGACTTTAGAATTACGATGCTTATATATTCCCTTTACTGGATTTATATATATTGACTATGCGATCTCTATAACATCTCGATGCACGATATGCCGATAACCACGCAATGTAAAATCCGTATGTAATGCCGCGTGACGCCGATAAATGAACCGAAAAAGAGAAAAAAAACTAAACCCGTCGACTAATTTTCGATTTGTCTATAGCACAGGCAAGAATACGCAAGGGTATTCGCGATTGTATCGAGACGTTATTTTGTTAAAAAGATCCCGCGCGGTTCGGAGTGCAAATCACTACTACAATTGGTTTATCGTTCTTCATAACGTTTCTAACATTGAAAATGATCGAAAACGTAATTATACAATTATTCACTCGCTCACGTTCGCAATCGACGGGAGAAAGTTTTCAGCATTGGCAATCTTGAAATTCGGTGATCAATCGTCGCTGCTGCTGCTGCTACTTTGACGTTACTGCTGATGATTCGAGGAAAGACTGTCGTCGCAGTAGCGCTCGATTCGACGTTAACCGCTGATAGTATGGACGGTCCACATATTTCCAGAGCACGTTAAAGCCGCCACAAGCTAGATCTACGTGGTGCCGATGTTGATCCTGCAGTGGACAAAAAGTAGAGAAATTTCGTCAGAGTCCGATTTAGGGGCGATTTTTTTTTACTATTGCTCTCATGATACGTAGTGAATGGATGTCGGGAATTTCTTCAGATTCTATTGTTAATTCTGATTTAAGAATATGTATGTGTGAACAGGGTCGAGGAAGTGATCAGTTCGCACTGATCGATGACGCGCTCGGAAAGCACAACGATTGAATAGACGTCGAGACGTAAGCGGACATTGCTTTCACGCGTGTTTGCAACTTCGTTCGGACGTCGCACCCTCTCTCGTCTTCGAAGACACTTCGAAGGTACAGGAAGATCGTCGAGGAGACCGTTCGCTGGTGACACTTCGCCCGATCTTCGAACAATTGCTGTGTTCTCCGAGCGCGAGTTCTTTGCGATACAATGAAGGGGGCGACAAAAAGAGTAAAAAGAAGTGTACTTTTTTGGAAAATAATTGTACCCCTCGTGTGTTACGACATCCTCCTCTACCTATGGTTGTACCGACCAGCATGTGAGACAGCCACCATCTCAATGGGCAGGGATCCTCTTCGCTTGACTAGCGGCTCGGGGGGAACAGCCTCGCGTTTTCCCACCTCCCTCTTCCACTTGAGCCACGTGCCGTTCTCGTTCCCGTCGGTGGACGCGCCGGTGAACATTTCCGGGCCTCCGCTGCTGCGTCTCCTCAAGATTTTTTTGCGGTTTCGCGGCTTGTTATTAATGCTATTTCTACTGAACAGATCGCGGCGTAACTCGGATATGTCTGCTGGCACCGACCCCCGTCTCGGCGACAGCATCCCGGAAACGGTGCTGTCGAACAGTCTGCTGATGCCGTTGTTGTTGCTGCTGCCACCGGTGGTGTTGTTGTTATTGTTGTTGTTGTTCATCGGGAAATTCTCGCGCTCGCCTGGAAATCAGTTCACCGTTCGTTTCTCACGAGATGCTAAGATGCGCGCGTCTTGTCAGCAGGGTTCTACCGTAGATTTGAAGATCGACGTCTGGATATTTTACATATTGTCTATGCGATACGTTTACGCGCGTGAGTATCTGTACTTACTGGTTACACTAAGGACGTTTCCCACAAGATTTCCCAGCGCAGCTTCTTGCGGAAGACTAGCTCTTCTTAGGGCCGAAAAATTATCTCCACGAGGTCCTAAAGCGAGCCGGTTGGAACCTCCACCTAACGAACGCATCATACAGATAAGTAAGACACGATACATTCGCGATGTGTGGCAAGTACTATAAAGACTGTAAACAAACTATAGGCACTCAGGGTATCGATCACGTAACTTTTCCTCCGGGGCGAAAAGTGTTCTCAAATAAGAAAATCTACACTTTTCACGAATTCACGCTGGAAGAGAAGATTCATGATCTACCTCCGGAGAGTCGTGAATCTTCTCCTCTGGTGTAAAATTTTCTAATTTGAAAGCAATTCATTTTGCGTCCTAGGGAAAAAGTTACGTGAACGATACCCGGAAGGTAAAGGTTTCACAAATTGAAGATAACAGAAAAGGAATCTAGCGTCAAGTGCAAAAATGAAAACGTGCGGGTACCTTGATGTTTAGTGATATCAGTCGGTACAGATCCGCGTCTACAATTATGATCGACTTTGGCAGGAACGGGAGTTGGAGCAAAGTCGTCCAATCTCGATAAAAGGCCAACCGGAGCTGATCCGCGTCTTCTCGCCCACCCCTGCGTTTAACATTGCGGATAATTACGGATAAAAAAAAAAACGAAACGTACACGGACAACAAAGAGGATGGTACAAGATAACAATGCTGGAATAAATAATTTAACACTGAGGTGTGAGATGACTGTAAAAATAAACGTCTGACTTCTAAGGACGGTGTTCGAAACACGTTGTATATTCTTTTCTATATCAGAGCTGCAGACGGAATGAAAGTCCATCCCTTTACCTGACTGCCCCTGCGGGACAAGGTTGACGCTTTGGACTCGTCGCAGGCGCGCGGATCGACGTTCTCCTTCATCTGCGCGTCGGGGCTCAACCTCGCCATCTTCGAGCTCTTCTCCTTCGTGCCGTCCGACTCCCTCTTACTGCCGATCGCGACGGCCTCGCTATTCGAATCACCACCGACACTTCGTCTCGCCTCACCACCACTGTCACTCGACGAAGACACACTATGATTACGAGGCGGCGAATCGGGAGGACTACCGATAAAGAACACTTTGTGAGTGCTAAGCTCAGAGGACACCGGTATCGCGGTGAATCGTCTACCTGCGCTGTCGGCCGCGCTGACCGTTCTACACTCTGCGACCGGGGTCGAGTATCTCCGCGACTCTTGATCGGCACTCTTAGCCGACGAAGCGCACTGGTCCGACCTCTTGGACGACAACGTAGTCCGCGACTCGTGCATCGTCAACTTCACACCACCGCGATTACTACCACTACCGCTGTTACTACTACACTTGAGCTCGACGTTACAGCCCGAGTGAGTTTTACATTCGGCGACGGACGTGTTGTCCTTGTCGCCGTGAGGTGAGCCGCTGCCGCCGGTTAACGTCGCGTAGAACATTCGCGTGGACTCGGCGTCTTGAGCGGAGGAAGGCCTTTTGTGGCGATGCTTGGAGAAGGAGTCGTCCGGGCGGATGGTCTGCATGGAATGGCGCCGTTGCTCCGAGCTGTGCGCAAAGTCGTACTTCTGCTTGATCGTGTCCGACAGGGTCGAGCCCCGTCTCTTGGTGGGCAGGTCCAGCAGCTCCTTCGAGAGTCTCGGCGGCAGCACGTTGGAGGACTGCCGGCTCGGGTGGCCGGTAGACGGTGAGCAGCACTGGCCGCCGCTCGAGCAGGACTTCTCCTCCTTCGTCGGTGTCGAGCAGCCGGACGAGCTGTCGGCCTCCATCAGGATCTGAGTGTAGCACTGCGACATCTCCGCGGTGGCGGACATGTACCTCGTTCTCGCGTACGGCTGCAGCGGCGGGAAGGTCTGCTGTCGCGTGAGCTGCTTCGTCTGCAGCACGCCGGGCTCCGCCGACTGCAAAACCGAGCTCAGCCTCGAGGCTTCGGTGCTGCTGGTGATACTGGCTATGCTCGTCTCCGGCAGGAGATTCTCCGCGCTCACCGGCCTCTCGGTGGCGCTCACGTTGGACGATCCGCCGACGCTGCTCTTCGAGGACAACAGGGACAACGAGCTCGGCCCTACGAGGAGGCCTTGATCCTCCAACTTCAGCAGGGTGTTCTTCGACTTGACGTGTTCGCTCGGCAGGCTCTCCCTCCTGGCGGCTTGCCTCGGCGGTAGGAGGCTCAACGGTTTGGAGACGCTCAGCGGTACGGAGTGACGCCTGCCGACGCGATCGAGGCCGACTCGACCCGGCAACGTCGGCATCCGCGACGTCTGCACGTACGCCGCCGGTATCAGCAGATCGATGCTGCCGGAATCCTCGTCGGCGCCCGTCTCCTCGCCCGAGCTAACGCCTCCCTCGGGCTCGTCCAGCTCGGAAATCTCCGTCTCGGTCTCCTCGGTCGCTTCCTGCGTGATCAACGCCTCCCACTTCTTCTGGTTCGCCTTCAAATACTCCATCAGCGAGACGCTCAGCCCGTCGCCGAGGAAACGGTGCCACTCCACGTAGAGCGGCGTGACTACGTGCTTGAAGAAGCCGGCCTGTATCTTCGGGATGCTGGTGGTGTGTCGGTCGCACAGCGGCGTCACCGGCAGGTTCAGCCGGCGCTCGTAATCACCCTGTCTGAAGAACTCCTCGCACACCTTGTAGGACCACTTCCTGGATATGTCCCATGGCCGGCACGGGTTGGAGATATCGGCGCACTTAAGGGCGATCTGCAGGATGAAGTGGCGATCCTCCGCGCGCTTCATCTCGAGCGTGTTGTTGCTCAGGTAATCCTGCTCAGATGATCCGTGAAAGGCCACGGTTAAAATCGATCGAACGGTATACGAGGTGCTGCGCGGCGGAAGGCTTGCGACTACATACCCTGAAACGCGTGAGGAACTCCTGTTGCCTGGTGATATCCGTCGCCAGGATCAACGAGCTGATATGCCGCTGAAGTTCCGGCCTAACGTCGGCCGACAGCTGCGCCGAGACGCCGCTCTCCAGGAGGCATCCTATGGCCGACCTCCAGTGGTGATTCTCGAGGACAGATGTGTTCTGGAAATTGACCGAGTTTTCATTCCGACATTCTAACCGTCATCGTCACGATCTGGTCGATAAATCCTGATCGTCGGAAATGCGCTCCTTACCTGGTAGAGCGCGGCCAAATGATTGCTCGTCGCTACCAGGAACGGCTGATTGACGCCCGGATGGTCCAGGTCGTGCGTTACAGCCGCTATTAAGGAAGCCATAATCTCGAGACTGGTTAGGTGTGTCTTAATCTGAAAATTTACAGGCCCGGTCATTTCGCGAGAAGAGCGACGAGAGTGGATCGCGAGAGGCGCGAGTTAGATAACCGGACCGCTCATCACGTTCGCCCGACAGAACCGTGAATAAACAGTTACCTTCTTTTCTTGGAGGAAGCAATGCATCGCCTGAGTGACGTCCGTCGCGTGTATACTGTTGTGGTAAGGATTTGTACTATGATAACCCTCCTCGATAAAAGCTGCAATTAATGCGATTGTGGGAATTATTAGGCCACCGAGAGAGAAAACATCGCAATGATTCGTCACGAGTCCTCGCTTTCTCGCTTCTACGTTATTATTCTTCGAACGTTTGATACGTATTACAAGTCACCTGAGAATATCTAAAAAGAATCGCGCTCGTTCGTTTTAAGAATGTATTGCCCATCAGTATGTCGTATTTTCACTGGCAAAGGGATCGCTCATAAATTTAGTTATCAACAAGCAAAATTACGTTCCTGTATATTTATTTCGCTACCTGAATAATAAATGTTAATTTGGAATAAAGTTGAGGTAGACATGTGTATGCAAATTACAAATACGAAAATATTATTTTCTTATTTTTCTTATCAATGCTAATTTGTTGCAATAGTTTACCTAATAGAGGTGAATAAATAATAGAAAGAGATATGTAAAAGTATTTAAATATGTGCATATGTACATATATTTCGAGTATTACTATAAGTTATGGACTTTACACCACTGTATATTCAAAACAAAATGGCCAATAATTCTGAAATATTTTTGTATAATGTCTGCATGTTAGCCTTTAATACTATAATTTTCAACTTAAAATCTTATTTCTAGGAAATATTAAAAAAAGAAATTAAAAGTAGTTAAAGAATAGAACTAAAGTTTAATTAAATATAATTAATGTTACATAATATTTCAATATATACACAGCACGTTTCATCGAGTTCTTATCGAATTCACCTTGCAATCTACTTTAAAATAGAATAACTTTTAATCCAAGCTGTGAATTGCTGTCAAATTTTTTGCGTCACTTTAAAATACAATGTAGATCAATTTGTAACATTTTTCATAAGTTTCTCATTATTCTGAGTTATGGGCAATACGTCCTTGAGCGATGCGTTGTAATGAAAAATTGCGAAATACACAATGAAAATATTCGACGACAAAATTAAATCCTCGTTCCTCGCCAACGTTATATCGCAAGCCTGGCAAGCGGCGTCGTCGTCGTCGCGGCGTAGCGCTTCGACGACAACATTCGCGAATTAAAGAGCCCTATTTTTAAATGAGCAATGTAGGACTCGTAGAAGAAAAAAAAAAGCCGTGAGCACGTATACATAACACCGTGCGACGATACATAATTTTCCTTTGCATGGAAATTCATGGTGGAATAAATAAATAATAAGTGCCGCGTGGCCTATAAATACCGAAACATTGCATAAGGGAGCCATTCCTCTTACGGGTTCGGCCCTTTTGAATATTTAATGACGACGAATAGCTTCCGACCTGCGCGTGTCGCGCGGCTACAGTGATGCGAGAAAAAACAACGAGAAAGAAGGAAAGAGAGAGGAAATCTCACCGGAAAGATAACGGTGTGTGTGTGTGTGGCGAAACATGATACTCACGAAACGCCGCACGTGCCCGACGCGCGTTTTCGCACGTTGTGCGAGCGGAAAATAACGACGATGGCGCGGTGTGCGGGTTTTATAGAAATAATTAAGCGCAAAGGCCGCGCGAATCATATCGAATATCCCACCGGCGAGAAAACGCGAGAGCGAGAGAGGGAAGGTTTAAACACACCAAATATAGCGGCGAGTCGAGTAATTCTGTTGTTTGTCTCGTCGCGTTATTTGCGATCTCGCGGACGCGTTTCCGCGTTAAATTGCGGTTTCGCGAAAAATCGACGGTATGCGTGCGTGCGCGGTCGCGCGCTCCAGGTGTTTTAGAAATAAAACATAGCGATCCCACACGTACGTATGCGATCGCGCGTAACTTTCACTATCGTCGCGTGTGTATCTCTCTCTCTCTCTCTCTCTCTCTCTGCGTGTGTGCGCGCGTGTGTGAGAATGTAAATGACAGTTCCGATAAACCAGCAGGTTGATAGCACGTCCGCTCATTTTTAACTATGCTCGTTATCTGTCGCGGCATAAGCGTGTGTCGTTGCTCACTCGCGCCCCATTTTACGTGACGGACCTAACGACACGCACACACACACGCAAGTAATCGCGCACACGGCTAGACAAACCGCTGAATTGCTATTTAAGTACACGGAGGGCACGAGTGGCGAGAAGCGCGGTGCGCGACGTTAAAATTAGATAAAAACCCCGCATTTATCGCATTTTTTTTTTCACGTGCGTCACGTTATCGATCGTTGCGTACGCAATTCTCGTAGCGCAACTTCCTCCTCCGGCCTCCGTGGAAAATATAATCATCATTTCGTTGCGACAGCAGCGGGAGAGCAAACTCGCGCCCCATTCGCCGGGCGACGCTATCGACCGGATTGAGACGATGCAAAAATGCACCCCGCGACATCCGAAGCGGATTCGCCCGTTTCGCCTCGCGCACTTGTCGCACGCATAACGACATATTCGCGTCCGTTGCGCGCGTGTATCATCCGCAATCCGATTGATACACACATACATATTACACAGCATAGGCAGGGGCGCGAGCTTCCGAAATTCCGACTCGAAGATTCCTGTAATTCCCGCATACGCTTACCGAATAACTTCCACACGGTTACGACGTCCAAGTTGAAGTGTCGTAGCAGCCCGTACCAGTGAAAGAGATGGACACACAGCACCGGCAGGGAACGACCTGGAAATCAGACGCGACACGTCAGACGGTCGACGACACATCTAGGTACGTGTACGAATGAATTAACCGATCATGCTCTTCCACGTGTCCTCGAGCGCGCGTTTAAATTAGACACCCAGTCAATGTTCCGAGCACGTCGTCGTGGCGAACAACTCTCCTCTTCGGCCGAATGGGCAACGAGACCTTGTTTGTGTACGAAACAAGCTTCTGAATCTGATCCAACATATATTACCGATCGTGTATTTATCACCCGATTTATTCTGTCTCCCCCCGGAGGTCAAATTATCCGTATAATGGCAGTACTATCGATTTTTCATCGTTGAATCAATTTGGCAACCGAAACTCCTGTGTCAGGTCTGACTCGGTCGCACGGAAAACTGAGATTTGGTTCTTCCCGAGGTGGGTGTACCATTGAGCGAACGAAGAACGAACCAGCAGCGAACGTTTAATATGACCGTGTATACTGATGTCTAAACGCGCGTGAACCTTCCTCGAATGAACCACTTCATGAGCAAATCGACCCGACGAATATCCTGTACGGATTCGTACTGGCGTGTGTAAATTGTAACAACGGGAGCTTGGGTTCGCCGTTCGTCTCTCGTTCGTTCGCTTCAATGCGTTAAGCCCAGATTCAACCGATCTTTTTTTGGCAGCGTGCGAAAAGATCGAGGGCTCGTCCGTTAATTCCTCTCGACGATGTACCGACGCAGCGCGGCGCTGCTACAATGTGTGTGAGTGTTAAGAGCCGGTTGAAAAAGCATCCCGCAGCGGTGGTCCTCGAATGAGCGACAATCGCAATTAGCTCCGTCAGTGATTTACCGCTTTGGCGCGCTCACGGTGACGTAAATGCGCTCTTCTGTGCATCTCGTGTCGCCGATTCGACGCTCTCGCGCGCATCTCGAGCGTGAGAAAATAGCGCCTCCGACGAACGAAAGGCGTCAGGATCGCGCAGCGATTGGCCGCGAACCAGGTTGGCGTCTTCTCGTCTCTCGACTTCGCGCGAGACGGCTGCTTCTTTTCGCGCCTTCTTTCGGGAAACGCGCGACCCGCAAGAGTGCCCCGCGCGAGAGGAATTAAGAGGCGCGCGCTTGCCTGCTCGAACACGATCTAAGAATCGATCCTCGTCTCCGCTCGCGTTGACAACGCGGCGAAACTTGCCAACAATGAACGATTTCGACAATACTCACCGCCCGTGACCGTTTCCAGCGTGAAAGCATTAAATCGCCAGTTTCCGGCCCTTTGTAATACGCACTGCAACACGGTAATTCGAATACGGTAAGTCGACACACGAGGCTCAGGTAATTCGATTTGGCGGAGGAGAAACGGGAACACGCGCACGTATTCAACGACGAGGAGAAAGAACGGGCGCGAGCGAACGAGCGTGTAAAGCGTGCCTATAAATACACCTAGCGAGCGAACAGCGAATGCAAATTTTCGTTGTTACGTTTTTGAAGGATGCATATGTCGCGACAAATCCGAACGGCACGATTCTCAGGCCGATTTGCTCACAAGGCGACTTATCAGATGATTTTAAAAGGAAATTCGCGCGCGAATACATCACACACATTCGCTGTCCGTTCGTTGTTCGTTCGCTAGGTGTACAACGCACCTTTGTAATTTCCACTGGGAAAGGTGGTGTGTCGCCATTGTAACCGGCCGAAACGAGCAGAAAAGTTCCGGAATATTTTCGATGTATCGTCCGCCGTCGATATTGCAACGGCGAGAATCCGTCCTCGAAATGAAAAGGTCAGTCCCGAGGGTTGTTAAATCCGAAATAGTTTTCAGCCGCAACGAGGAGGATAATCGCGTTCGGATTTAGCCCCGGTACGCGCGTTTGTGCAAACTTTGAAATTTTTTCGAATGTACACGTCCTCCTCCTCGTAGCTGATAACGCAATAAATCGTTAAAATGCACATTGCGTGCGGCTGCATATCATAGCCCGATATTTTTATATTTTTATACGCGAGCGTGAGTCTGAAAAAAAATGAAACGAAAAAAAAGGCAGACCGTTTAAGGACGATGAGTCGGGGGGGGGGGG